TTAAAGAGTGTTGTATTTGTATTAAGCGCTATCTGGGAATTCTATAAAGAGTGATCGGAGTCTTATGGAGTCTCACTAACGACCAGCTCCATACGGTGTTGGAGCCACGCCATTGCCATTAGAAGGGTGTCCAGATATTTGAATAAGCAGTTTTCCAGGGACCAGATGACATCACTAAGTAGGGGCCGTTTAAAAGGCGACAAATCAAAAATAATTTCCACCTTCCTGAACGTTTACGAATAGCGGAGCTGAAGTTAAATGGTGAGGAGTATCGGTTATTTTAAAAAAGAGTGATGTCATCCGATATTTATTCAAGACAAAGAATAAAACATGATTCACCAAAACATTTTTGAAGATAAATGTTGGCCAATCACTTTACCTACTTACTTACGCCAGTTAGGTCTAATGGAGCGTAGGCCGCCGACCAGCATTCTCCAACCCACTCTGTCCTGAACCTTTTCTAATTCCATCCAATTCTTGTTCATTTTTCTCATGCCTATCTCCATTTCCCGGCGTAATGTGTTCTTTGGTCTTCCTCTTTTCCTTTGGCCTTGAGGATTCCATGTAAGGACTTGTCTTGTGACGCAGTTGGGTGCTTTCCTCAATGTGTCCTATCCACTTCCAATGATTCTTCCTGATTTCTTCCTCCGTTGGGATCTGGTTTGTTCTCTCCCACGATAGGTTGTTGCTAATAGTGTCCGGCCAACGGATCTGAAGTATTTTGCGTAGACAACTGTTAATAAACACCTGTATCTTCTGGATGATGGCTTTCGTAGTTCTCCAGGTTTCTGCCCCATACAGTAGAACTGTCTTGACATTTGTACTGAAAATCCTGACCTTGGTGTTGGTTGACAGTTGTTTTGAGTTGCAGATGTTCTTCAGTTGTAAATATGCTGCTCTTGCTTTTCCGATCAGCGCCTGCACATCTGCATCAGATCCACCATCGTGTTCATCAATGATGCTACCCAAATATGCAAAGGACTTTACATCCACCAAATCTTCTCCGTCAAGTGTGATTGGGTTGGTGCATGCTTTGTTGTATCGGAGAATCTTGCTTTTCCCTTTGTGTATATTGAGACCTACTGCTGCTGAGGTTTCTGCTACAGTGGTCGTCTTCTCCTGCATTTGTTGTTGCGTTTGGAATAGAAGGACCAGATCATCTGCGAAGTCTAGATCGTCCAGTTGCGTCCTAGATGTCCACTGTACCCCGCGTTTCCCTTCAGATGTTGACGTCTTCATGATCCAGTCGATCACCAGGAGAAAGAGAAAGAATGAGAGTAAGCAACCTTGCCTGACACCGGTCTTTACCTCGAACGAGTCTGTCCATTGTCATCCACGCACAATTTTGCAGTGTAATCCATCTTATGAATTCTGCATGATATTGACTAGCTTCCATAGTGTTGGTCTGTCCACGCTATCAAATTCCTTTTTGTAGTCAATGAAGTTGATGTAGAGTGATAAATTCCATTCAATTGATTGTTCCACAATGATCCGTAGACTTGCGATTTGGCCTGTACACGATCCATCCTTGCGGAATCCTGCCTGTTGGTCACGAAGTTGGGCGTCTACGCAGTCCTTCATCCTGTTTAACAATACCCTGTCGAAGACTTTTCCCGGTATTGAGAGAAGAGTGATGCCCATGTAGTTATCACAGTTGCTGAGATTGCCTTTCTTTGGTATTTTGACCAGAAGTCCTTCTTTTCAGTCTGTTGGTACTCGTTCCTCATCTCAAATCTCATTGAAGAGAATGTGGAGTATCCTTGCAGTTACCGCTATGTCTGGTTTCAGTGCCTCTGCTTGAATGTTATCTGGTCATGCTGCTTTGCCACTCTTGATTTGTCCGGTGGCCATGCTGATTTCTCCAATTGTTGGTGGGCCAACATTTTTGGGAGGTCCGTGGGTGCTGCTTCGATGTTGAGTGGGTTCAATGGGGCTGGTCGATTCAAGAGTTCTTCAGTGTTCTACCCACCTGTTTCGTTGCTCTTCAATGTTGTTGATTACCTTGCCTTCCTTACTTTTCACTAGTCGCTCTGGTTTGCGGCGATTTCCAGAGAGTTTCTTTGTCGTGTCATACAATTGTCTCATGTTTCCTTCTCTTGCAGCCTTTTCCGCCATCGTTGCTAAATCTTCCACATATTTACGTTTGTCCGTTCTGATGCTCCTCTTCACTTGTTTGTTTGTTTCTGTGTATTCAGCTTGTGCCTTGGCTTTTTCTGCTCTTGTTCGGCTGGTATTGATTTCTGTTTTCTTGTTCCTCCTTTCTTGAATCTTATCCAGTGTATCAACATTGATCCATTCCTTGTGATGGTGCTTCTTGTGACCCAGGACCTCATGACATGTTGAAGGGATTGCCTCTTTGATCCCCTTCCAGTTGCTCTCCATAGTAGTTCCTTCTCCATTGAGTAGATCATGAAAAGCCTGAAACTTATTGCTGAGGACTATCTTGAATTTGTTGAGTTTGCTAGTATCCTGAAGAAAGGCCGTATTGAACCTTTGTGATATTGTCCGCCCCGTTGTCCAGTGCTTCTTGAGTTTCAATTTCATCTTGGCGACCAGCAAGTGATGATCTGATGCTATATTAGCTCCTCCCTTTGTTCTCACGTCCTCCATCGTCCTCCTGAACTTTTCGTTAACGTGCATATTGTCGATTTGGTTTTGCGTGGTGTGATCTGGTGAAGTCCATGTGGTTTTGTGTATGCGTTTATGTGGGAATATGGTGCCGCCTATGACCAGTTTATTGAAGGCGCATAGGTTTGCAAATCTCTCACCATTTTCGTTCTTTTCTCCCAGTCCGTGTCGTCCCATGATGTCATCATATCCAGTGTTGTCCGTTACAGCCTTGGCATTTAAGTCTCCCTTCAGGATGGTCAGGTCCTTTGTTGCGCGCTTCTCGACGATTAACTTTAGCTTATTGTAGAATTGATCTTTAGCGTCTTCATTGTAGTCGTTGGTAGGCGCATAGCAACGGATGACTTTCATTGGAATGCCCTCTTTTTTTGTTTTGAAGGAGGCTTTGATGATCCTTGGTACATGAGATTCCCATCCTATAAGTGCATTTTGTGCTTGTTTGGACAGCATCAATGCAACTCCTTGCGTATGTGGGGCATCTTCTTTATCATGGCCGGAGTATAAAAGAAGCTCCCCTGAAGCTATTCGTTGTTGTCCAACTTGTGTCCAATGTGTTTCACTGATCCCAAGTACCTCCAGGTTGTATCTTCTCATTTCTGCAGCAATCTGGAAGGCTCTTCCGGTGTCCCACATTGTACGAGTATTCCATGTACCCAAATTAATGGTTTCTCTGGTTTTCAGAAGGGGCATCGGCCTCGTAACTTCCGAAGGAACTCGGCTTTCATCATGAGGCGTCATAGTTCTTCTAAATGAAGACCTTCTGACTCCCGTGGCAGAGTTTAAAAGGTTTGAATAATTTTTTCTGGTTAGCGTTTTTTAGCGGGTTAGTTTTTTACGGGATGGGGACGCTAACCTCATGCCCAACCCTCCTCCTTTATCCGGGCTTGGGACCGGCAGTAGCCTTCGGAGGGACTCGAGGCGGAGATGTTGGCCAACCAGGTTGAGCTTGAATACCTTTAAAGTATAAGAGACGAGATCTACTTCTTAATCTTTTTATTTACAGCAAACATGTGACAAACTAATACAGAAGTTCCATTCATTCTTGCATCGGTCGCTTGAATCTTCCCAGTGATGTTTAAGACCGCAATTGGTCAGTTTTAGACAGGACGAAATGCGCGTCCTGGATCCTATTATTAGCCATAATCCATCTCTGCTTATTATTACAGTTGTAATTTCTACCTAAGTTGGTTCCTACCTAGCGATGTATGGGCTGTTAATCGTATGATTAGGTAGTTGTTGATAATTGCACACATCATATATATCCAATTAGTGGAATCTTACCTAATAACTTCCGTAATAGATCCATGCACCATTGTGGGAGACCAATGATATTTCACTTCAAATAATAATGATAGAGCTATTGCGTCAAAAATTAATGCATTGATAGATCAAGTATAAATTACACACATAAGAAAAATATACAGGACGTTACTTAGATTGTCAGGAATCGGCGTGTTCGAGTTCCTCATTGCTTTTGTAATCCACAATTATAAGTAGTTATTAATTCCAATTATAATTGTTATGGTTCGAGATTTATATCCAGACAAGGCATATAGTGAGAATATCACTGTGATCTGTAGACTTAGTTAGCAAATATATCAAACCTTTTATCATAACAGCAGGAAATTCAGAACAAGAAGCATATGTGTGTAACGGTGTCATGATAAAGGGGCTTCAAAAACGAAATGGAAGATCCAAGTTTATGTCTTTTAAACAACCGTTTTAAAACCAATTATATTAATTGTACCAATTTTGAGAATTAGTGAACGAAATTCACATAGTAGCAAAAACTAGTTAGGAATTAAGTCTATTTTAACTATCTCTACACAATGATACATACCAAGACAACTAAACTGAAGAAAAATTTCGTTGCCAGTGTAAGTAAACTTTCTAAAGGGCTACTGAGATATAAAGTTACTAACTATAACTTTTTTCAATGCTTTTCTGCTTATGTGCTTGAATTATAATGTATTGCAACAGTGCATTCACGTATGAACATTTACAAACCTAAAAGCGGACAAAAGCGTGAAAAGGAACACGAGTTAAGAAATCGATGACCTGTCACAAACATCTGTACATGAAAGCATGTGATATACCGAGCTAGTCCAAGCGACTTCTCAGGAGTCCTTCAAGAGGCAACTTGACCTATTCTTAAGGACCAAGGACAGCATCACACTATGATTTATCAATTTCTTTTCCTCTTTTATTGTCGACATACCTAGGTTCCTGCCTGGAGGATTTGGTGATCCCCTGCTACTAGACACGGAAGCCTGTTAAGCGAAAGCTTCTTCTATTCCGTCCACAACCATTTGAACAATTTGAACCTCCCCCCATTTATTGAGTAGTCTGAGGTTATCCATGTATTTAGTGCCATTGGCGGTTAAGGGTTTTCAAGGCCACCTTATTGTCTTCCGAAGGTTATTAGTGGGTTATAGTCTCTTCTCCAGTTACAGCATATTTGAAATGGGTTAACAATTATCTGTCATATACAATTTACAATTTAACTTAAATGATCACTGATAACTCCGGAAAATCACATGATATCTTGCTCTCTAACGAAAAGTTCGATCCGATCGAGTTGGAAAATCGATATGTTCATCAAGTACGTTTATACAAAAGTTGTGTTACTACGTTAAATACATGAGGTGTTCCGTAAGTTCGCGTACAAACCTTCTATGTTCAAAGATCCTAATTTCAGCCCAATATATACATTGTGGCACTTTTGTTATTTGACCCAGATAACCAAAACAGGGGAAATAAAGGGGTAAATGCTTTCGATGAGAAAAAGGAAAACGCATCAGAATGTCGCCTTTTTCGCCTGTCTGGGGGAAATAATGCGGATTCCCCCCTTTTTGCCACTTTGTCGATAAATAACCGCCGAACTGTCGAATTTTCACTTAAATATCCACCGAATTGCATACTTTTCGACTAAATTTCCGCTTAATTGCCCACTTTTCGCCTAAATATCCGCTGAATTCCCCACTTCTAGCCTAAATATCCGCCAAATTGCATACTTTTCGCCTACGTATACGCTTAATTTTCTACTTTCCGCCTAAAGACATACAGAACTGCCTATTTCTGATCCATCGGCATAACCCTTAAGGTTTCCTATGTTCGCCTTTATTAAAAAAACCGTACTAAAACTTCAAGCCACGGGAAAACGGGTACATTTTCAAACAATTTTGTTGTAAAGAAAAAGCGTATTATTGTACAACATTATAACAGAAGCTTGAGCACCAATCGTTTTGTATATCCAGTGTAATTACCGACTCATTGTTGTTAGAAGAGATCTGCAAAAGATGAAACAGCTGATGCAGTATTGACAAGGCATGTGCATTTAATCAAAAGTTCACTGAAACTCAAATGCATTCTCAACACTTCTTTAGTTTCCCATGTAAGTAATAAAGTAAGCTCTTTTACAAAATAATGCTTATTAAAAATTAGGTAGAAAATCAAGAAAATTGCACGGACTATTGCCTTTAGCCACGTTCGTTCGGCTATTGAGAACGGAAATAGTCGTCCTGTAAATTCAGAAGTTTAAAAAACAGAAAAAGTCACAACTATCTGAATGACATGTCTTGGCACAGCCAAATACTTTAAGCTAAACTTACGGTTATGTCCGTTAACACTGATGACTGTAACTATAAGTAACTATAAGGAAAGTTATCACTTTAAATTAGTACATACCTGCCCTTTCCTTCTTTTATGCTTTATCACTTTGTCTCTGACATCGTGAAAGTAACCTTGTGTTGCCATGTCGTAGAGCTTCACAAGGTCTTTTTCGTTGACAGATGATGATAAAAAACGACTTGTTAATGCACCTGAAGTTTAAATACTAAATATGGGTTACTTAGTGTGCGAAAGAAAAAGCGGCATTTTTGAAGTGGTGGTTTCGAAGAAGTTCCAAGTGACGTGAAGTTGCTAGCAACCTCAGGTGTCAATAGGTACGAAAGAACATACCGCATCGAGGCTTTCGGGTCATCACCCGATAACCTGGTAACCATTGCCATCTGTAATCGGGACAAATTATTAAATTAATATTGATGACTTACAAATCTGTCCCTGGTTTCTTTCTGCTGCAAACCAGTTTCCAGCATCTGCAGTTCCTCTTCAGATGACAAAGGGAACTGCTGACTTGAGAGTCCGCAATCGAATTGATGCGGCTTTCCGCGCTCATTAGACTTTGATAGCAATTGCTTTACATTCACACTCAAATCCGTAATGGCTGAGGACATTTTATGCATCATTGTGTACAACCTATCAAAGCTGAAAAAGTTCACTTGATGAGGCTGGTGACTTACTGGGCCGCTATAGCACCACCGACTTGCTTAGATTCTGACGTTGAAGGTGATGTCTCTAATTGTGTCGAACTAGTTCGTAAACATGTAAATAGTAATGAAACGTACTTGGCAATTGGCGAGACGACCTTTTCAAACAACCGAAATTTCGGATATTGTACGTGGCTATTGCTAGCCTGCATTTCAGCAACATCCATGTCTAATGAATTGTAAAGAAAGTTTTCTTTACACTTCAATGGACCTCTAGGGAATAATAGTAGGACTATTGTACTGACTTCTTAGGCTTCTCAGTGTTCTGCGGCAAGGTGTTTTCATCCGTTGAAGTGTTTTTATGGCGAGATTCCAGTAATTGTAAATAAGCTAATAAATCTTTCACAGACTGCAAAGAATCTATAGTGATTTATTGTTTCTATGTTTGTTACTTACCTAGTTTGTGAATGTCATTACATTTAATAACTGACCAGTTGTTATCTGGTTGATCGTAGTTTTGCAGGTGGGTTTCGATCAGGTCCTTTGGAAATAGGCAAAGTCCTTTGCCGACAATCCACTCCTTGCATGCTATCATAAGTTCTTTCTTGATAGGTACGTCAACAATGACGTATTGCTTGTTAGCGGGCTAACAATAATATAAGACGTAATTAAATGGTTTATCATCATTAATTAAGAACTAATGAAACAAAATGCATTTACAATAAAGTATGCAACAATGGGATTATAACTATATTATTGATGCTATTGATGGCTTTACATTTACAATCAATCCCAAGACCTATTATCCTAAATCTGATTGGTTCTTTCATAAATTACATTTTCGCCTGTGATGATATCCATCTTCACCATCTTAAACCTACCATGTGGTAATTTTTAGCCTCGTTTATGTTACTTAAATCATATTGTTAGGGAAGTCAGTTAGTGCTGATGCAAGTTGTTTTCATAAGGTAACCTGGTTGGCGTCCGCGCAATGACCACAACCGATGGTTATTATTTATTTATTTATTTTAACACATAGATATTGGTACAAGGAGGCACCAAATACATATGCGCCACACAAATCTCATTTGATATGTGTGAGGGCTGTGATACTGCCTGGGTGCCCAAACCGAAGCAGGTGGTTATCTTAGGGGGCCACTCCCCGAGCCTTCGACCTGAAGGTCTGATCCACAAGGCAGTGGAGCATCGTAAGGAGATGCAGTCCCATGGAAGCCGGTGACTGAAAATTGGTTCATACACCATTTGTTCCTTCAGGATACTGGAGCCCATGTGACCATTGGTTTGTGATCCGGTTAAAGCGCCGGACATTCGCTTTTCGTCCTCCCATTTTCGTAAACCAACCGATGGTTGGTTTTGGATGACAGAGCAGAATTGTTTGGAATCGTGCAGGTGCATCCAGTCTTTACCTTAACTACATATAATTGGTTAGCATTTCACCACTTATTTCAAACCAAAAATAATCACTTCCTCCACTTTTCTATTTTTATCACATGTTAAAATTTTTTTTTATAAATGTACTCACACCACTGTTACTGCTGTATAGAGCTAAAATGTATCGTTTATTTCACCAGAAACTAATGATTCTGTATTAGTAGTTAAGTTGATGATAAGGTGCTCTTTTATTGTTGCTTACTTTGGTTTGTAAATTACAGACCTTTTACTAAAAAGTGTGGGTGATGAAACATATATATATATATATATATATATATATAAGGTGACTCAGGATAAATCCTTAAGCGCAATAAAATACTTTTCAGTCTAGTTTCCTGTGACTCCGTAAGAACTATATGATCTAGCTATTTTTTGTATACTGCTGAAGCGATTCGATGTTGTGGTTTATTCGGTTGTGCGCCATTACGGCATCTGTTCACTTACATCATTCCACTATTTATGTGCTTGACAGTATCAGAAACGAGGCGTATTAACCAGAAAATATAATAGAATTACAGGTGGAATCCCTGTTTTTCTCTCATGTATACATACCTTAGATTGTCATGTATTTCGCCATATATTGTGAGCAATATTTTTGATAAGTGCCCTCTCAACATGAAGGAGGTTCTTTATTTCATTTCATGCAATTGTCTTAAATCTCAACATGTATATCTGTTATCTGCATAGGTATATGATGTGATAGCCTCTGAGTTCAGTTCTACTCGACATTCACCTTGGCCTAGTGTTGTGAAATTTATTGAAGCACAATCACCGGATAGCCTTGGTGTTGACGTAGGTTGTGGAAATGGAAAATATCTTACTGCATCATCAAAACATTATGCTGCTATGAAAGCTAGCACTTCATCAACTAGTGTACAGTGCGAAAGTATAGTTCCCACTTCTAATTTCATTCCTATCGCTGCTATGGAGAGAAGCCCCAAACTAGCAGAGATTGTATATAACAGAGGTAGGGTGTTTTGCCTTGTGTAATTATCTATTGTATCAAACATCTTATCGTTTTATAGTAAAGGTTTCACTTAATGTGAATATTACGAGTGCTTTAACAGGTTGTTTATAATAATATACATATAGGTTTCAAAGAATTTATAAAATTTTAGGGTAGAGTAGTGACTTAGTGGCTTACAGCCACTAAGTCCTGGGTTGCTGTCCCGCTCCAGCTTTTTCATTCTCTGTGGCCGGGCAGTATCATTAGCCCCACACTTTATCTGGCTCATACTCAATTACCTGATAGATAAGTTAATTCCAGTTTTGAAAATTTCGGTTTTTTTTCTAAAAAAAGTTGGAACTAATTAGCTGATAAGTTATCTTTGGGGGTTGGTGTGTCATTAAATTTCACTAGGTTTTATTACTTTTAACGGGAGACTGGTTAACTTCCCAAAATCTGATAACGTGGGTGGTTTGGTGTCAGTTTTTTATGTTTGTTCTGCTAATATCAAATTTAGGTGATAAGAATTACTAGATTGTCATATACCGATTTCTTGAAATTCATTGTAGATTTCAATAAATAGTTGTAACAACTTGTTGTTCTCAATGAAGTTTAATAGTGTGTTGTGAATCGTTTCAGTCTTCTAGAATTATTGGCTCGGTTGTTTCAAAGTAGCTATCAATAGAAAAATTTAATAGTTTCTGGAATATTCACAACTTAGCTATATGCTTTGTCTCAAGAGCATTTATTATATAATCTCGGATTATTCAGAAAAGCATTTGTTCATATACAACAGAGAATGACACATTTTCGCACCGGTTTGAATAGCCACATTACACCGGCTCAACGAGACCTCAGAGTAGTGGAGGTAGTGATAACATCAGTTGTAATAGGAAAGATTAAACATACATAATATGATTTGAGATGAAAATATAAATTCTTGGACTAAAAAATATGTAGAATAACTTTAAAATTCAGCAAATAAAGAATGAATACGTGTGCGCCATTGCAACTGATTCTGAACGTTTCCAACCATTAGTTACGGTAGGCATTCCACATCTACCACCATGACTCAGTCCAATAGCCGACAACTTCATAAACTGATATCAATTTCCGGTTTGGTCGTCCATAGCTTACTCTAAACCCATTTCTACACTGGCGAACATTGTGCGCCGAGTGTTTTTGCGAATTAAAACTTTATTTGACCATACTCATAATAACTCGATTCATCAACCTTGGTGCTGTTCTGCTCTAAACGTTTTATGTGTATTAATAAAATATGTACTTTCTAGAAAATGAATTTGTGTTTATGTAAACAAAGATAATGAAGACGATCAATCTGTTCGATATCATGCGTCCTCCAGTTGCATCAGACTATATTCAGCTCATTATTCCCGCTTGTCATTGTGTATTCCAGATTGGATAATTGTGATTGGTGAGATTTTACTCACCTGTGGAATATAACACATTCCTAACGATTTCGGCGACCTGATTTTATTTTCGTATATATTTTTACTTAGAATAGGCGAATCCATCTGTTTTGTTTCTTCATTCTAGTTCTGTGTTCCATAATAAAATTGATTATCTTTCAGGAATGAAACTAAGTGGATATGTATTCCTAAAAAAACACAATCATTTTGACTTTTTCTTATTACTCATTGTAGTGGTAGGTCTGTGACGGGATGATTATATTGTAAACATGTAATCGATTTATTGCAATCTTTTAATCACTTTATTTCTCGTTTATATTTATTATCAATTTTTTCGATTAATTATTTTTGAACTTTTCAGGCTTCGATGTAGTCATAGGTGACATACTACGAATACCTTATTGTTCAGAACGTTTTGATTTTTTTCTATGCATAGCTGTTATTCATCATTTATCCACTATGGCTAGGCGTATAGAAGCAGTTAATGAGTTGGCTCGTATTCTACGCGTTGGAGGTCGAGGGTTAATACAAGTAATTTGCAAATAACATATTAACATATCCAATAAATACACAAACTAAAGTCATTAAATCTGTATTTTATAACAACCTTGTCGCTTTTAAAGTAGCCTCTGCTATTTCTGACAACACAATTGCATCATTTCCATTTTAGTTGTTCAAACATTCATGTAAACCTTTAAAAGATTTTTAAATACTTTATCTTTGTAAATATTCCATGACTTTTACAGGTCTTATAACGAAATCGATGTCATTCAGCATTTCGGTCGGAGTCCAGTAGTCTATAATATAAAAGTAGAATCATCTGTCTTTGAATAAGCTGCCTAATAACCATCACGAACTTCACTGTATTTTGCAGATGATCTTAAAAATGTGTATCAGTGGTTCAACTAATCGACTTGTATTCTCAGAGCTATCAGTCAAAAAATACCCAACTGTAAAACAACGTCATCGATCCTACATAAAAGAAATATAGCTTGATCTTTAAATGAACCTTCCAAAATTTCATAAATGTCTATTTTACAAAATCGTTTTGCTTGCTTTGTTTGACCAATTGATACTTATCGTTCTCACTTATTTCCTCTTACATACTTCCTTTCAAGGTTTGGGCTAAAGAACAACGTGGTATTTCAAAATCTGAACCGTCATATTACGTTAATCGTAAGACAAAAACTGTTTGTAACGTCAACGATTCTCCAGAATCACTCTCGAAAATCGTTGAAGCTGTCCCTGGTACCTATTTACCTTTACACGTCAATGGTACAGAATTTCAAAATACAGATATGTTAGTTCCTTGGAAGAAAAAAAACTACACGGTGACCGATCAGTTGAAAGGTAAATATACTTTGACTAATTTATTGATTTCAACACATAAATATTGGTACAAAGGGGCACCAAGTACATATGCGCCACACAGTAACAATGAGAATGTGAAAAGATACAAAATGTAAAGTGCGTATAGGGAAAAAGAGAACAAAAACGAAAAGAAATTAGTGTGCGAGAGTGAAATAATAATGATAGGAGAGGTAGTTCGGTTAGCGAACGTACAACCAGAAAGAATTCTTCCAGTTAAAAAAGTTACGTTCATTTTTTATGAAGAAATTAGGCGAAAGTTACAACAGTATCGCCACTGGCCTTTATACTGAGTCATGTCTGATAACGTCTTAATCCGCTGTGTTGCACGATGTCTGGGACCCCAACCAGGGAGTCGTGAAGGACCAACAGAAGCCAGTCCTGTACGGCTTTCCTTCACACCATGACACCATGTCATACACTAACCACCTCTCCGCTTTTTTCCAACCAGTCCCGGCGCCCGCAAATAACGCACGACGTGGAATTCTCTTGGACGACATTCGTAGAACATGTCGAAGCCACCGAAGTCTGTTTCAAGATAGTGATACTAATTGAATTATCGTCGCTGTGCCCGTACACAATGCCGAACCTCTGCATTACTGACATGGTGTTACCAGTGGATGTCAGCAATGCTTCGGAGACAACGATGGTCAAACACAGAGAGTCATCTAACATCCTCAACTCAGAGTCCAGGTTTCACAACCATAGAGCAAAACTGTTCTCACCGACGCGTTGTAGATCCGATCTTTTACAGCCAGACTAACATCACGAAGGCGCCAAATGTGGCCCAGATTGGCATAAGCCGCTCTGGCTTTCACTATTCGTGCATTGATCTCATCACTCACACCACCACCAGCACTTATGCAGCTACCCGGATACACGAACTTCTCGATTACTTCTATCTGCTCACCATGCAAGGTGAGTACAGGATTAGAATCCTGCCAGTCTTGTAGGAGTACTTTGCACTTCGAAGGTGCAAAACACATACCATACCTACGGACACTAATTGCCAACTGATTAAGTGCAGATTGCATGGCTTGGGCATTATCGCACAGCAAGGCAATGTCATCCGCATACTGAAGGTCGAGAAGTCTTTCTCCGGGCAACAGATCTACACTGCCATTCCCTACATTCGTCAGAGCTATTTCTAGAACATCATCGACAGCAAAGTTGAAGAGGAATGATGAGATCCGGGCAACCCTGTCTAACACCACTGCTTGAGTGGGAAAATGGGGAGAGGTGGTTGTATCCCTTCACTGTGCCTGAGGTGTTTGTATATAGGGCTTTTAATATGTTATTAAACTTCTCAGGTACACACTTCTTCAATAGACAATCCCAGTGAATAGTCCTGTCCAACGAATCGAAGGCAGCTCTGATGTCAAGAAACACTAGGATTGTTGGTTGGTGATAAGTATGACGGTGTCCTAACATTTGGCAGAGGGTGAGGATATGATTGATACATCCTCGACCAGAACGAAAACCAGCCCTGCTCCTCGCGAGTCAATATTTTCTCCGGTTTTGAACAATACGAAGTCTAACGGAAGCTAATTGTTTGGACGCGATCGGAAGTAGACTTGTCCCCATGCGTATTCATGGAAAGACTGGATGTTCCTGAGAGTCAGTTACTAAGGATATATATATATATATAATATATATATATAACTTGATGCTCACACTTTGGAGAATTCAATGTTGTGATGTAGAAAATTCTTTTCTTAATTTATTCCGATCGAGTCGTTGGAAAATATAACATTTCTCAATAAAAAACTTTACAGAAACACCTTTTTTCTCAAAACGTTTGAAGAGATAGTCATTTGGTATGAGAAATTTATTAAAGCATTAGTAAACATATCAGACATTCACTTGATATTGTTTTATTTGAATCTTCCCATTGATGTTTTTGGACTGAAATTGATCAGTCTCTTATTGGCATATGTGCATACTGTGCGTATGCCTCGATATTGCCTTAATTTACAAGCATTATAAGCAAAGATGGATAGTGGCTAGCAGTGGAATCCAGGACGCGCGTTTCGTCCTGTTTGGGACTCGTCAGCTGGATGTACCTGCATCTCAGAGTTGATGTTCACTCTGGGACTCGAACTCAGTACCGTTCGCTTCAAACGCCATCGCGTTATCCACTTAGCTACTGAGTCCTGATAGCCACTTGCTTGTGCAATGGGTTGAAGTTTAATTCACTTGATATTGTTTTATTTGAATCTTCCCATTGATGTTTTTGGACTGAAATTGATCAGTCTCTTATTGGCATATGTGCATACTGTGCGTATGCCTCGATATTGCCTTAATTTACAAGCATTATAAGCAAAGATGGATAGTGGCTAGCAGTGGAATCCAGGACGCGCGTTTCGTCCTGTTTGGGACTCGTCAGCTGGATGTACCTGCATGTCAGAGTTGATGTTCACTCTGGGACTCGAACTCAGTACCGTTCGCTTCAAACGCCATCGCGTTATCCACTTAGCTACTGAGTCCTGATAGCCACTTGCTTGTGCAATGGGTTGAAGTTTAATTCACTTGATATTGTTTTATTTGAATCTTCCCATTGATGTTTTTGGACTGAAATTGATCAGTCTCTTATTGGCATATGTGCATACTGTGCGTATGCCTCGATATTGCCTTAATTTACAAGCATTATAAGCAAAGATGGATAGTGGCTAGCAGTGGAATCCAGGACGCGCGTTTCGTCCTGTTTGGGACTCGTCAGCTGGATGTACCTGCATGTCAGAGTTGATGTTCACTCTGGGACTCGAACTCAGTACCGTTCGCTTCAAACGCCATCGCGTTATCCACTTAGCTACTGAGTCCTGATAGCCACTTGCTTGTGCAATGGGTTGAAGTTTAATTCACTTGATATTGTTTTATTTGAATCTTCCCATTGATGTTTTTGGACTGAAATTGATCAGTCTCTTATTGGCATATGTGCATACTGTGCGTATGCCTCGATATTGCCCAGAGTGAACATCAACTCTGAGATGCAGGTACATCCAGCTGACGAGTCCCAAACAGGACGAAACGCGCGTCCTGGATTCCACTGCTAGCCACTATCCATCTTTGCTTATAATGTTTGTAAATTAAGGCAATATCGAGGCATACGCACAGTATGCACATATGCCAATAAGAGACTGATCAATTTCAGTCCAAAAACATCAATGGGAAGATTCAAATAAAACAATATCAAGTGAATTAAACTTCAACCCATTGCACAAGCAAGTGGCTATCAGGACTCAGTAGCTAAGTGGATAACGCGATGGCGTTTGAAGCGAACGGTACTGAGTTCGAGTCCCAGAGTGAACATCAACTCTGAGATGCAGGTACATCCAGCTGACGAGTCCCAAACAGGACGAAACGCGCGTCCTGGATTCCACTGCTAGCCACTATCCATCTTTGCTTATAATGTTTGTAAATTAAGGCAATATCGAGGCATACGCACAGTATGCACATATGCCAATAAGAGACTGATCAATTTCAGTCCAAAAACATCAATGGGAAGATTCAAATAAAACAATATCAAGTGAATTAAACTTCAACCCATTGCACAAGCAAGTGGCTATCAGGACTCAGTAGCTAAGTGGATAACGCGATGGCGTTTGAAGCGAACGGTACTGAGTTCGAGTCCCAGAGTGAACATCAACTCTGAGATGCAGGTACATCCAGCTGACGAGTCCCAAACAGGACGAAACGCGCGTCCTGGATTCCACTGCTAGCCACTATCCATCTTTGCTTATAATGCTTGTAAATTAAGGCAATATCGAGGCATACGCACAGTATGCACATATGCCAATAAGAGACTGATCAATTTCAGTCCAAAAACATCAATGGGAAGATTCAAATAAAACAATATCAAGTGAATTAAACTTCAACCCATTGCACAAGCAAGTGGCTATCAGGACTCAGTAGCTAAGTGGATAACGCGATGGCGTTTGAAGCGAACGGTACTGAGTTCGAGTCCCAGAGTGAACATCAACTCTGAGATGCAGGTACATCCAGCTGACGAGTCCCAAACAGGACGAAACGCGCGTCCTGGATTCCACTGCTAGCCACTATCCATCTTTGCTTATATCAGACATTGTTAGAATAATTGATGTACAAACTCGAAGATGGGAAGAATTTGATCACATTTTTATTCAAGCAATATTCTGGGTGTTATCATATTAGTGTCTGATAGGTTTCAAAACAGATTGTTATGTCATTATCTCGGTTGATATTATTTTAGATCTGTAGATTTATACATGAATTAGGTGTCTATTTCATACAGTTCATCAGTAGTCTTAAATAACGTAGGTTATGTGATATATAAATGTTGTATATCACCGCAATTTGCCACAATATATACATTAGTATAGCAAAACGAAGTTAACATAATGAAAAAAGATAGGAGTCTAAATATTACTATTATTAGCGATCATCATAAATTAAGCAAATGAAATATAATTACGAAAGAACAAATGAAATCCAATATAAAAAGCAGTACATGATATTCAAGATGGTAATGAATAAATACAGCAGCACTACTTTGGTCGATTGTTAACGCACAACATTAAGATATCTAACAGTAAATAACGATTATTCCGCAAATATCAGTTAAGAATGCCTACGTCTTCGTAGATACACGTTCATCCGACAATTAATTACCTGGTGGTAAATTCTTAGGAATATCAATAATTTTCTCTTTTGGAATAATTCCAATTTAATATAACAGATGATGAGAATGACAATCATTTGTATTATTTTGTTTATCATAGAGTCTAATCAACCATTACCCAATTCAATGTATGGTCGTTATTATCACTTATTTGTTATGGGAGAATTGGATGACCTAATATCAAAAGTACCTGCTCTAAAAATTGACAAATCTTTCTACGAACAAGGAAATTGGGTTGTACATGTAACAAAAGTTGTATAAATGTAAATTTATATATACAATAAAAATTTATATTCATTTATATATATATTGATTACTGCTATGTGAGTGTATTTTTCACTTTCCTGGACTTGTTAATTAACATTCAACGGAATAGTAACACTGAATTGTTGACCCATTTCTGGTGAACTGGAAGGTTTTTCTTAGTTATTTCATTATATGAAAATCCTAATACAGTAGAAGACAAGGTAAAAATGTTGCAATAGAAAACCATAAAAGAATCATTGACTTTCGTTTTGAGCCATGACTGATAACGTTTTCAGCCACTAAGATTGGACCTCGACTGGGGAGTCGTGACGGACTGATAGATCCTAATCCTAAACAGTTACTCCTAGTACTCCGGTGCTATATCGTCAAGGTGACCACCTCTGCCCTTTCGACGTAGTTGCAGAATCAGCAAACAATGTGAAATACATCAGTCTCTGGGATGGTATTCATAAAACATGTCCAAATCGACGAAATGTTTTTACAAAGATAGTGACCAACAGAATTATCGCTTCAGTGAAATCATGAAGCCATGTTAGTTAGACCTCCATTAAAAACATGGAGCCATGGCGTTCGTTTCTTTCTAGCATGGGACCCCACAGCAGTGCGGATCTACATCTCCGCACATGGGGATCGAGCCCAGGGCTGCGCGCGAACGCCCAACCTCTAAATTCAACCCGCGTTATTGTACGATCTTTCATTGTTCTCGGTGGGTAGTTGCCTCACAACCGACATGGTTAAGCTCCACTGGTCTCGGCTTCTCACTAGGTCGGAGGTCTTGGGTCCGCTCTCTGCGTTCGGGGACATGGATAGACACCGCTGAGAAGTTCCATACAAGGATGAGACGGCTTTTCTGCACTTTCAGGCTTTCAGTGGTAGTCCAGCCTAGGTTGATATGTGAGTTAAACTATGAAGTTCTACGATCTCCACAACCTCACACTGACAATGTTGAGATGTGAATGAGAAAATTAGTTTATTAGTTTGTTATTGACAGCTGATTACATAAGCGTAACACATAAGGAAACCATATTAATTGAATAGAATGAAATGGGAGTTTATATAAACGTTTTATAGACAAAAATATTAGGCTCATACTTTTGAATTCCGATGTAATGTGGAGGGCAAAATCACGAAGCACAGATCAACTTGAATGGGGATTGATTTATTTGTGGCAATAAATTAGTCTCATTTCCTTTCCCATTGTTCGAAAAATTCATCGAAGTCCCTAGAAATCGACTTCGTCAGCTATCTCGCTGTTATCATCTTATCGTTCTAAATTCGATTAATCAATAATCATCCGGATAGTGAATTGTCAATCATAAAGCATAGGAAACCATACGCTTTCGATATTTCCAACACAGAGATGTCATACGTTTCCTGAGGGTTTTTCAAGTTTCAATAATCTTTAATATTCACCTGTTATCCCAGTAGTTCACGTATTTATTAGACAGACTATATGTAATCAGTCAGACTCAATATTATTTGGATGTGGAAGTGAGTCGATAGTACGAGATTAATCATTCTCATTTTTCTGTCCTATATATTCTATAGAATCAACTAAAAACTAGATAAATAGCACTATTAACCTATTCTTACCCAAGAACTATACTAGAAAGGAATTAAAAACACACTGTAAGGAAATATATATATTTTTTAAATGGTTTATTAATATTATCTAATCAAAAGTTTACAAATTGTAATCAGTTATAATGTAAATCTTTGATAATTCATTATAATTTGTTAATAATATAGGTAGTTTTGGACATATTTCATCTTTATTAGGAGGCCATGATTTAATCCATTTAGCATTGATATAATTCATTTTGTTGAATATTTCATTAGATACAGTTGTTAATTGTAAACTAATTACTTTAGTAATTTTTAATAGACTACTTAAATTATACTCCGTTTGATTATGAATACGCTTTTTAGTATTTCTATGAATTATTAAACGAATAGAAGTGATAATTAATCCATTTTTAAATATTTCTTTGTCTCCTGGCTTTCGAATCTAAGGAATGATTATGACAGGAAGAATACATATAAGGGTGTATATATATAGGGGGGGGGCTATAGTTTTATTTTATTATCAACTTTGTACAGTTTTGTTGTTAAAATGTTAAGTGATAGCAAGTACTAGTCAGTTAATTAGAACGAAAAATAGGTAGGAATTGTTTGAAAACATTTTATTTCTTACAACAACGCTTGATACTATTGAGATCACGAATTGACGTGAGTTAGACACTAAACATCTGTTTCGTCTTTATATGGAACTCATCAGGGTTAATACTGCTAAAAAAATCTGTCCTTTAACATAAATAAACGAAGGCAAATAGCCTAAAAGTGTGAATACATTATTCTGAAATAAGAATATCGGGCTATTATAAGACGATTAATTCGTATTTGCCATATAGTCATATTCTGACAATTTACTGTTTCACATACAAATATGATTTGTTGTGTATGATTGCGGATTTTCTTGAGAGCAGTTACAACGTTTATGTTATAGCAAAGAATACTATCTTCTAATGCTGACATGAATATGATATAGGTCAGCGTATAAAATCATTTTAATACATTAGATTATGTATTTAAGTAGCCCTTTATTCATTTTGTTTCATTAGGTATTTGGATTGTTATGATAATCGGAAATAATTAAACAAATTAGTTTGTATATATCTGAACAGAAATCTGTGCAATACAATGAATTTAGCTTATTCTGGAAATATTGTCGTTCTTGCTTTGTTTAAGATGAAGTAACTTAGTGGCCTGTTTATGATATTATGTCTTGGAATCATTGACAATTGGTATGTGCATCTCAACTCCATGGATTAAGTTTTATAGGCTATGCTTTGATTTCAGGTATGACTAGAAAGAGTATTGCGAATAAAACTCATTCGAGTTAATTTTTTTCTGGATTGCTGTCTGTATAATTCTGTTAAACTATTTTGTGTGACTTTTCTTCTGATGCCCATGTAATATCTAATCTATTTTGAATAACAGCAATATAACATATCTGTATTGGTTAAACACAAATAATAGTCTAGTTCAAAGAATTTTGTGGAGATGGCCTTAATATGTAGGTTTTATCTGCCACAGATTAATCTCAAGTGAGGTATCATTGAAAACCAGGAATCACTGGAAAGGTGTTTCGTCCCACTATGTGACTCTTCAACATTGTTTATCCACAACCCCATAAGGGACTGTACAAACGATAAATATAACCCGTAGGTCAAACTGATCTGCACAAGCTTAACTGAACTTAAATAGTTAGCTCACTAGTTACTTCACTTAAAACGCTTTTAAAATTCCATTTAGAAATAGTGACTGATGGAGTTCAAATATATCGTGAATGAAACAATTGTAATTAGTGGTATCAGATGATCGTTAAGCTATATCTTAAACTAGTTGAAGGTAAGTTTATACAAGTGGAGATCGACCCAGTGACAAATTATTTAGCATAAGACTCCTGGGTCCAATCCTCAATCCGGTTGTGAGTCTTGTACTGAAAAACAAACAAACAAACAGATTCCTAGTCACCTTAAGTTTTCAATGGTACCTCGACAGAAATTAATCTATAATGAATGCAACCTACAAATATTAATCTTTTAATATTTACCACATTATGGTTCATAGATTATATGTAATTAAACTCAATACCATGGATGGAAAACTATTCACTACATATCATCTATCAACTTGAGATAATATTCTACTTATTCTATACGATGGTTAATCTCTATGTTAGTTTACTCTTTTAAGGAGTGTTATTAACCTTGATCTAAAAAGAAAAAAGTTACCGTAAATGATGTTACTTTTCTCATAACTTACAGTAGATATTATATGATATTGTTCCATTGAATTATTTAATGTAGAATATAGAATCCAATCAAATAATGATTTAGGATTAACAATAATTGAAGCTGGTAATGTTAAACCAATTAATTTCTTTATATCCCATGAATTCATTAATTGATAAAAGTGTTTTGCAATTAATAATTGATGTTTTAACCATATAAATAATTTGTAATTGTTTGATGGATATTTTCTGGCATAATGATGATAATATTTTATAGATCGTAAATATGCGTAATACTGAGATGTCAACATAAATATAGGTGAAGTATTTTTAATGGACAATGATGATGATGCCGATGATGGTGGTGATGATGACGATGATGATAAATAACGTGATTCCAATTCTTTGAAGGTTGTTTCAAGTATCCTAACACCGATATGAATAAAAGTAACAAACAATATAAGTGTTAAGTTTGTTTTACATTGTTCCTGCTCATTCCTTTCCTACTCTTTTGTATGTTGTTTATACTACTTATTTATATTCAGTAAGCAGTTGTATGCCCAACAATTTTCACAATCATGTTGTAACTCAGGTTGTACTGTAACATTCTGAAATGTTCACATATATCTTTAACGTTTATTTTACTTATCATTAAATTTATCATTATAATCACTGTAATTTAATTGCTGTAACGGTTATCCACAGTTTTATGCATTTGTTTAAACGCAACAGTTTCCATATTGTTTGCTCTTGGTTCGAGTTTCGGTTGTTCATAAAAACTGTTATCAAATTTAGACACAGCTATCGGCTGTCTTTGGACTATCGTATGTTGTAATCATTCTTTATGTTACTCTTACAGGAAGCCTTTGCTATTTTCATTCTTGAACGACGCGTTTAAACGCCTAGACACCTCACAAGTTGAGGTTTGTAACTAAATTTTGTGTATTATTTAATAAAGAACCGCTTTTGTAGACAAATCGTTGTTTTGGAACTTCGATTTGCGCGTATCTCAATCGGGGTTACTTGGACGCTTCGATAGAATTAACAATAAGATTGATTCATTTTTTATTTTAAAAATGTATGTACAATTTTACCAGTTTACGTACTATAAATTGCAATTCTAGGACATAAAAATACACATATCTTACTGTAATAAACGAAGATTTAGGTGGAAACAATCAAATGTATCTCTAATACAGAATTACAAAGTTCTATTGATAAAATATGAAAACCATATATTCAACCATTCATTTACAAATCTTTCACCAACTATCTCAAGCTTCATCGTTTTTTCATTGTCACAACAATTACTCTCTATTCCTGTTCTATTCGATTCGATCTTCTCGACCTTTTGTTACCACGCATTCCATTTCTGACTACTGTTATATACTACTTATATCGACATAAGTAGCATACACCATACTACTACTAACTATTTAATTAATTTTTATAAATCAAGATGGTTTTATTTGTGCTTTTAATGAATACCACCTAACTAGATTATTCAATATAAAATTCAGACAAAATTGTTTAGTAATACGCATCAAGTTTAGTGATGATAATGAGTTTTCAACAAAGTATATACAAATTTTCAAGAATCTATAACATTATATTCAGTCAATTAAGTAGAAGGTTCATTTCATTGAAATGATTGTATATCCATATCAAGGATTTTATAGTTTTGTTTAAATATGGCTATACAAAATATGATCTCCCCTTTAAAAATGTATTGAACATCACCATGATATCATGTAAATAATACAAAAAGTATAGTTTAAATGTGCTCAGAAACAACTACCATGCAATATGTTTTAATTTCAGTAGTATATTACATTTCTCCTGTTCAACTAATACCATATTGTTTCACCTTTTCGAATTTATTTCAACCATTACACTATGTCGGTTAACTGCGTTATTTACTCACGAGTTTTCAATAAAAAAATTAAGATCTATCATCAAGCTAAATGTTATAGTGTGTTGATAATATCATCTCTCTGAATGAGATACCGATTTAAATCTTATAGGTGAGCATCACCTTCTTGAAGATTATAGTTACACCTTTAGTGATGTAGTTAAAATTCAGGGCTTCTTGTTAAACGCCTTCAATTACCTAACGTTTAGCTACAATATAAAGAAACTTAGTGTAATGTACTACTAATTCAGGCATATACTACTATTTTTCACCATGAATATTTCGTTAAAAGTGTTTACTAAGTAATTATTACTCTGTAGATATTAATTAAATAACAAACAATAGTAATTTTTTATATAAACTTATGTATAGTTGATACTGTTTTCCTAGAGTCGGTCCTTTATGTAAATTACAAAACTCAACAATCTTTACAAAATCCCCTTTATTAGTAATAATCACGTCGTTACTAATGGCCAACTTTCAGAGATGACTTCCGAATTTTGATGAACAGCTGTAACTAGTAGAGTTCAGCCATGCCAACTTTGAGAAAGATTTCGTCAAGCCAAACGGATAATGATTTCACAACATCGCGTGTTAATTGGAGATATAAATCATTGGATGTCAATTCAACGATTTGAAAGTTAAGCACAAACTGTGAGACCTGAACGAAGGTTTTACATATGACCTCTATTTGGATGACGGTTGATCATTGTTAAAGAGTCCTGTACTAGGATGAAAAACCTTCGTTTAACCAGTCCTTTTTACTTTTCAATAACTATCTATACTAGGATGAAAGAACTTCTAACCAGTCTTTTTTACTTTTTCACTTTTCAATAACTATCTGCCCCCAAATGCCCTGGTATGACCGAGAGTGGAGTGGGCCCGCCCTCCCTCTCGAAATGCTCTCACATGGCCACGCGTATACAGCCTCTGCCAGGGAAGTCCTACTCACTGCCTTCTAATGGCAGGGGTGTTGTTTACGAAAATGGGAGGACGAAAAGCGAATATCCGGCGCTTTAACCGGATTCCAAACCAATGGTGCACATGGGCTCCAGTATCCTGGGGAAACAAATGGTGTATGAACCAATTGTTGGTCATTGGCTACCATGGAACTGCATCTCCTCACGATGCTCCACTAACTTGTGTGTCAGACCTTTAGGTCCAAGGCTCGGGGTGTGGCCTCCTAAGAAAACCACCTGCTTTTGTCCGGGAACCCGGGGAGTATCACAGCCCTCACACAAATCGAGTGATTTATGTGGCGCATAACTGTTTGGTACCTCCTTGTACCAATGTTTATGTGTTTAAATAAATAAATAAATAAATAATTCAATAACTATCTAGCTAAAGTTAGTGCGTTATGTAAACTAAAATTCTTCTATCATGATATTGAAAGAATTATACTAATTTTAAAGGTTTAAAATAATTTCCAAAGTGTAGTAACATAGAATAAGCTCTTAACGATTATTTTTCATATTCTCACATTAATTCTTTCTCAATCGTAGCCCAAATTGTATCTATCGATTGTTTTCGTTTATCCATGTCTTGTTTGTTGTATATACATTCGTAAAGTTTGCTGACAAAACAAGAAACATAAAATAGACATTATTGTTACACGAATAAATAGATACAGACTGATCAATCGGTAACAACCCATATTTTTATTGTGTAATCAGTGGTATTGATTGAATTATATATCTATCTATCGCGACAAAGGCTCAATGTGGTAATTAATCCAAATGACTCGAATTAAAGTGTGATTTTTTTGGTATTAGATGGTTTGAAACAAGTAGAGATAATTCCTGTCAATTAAGATTAACTACGTGGGTCTATCTACAAGACTGACACTTTTGATGATGGGTACATGGTGATGTAAGTTTAAAAGAATATCAGTTTCACTGAGATTAGCATGAAATTTAAATCTCAGATATCTTGTCGGTTGACTCCGATTACCCAATATGTATAGGAAATTATGACTTAATTTTGAAGAGAATCACAGTATTTGCTTAATTTTTACCAGAGGTTTTATGTCACCAGACAACAAGGTTCAACTCAATGAAAGAAAAGAATCTTTTTATATATTCCTTTGAGACATTCAGTAGATATATCAATCGTTTGTTAAGAACTTTTCAGTTATCATTGATTTATGTACCGATTATTAGATCTTTGCAAAATTAGACAAAGAAAAGTATTGAGATGGTGGTATTCAAATACATATTACTCATCTTGTATGTGTGAAACATATTGATATCATTTGACATTTTGTAAAGATAAACAGAAGACATGGAGAGTGTCTTAGATTATGACTTACTCAAAACTTCTGATTCTTCATAAATTTTATCAGGTTTTTCCACATAGGTGATGTATTTAAGATGAAAAGAGCTTAACCAAAAATAAATTCCGACCAATGATTTTTGAGATGTGAAATAAGCTGTAAAACCTGACTATAATAGAGATACGAGCTCCGTCTCAACTACCGAATATTGTTCACGATTATCATGTAAAAGATGAGCATGAAATTATAATTTACTTATCTTACAACTCATTAAGCCTGGCTACAGAAATCTGGACTCTCTAATCAACAGATTTTATCAACGAAAATTCCTATAATGGTCGAGAAATCATAGTCAACGACATTTTATATAGGAATTAAACTGATGGATTCATGTTTCATAAGCTTTCTGGTATAAATTCCACCGTCATATAGTGAATACATCAAAAACTATATATATATGACTTCTACAGAAATCACTGCCAACAAAGAATCGAACATGGATGCTTGGTTTGAAAACCTTTTAATGATTCGTTTAATTGGAAATTAGATTTCTTCATGAATTGGTATGAAATGGAGAACTACTGTAAACCAGAGAATTGAACTACTCTCTCGTTCTAGCATAAAACAGCTTAACAGTGCATATCCAAGACCCCCTAGGAATTGAACATACAACATTCCAATATTGTTATCTTTAAACCCTTGATAAGGAATGTACTGTTCAAAATATCCAGCTTTCGAGCGATACATAATACAGTGCAACTTGGTTCAATACGACTGATTGATAATTGCCCTAATACCGACATGGTTGAATGTGTGATATTTCATTAAGACTTAAAGAACTCATCTCGAAACCAGTTACTTGTGAGCATATGATGAATGTTAAGAAGGGAAGTTAATATAGAACACTTTAAATTTGATTTCGTTTCTCATTACAGGGTAGTATAAAATGTATGAATGCTTCTTTTGAATATCTCATGTAAACATTGCACGAGAAATACTCAACATATGAACACATTAGTCTTCTTGGAAATATGAAGAGATTTTTGTAACTTACTCAGATTCAATTTTCTCATATAATCCATCAGACTCTTCTAAACACAACTGTGAATTTTGTTCGTTTATAGAGTCATTGACATTTTCCTGTGGATAGCAAATCGGCTTTTCTTTTTTCTTTACCAATGAGGTCTGAGTTGAAAAGTAGTAAAACCAATTACGTATAAATAACAATACTACTGTTAATGGGCTTGTAGGTGTCATTATTACAGTTTGACTTGATAATTTCAAATAATCAGTATGGGAGTTGTGGAGATTATTAAGTTTTTGATTGAGATCATGAACCGATTGATGTCAAACCACCGTTGGAAACCTGGAAGCCCTGGACGGCCGTTTCGTTCTATTGTGGGACTCTTCAGCAATGCGCATCTGGCTAGGCGTTCGTGCACAAGGGTGAAGGCCCTGGGTTTGAATCTCGTTGGCGGGATCGTAGATGCGCACTGCTGAGGAGTCCAACAATAGGACGAAACGGCTGTCCAGTGCTTCTAGGTTTCCAACGGTGGTTTAACATCAATCGGTTCATGATCTGAATAAAAAATTCAAATAAGCCGAGGATTAGGTAGATTGTTATGAATAAGTAATATATTTTTAGTGTCCCAATAGTACAATAACGTTAACAGATGATAATTTTGGCCTCACGAATGTTTTAATAAGGAGCTAAATCGTGTCGAGTGTGAGGAAGGTAACCATAGATGACAATGGAAGATGGTCGTGCAATATTTCGAATTGCTGAAGGACAGAAATGTACACCATTTGGTTCCGATTCAGCTGTCTGGAGATTAGGTGTTCGCACGGGAGATCTATAGGTGTTGGGTTCGATTACCGTGGTAGGGACGAAAATGAGCACTGCTGAAGAGTCCCATAATGGAAAAACCTGGTCATTCGGTGTTTTTGAGTTGTCAATGTTGGTATAACTTACATCAGTCAGTAATCTCATAAACATGAGAAATACCATCAAAATCTAAGATAGGTAATTCGTTAACACATTACAACTCAACTAAAGCACATGGAAATCTAGACTTTGTTCTTCCCTCAGCTATAATTGTGACATCATTTGGAATATTCAAGGATCTGATTTAAGTAGCCGAATTTCCAGTTTCGTTTGCATCAGGACACTATAATGGACACGTATGACATATTCTGTTCTCTCCTATCCTTACTCTATCTTAAATTGTCACTGTATTATTTATTAGTCTATTCATTTTGTGTACAAGACCTGTTGTGTAATAGTATTTACACTTTCTCGAAGTAGTGTATATCCTGTAAAAGCTCATCTTTGTCCCCTTATTCGGCAAACCATTACGTGAAATTAGGATTGTTCATTTAGTTTTTCTCTCGTCGAGCCCTCAATAGTTGTAGTAGGCTAATATTCTATCTTTACTTTATTCATTTTGTAGCAATATACGGGATTTATTGTGCTATCACCATGTCATGTCGCCAATACATTTAGTCATAAGTGCGGTCCCGATGACGTACTTCCATGAATCTCTTTATGAGACCAATTAACTTACAAACTTTTCGTACTTATAGTGCTAATATACCTTACATATTCGTATATTAGTCTACTTAAATTTATATATTAAAACTGTAGTTAGACTATTTCGAAGCTAATTACTAGTATATGTACAAATGTGGAAATATTCCACAAGTAATTTCGATTCCAAACTGAAACTACTGAAAATCAAAGAGCAATGAACATATCGAGTAGTAAACCATTACCGGTAGAGCTAATCAACTCCATAGTCAAACAGAAATTCACTGATATTACTAAATATATCGCGAAGAGATTAGTTTTAAGATAGCTGAACACTGAGTTCCGATTAAGTAGATACGTAAGATCGCTCTTGTCCAGAAAGCTTGGTATTTTTATCTTTTAATATATGTGGGGTTATAAGTACACATAACTGAACAATTGTCAAACTCGAATAAAGCAATTTTTCAACACTCCTTGAATTTTAATAATTATCCAACTGATTAAGGTTAATGGTGATTATAAGCTTCAAAAACTATACATAACTATCATACTAAAATATTAACTACTCAATTCTAAAATTACATCAATTACTGATGTTCTTACCACTTTCCACGAACTCGTAGTAAATAACAACTGATCACTCTCATATTGGAATAACAACGGTAGACATTTTAATCTTAACCAACCTAGGCAGAAATAAACGAAACGATGATTTATTACTTTAAAAGAAGATAGATTGAGTTTTTCTCTCTCAAAAACCTAAATAATTTAAAAGAAGAACTATGGTTGCCGAATTTGATGATTGTTATATCCTAGCGAAGATTAAATGATGGGTAACTTCTGAGACCTATTAATGGATTAATATTATCTACATATTCTTATGGTACAACTATTCAGTAATTAGATTATGTATATCTATATTCCCATTATTATAAGCTTCATTTTGACTTATAGGTTATTCTGGTACGATTTACTGTTCTTAATTTATGTTCAGTTTATTGATTACAGTCTCCCACGTTCACAGACACTGATATCAACTAAACTAGGGAGATATGGAGAAAAAAACTAATAAGCACTAAACAGTCATAAGGGAAACTGTTGACCTACTGAAACTTTCAGGCCACTGTTTTTTCGAAAAATACATTCACTGCCATACAATTCCCCGTTTTAAACATTTTAATCTGCTAATTATGTCTTTAATATAATGGACAAATGGAAATAATATCTCGTTTTGACGATAATATTATTAAAATACGATAATTCAATCAGTGACTGGGATTTCGCTACCACAAAACAGGAAACTCGATTAATAGTCTATATACAAAATGGATCCCATTAAACCAGATATAAGATTCGTGACCAAATAAAGAGAACCAGAATATACACTAGCCAATACTTGATTCAATACAATTTACAAGCAGTCACAATTAGTGAAATTCAGAGTAGAAATCAATGGTGAGAAAGGAACTCATATATTTGTCCACGTTCAGTGGACACTTAAATTTATTGTCACTAGTCATACATTTGTTATAACTTGTGGCTTGGCCCTGTTAATGTATAACGTGATGGTACTGTCAATTAGAGAACAGTGAATTATCGATCGGATCAATGACGCATAAAACTCGCACGAGCAATCTAGAGTCCTTATCACTCCTGCTTCCTGCCTAACCCAGCTTGCCTGCCTTTCAAGTCCACAACACCAATCTCAGCTCCTGCAATATTAATCATTTATTTCAAACATACTGGGGTTATATCCAAACCAGACAGGCCACATCGTAACATAAAATAGAAAATAACATCTATACAAGATCTAGCCAAATGTGGCTGTGAATGTGGGAGATAGTAATTGATAGTAATTAATAGACTGGGCATAACTCAAGAATGGTAAATCGTATAATAATAGTTCATAGGTGAGAATAAAGCTTATGACAAGAGGAACACAAATATAGTTTATTTACTTAACAATTATACGATGAAAATATACGTATAGTATTGGTCCATAAATGGGTCCCAGAAGTTCCCATTCATTATTCTTATCGGGATATAACAACATCAGTCTTCCAAACTATAAACTACGGTGCTTTCATTAAAAGGTCCACAACTTATGTCTGCAAAAACTCAATAAGTATTTATATATTAAATATGTTAGGCAATGAAAACAACTGTCCTGAAAGCATGATTGGTCGTAATTGATGGCAGCTAACTACTGTTAAAATACTTTTTACATACACTTTCAACCCTAAATTGGATCGAAACTAGAATGATCACATCGTTAGATGATTACGATTATTTCAGATTATTAAATCACATTCCTATACCGTATACGTCCAAAATTTAATTCATTAAAATGACAATACCACTACCGTCGGTGATATTGATTTCACTTTTGTTATAATTTTAATATTAACAATGATGGGTTCCTCCTAGAACTCACTTCGAAATCAATCATACCTACAAACCTTGATTTTCTTATTTCACTTGTTAAATATTATAAATTATAACTTACCCGGTAATCTATTATACACGGATACTATTTGCTTTTCGGATGTACAACATGTGAAATCAATTATAATATCAAAACATATTCCAAGTTTATTGATTAATATAAGCTTTTCTTGATTTTGTAAATGATAAATTTGTTTATACCTTAAATTATAAAGACCATATTGTAATAATTCATCTAATAGTATATCCATTCTCTTGTGAATAATGTGTACATTTTGAAGAACAATTAAAACTCTTTGATATGGAAGTATATTTGTATTGGATCCTGAATAAATAAAGAAAAAAAAATTATATTCAATAAAAATATATTTACATGTTTGTGTAAATATTTCAATGCCCAACGTTAAATCTTTAAAGAAGCAGTAAAATTTAAATAACCCGCTTGGATCCCCTTCAGGGCTTTTGCCGGCCCCAGGTTCGAATAAAGGAGGAGGGTTGGACATGGGTTTAACGACTTCATCCTGTAGAAAACTAACTCGCCAAAAAAACCGCTAACCAGAAAACATAATAATTCAAAATTTAAATATGCGTAAAGTGATATATATATCGGGACATAAAGCAAGTGAAGAAGGGTTAATTCATTTTGGAACTGAATAAAAACGAAATAAATACGACACTGATCTCAAGTGATTTATCTAGTTTATTTTTAGAATCCTTTGGTAAATTATGTCAGTGATACATACTTTATGTGAAATAATTAAATGTAATCGCCAGTAAACCCTGGGCCTAGGTTTCATGCTAGTTGACACTCGATATGAAATTTTATATTCAATCTTCAAGAAAATGATGTACCGTGTCGGATTTAGATTCACGTCATCAGGCTTCACAGTTTGAAATGTTACTAATAAGCTATTCGCATTGCTACTGATATTCATTTATTTCATTTATTTATTTGAACACATAAATATTGGTACAAAGGAGCACCGAATACATATGCGCCATGCAAGTCACTTGAGTTGTGTGTGGGATGTGATATTAACCGGGTGTCCTGGCCGAAGCAGGTGGTTTTCTTAGGGGGCCACACCCGGAGCCTTTGACCTAAAGGTCTGATTCACAAGGCACTGGAGCGACGTCAGGAGATGCAGTCTCATGGTAGACGGTAACCGACAATAGGTTCATACGTCTTTTGTTTCCTAAGGATCCTGGAGCCCATGTACACCATTGGTTTGAAATCAGGGTTTTCCAACTCCCGTAGGTGGATCCTCCGTATCCACCACCTCGGTTAAAGCTACGGACATTCGCTTTTCATCCTCTCAATTTCGTAAACAACACATCCGCCACGAGAAGGCAGTGAGTAGGACTTCCCTGACAGTAGCTGTATACGCATGGTTATGTGAGAGCATTTCGAGAGGGAAGGTGGACTCTCTCCATCCTTGGCCCTACCAGGGCATTCTGTAGGATCGAGATACCTCCAGTGACCAAACATTTAGTGATGACCGGTTTCATATTTATCTAGGCTTCAGTATTGATCAAATACTACCAGTAAAGCTGAAATTTAGCAAATAATGTTAACGATTTGATATCATTTACATTATGTGTCGATTTGAACTAGTCGATAAGTAAACTTTGTGTCTAGTTTTTGTGTGAACCAGTAATCATTTTATTATTCTCAGTTCAGCTTCTAAATTTTCTAGTTGTATTCATTCTTAAACGATCTTGAACATGGTCTTTTTTTATAAAATCATCCTAATACAAATGTGTCAAAACAGATTTGGAGAGAAATCGATTTTTTGATGCTATGCTCTTCATGTGTTTCCTTTTTAATATGTTTTATTTAAGTTTAGTATCAGATGGGTTTTGTGGATATTACAGTAAATTCAATGGTTAAGATCATGAGTCAGTTGAAGCTAGACCATCGTGGAAAACCCTGAAGCACTGGACGGCTGTTTCGTTCTAGTAAGGGACTCCTCAGCAGTGCGCATCCACGATCCCATCCCCGCGAGATTCGAACCCAAGACCTGTCAGTCTTGCGTGCGAGCGCTTAACCACGAGACCACTGAGCCGGCATTCAACGGTGTTAATATCTAACTTCAACTAATCCACGAAATTGAGCGACACATCCACCACTGTCTTCAGTGACTTACTATCTCACAACAGACCTGGTTGAACTCCAGTGATTTATTTATATCAAAACTGAAAAATCAGAATAGTTTAATAATGAATTCCATTAAAAATCATATGAATGAGTTATTACTCTCACTAATGAATTATCATTTTGTACAGGTGAATCAACCATACTAATAATTACTTAGGCGAGACTATAATTTATGGACGAACTAATCAAGTATAAGATAACAGGTCTGGGATTTTGGCACAAATTACCCTCATCCATTTGGTTTAATAAAATTTTAGCATTATAGCTGATGTCAGTTTGTAATGAAAACCCTAAATCTAATTTCTAACCTTAATCATCAATTGTAAATCATAATTCTAATTCTGCACACAGGTATATAACACTCATTTGGTCCTAGTTATTAGGTGAACACTCTCAAGGTCAGTCTAGTGTTTCTCAAAGGTCGTCCATAAATTATAATCTCACAATTACTCAATTCATCATGTCTTTTTGTTAAAGTTAATTTATTTGTCAGATAAGTACTGTGAATACGAACCACGGGTGAACTCGAGGAAGCTGTAGGAGGTTCGGAAGGAGCCGGAGATATTCCACCCAATCACCTTTTGGAAGAATGTTCTAGAATTCCTACGTTTAGCTTCCCTATTGGACAATGCTAATAACCCCCTGTATGCGGATTGATGATTTTGTTCTAACTAAAAACTATAAATACCTGACAATTTTGTACTATAATTGACACTATCTGGGAATAATATTCTTTTCATTAGTCTTGTCTTCTCATTGCGACTTGGAAGGGTTCTGGCGTTCTAGTGCTCACGTTATACGCGGTATATCAAGAACAACCTTCTAGATATAACAAGAACACTGTATTTTGTGCTAAATAATTTGAAATGATGTAAATTAGGAAAGATTTCCTCAAAATATTATACCATTTCTTATGGATTATTTCTTATTTACTAAATTATCACACTTACAATACAGTCATGATTATCTTCAAATTTCTAATTTATACTGTCGAATTACATGCATTTTACTCAGGTTAAACTTTGTCAAAATTAACAGCATTTTAATGAAAAGTCTTATACATTTTGTTCATTTTTAGAGATACTGTTTACTTTGTTAGAATGCAAATGAATATTTGGGTTAACGTTTTTTAGCAAGGTCATTTCTTACTGGATTAGGCTATTAATCCTATGCCCAACCCTTCTCCTATTACCCGGGTTTGGGATTAGCCGTAACCTTAGGATGGTTCCAGGTGTAGTTTAGAATGCACACAATGTCCGGAAATTGTTATCAAATTTCAAATATTAAAGAAGATTACAATGCCTATCAGTCACTCGGAAATGTATTGTAGGGTCAGTGAAATGTCACTGAGCCCTTGTCAAATCATCTGGCAGTTGGGTCACTGAATATCGAACAGATTATCGGTCCCTGTCAGGATCAAGGATAACCAACGCTCATCAGTTAATGGTATGCCATGGACTGGCACGTGAGGTGGTGGTCTCATTATCTTCTCTGTACTCATTCTTACCAATATATTTCCATAATAACGTCCTTTGTGTTATACGGTCTTCAAAGCAGCCATAGTACTTTGGTAATTCACGTTAGATGTTGACTGCGATGTGTGACTTCAAAGTTAGCTGGTTCGTTATACCATTCCCGTCTAACTCGAGTAGGTCCCTAATCATTCGATATAGATAATCTACGCTGGTGATCTACAATATCCCACTCTCAACATTCATTATCTTTTCAATCTATAACAGCCAGCCTACTAACTTGGGTTTAATCTCTTAATTATTATATTACTTACCACATACTGATAACCAGTAGGAGATATCAGTAGTATTTGCACAGTCAATAGGAAACAAAGTTCTATTTGAATATATCGCCATCTTATTCAATGTATTTATTAATCCATTTGAAACAACTACTTTTCCAGATTTATCATGAGCAAAGAAATCTTTATGTTTGAATTCATTCAGTTCGTTTGGAAGGATTACTGTGGAAAGAAATGTACAAAAATTTATACATACAAGTGTAATGTGAGAAAAGAACTGAACTATTAAAGTATATCATCACCAAACAATAAAGTTCGATATTCACCATATCTATCAAAATTCTTTACCAAAAGTAACAAAATACAGTTTGGCAAAACAAATCTCATTTCATTTGTTAAAATATTGAATTTATTATAGCCTTGACTATGTCACAAATAATTAATCCGCTAACTCACTTTATATATCCATCTAAACAATCAATATTAAGTGACTGTCATTCTGTTTTATCAGTAACATCTATTACTATTAGAATTGATGAGTTTCACCCATCACGACCAACCAGATTAGATCAAACAATACTATCAAACCAGTTAGCGTTTTGATTCGAAATTGTGGTCATAGAGCGTTAATCGTTGATAGATTATAGTTTTAATAAGAACACTACCATTGAATAGTATTATTTGATTGTGACGAAGAAACAACATTAAACAAGTGTATAGAGATGTATAATGGATCAGTTTTCCGATGCTATTCATTCCAAGAACAAAAAGTCTATCAAAATTAGTCTATCCATGACAAGTGAACTGAGTCATGTTGGTAGGTGTAGACTACGTGATTGCAATCCGCGAGATGTTATCAACCGACGATTAGAGACCTTGGATGACATGACTCAAAATCGTTTGCAATCGAGCACGTACATCCACTCTTTGTGTTCTCCCAAATTCTAATCTTCTGAATTCTTCATGTCCACTTTCTTTTTCTCTTTCCAAATTTATTTCACTGGATTATACTGCTTGCATAACATCTTCAAACCCTAATCTTTCCGATTATTGCTTATACTTTTACTACCTCTACCACTATGGGATTTGAATCAACAATTGTATCTGTGTGCTAATTTGATATGGCAACTCGAACTGATGTACGTACGTACGAAGGTCTACGTTGTTACTGACTGATTGACTGACTAAATCTATCTCATTGCAAGTTAACTCTGAAACACGTGATAGTGTTTGTAATATACTGAGTTAGAAGCCCTTTTGTAACCAGCGGTGTAGACCCAAAAAATGTTAGCCAAGTTTTAACAATGCAACAGAATTAGTACTATCAAAATATATTTAGTGTATCATTGTTTCATTCGTTTTTATTGAAATTTTGTTGAAATAATTCGAAACGCTGCTAAGAAAATGAAAATATAACAAAGAAAGAAACTTAAAGCAGACTGGGTAAGTAACTTTTTAATCTAATTGCATCATATTCTCTGGATTTACAATAGAAATATTCAGAAATGATATTTTGAGAAAGTGAAGTATCAGAAGGTCTAAAGCTTATCACCTAGAATTAAAAAGTGTTTTCAATCAAGCATAATGATATATACTAATAACCAAGGAGCTTGTCAGTGTCTCTGTATTTTGAAATTGTAAGTAATGTTTGATTTTTCAGGCTTTACATTTCATATAACTCTTCCATAGAGGTTTATATTTTGACTGATTGTAAGCTAACTTTAGTCAGTCAGTCAGCTACAACGTAGGACCAGACACATGTATGCATCGGTCCAAGTTGCCATACCTCATTAACACAACAAGATGAACACCGGGTAAGCTAACTTAACTATCCACGATCATTTTAGATCATCCCTGATCGGCAACATGGCCAAATACAACCGCAGTTCCATTAATCGCTGGTTCACTTTGCTTCTACAATTGGTATCAGTGCGTTATGGAAATTAGGTTGTAGTTATTTATTCCATTTTACAAAATATAGTATATTTCAAAACTAATGATTAGACTTGTAGCAGACAATAATAAATACAAAAAAAACCATTCAACTCACAATAAATAACTGAAGATGAGAAGTCATTTTCATTTGAATAAAACCTTCGTACTCTTTTCATAATTTGTGGTTGAAACAATTCATCGATACGTAAATGCTTTTCAGCTTCAAATGATCTACTAGAATATTCTTTATTATTATTTACTGTAATGTGTTGAGCCATTATATGATTTACGAAAACTTTTGATATGATGTGAAACTAGTGTTAAATAAATGTAGGATTTAAGTAGAAGAATAACACTGTTAGCGAATACATTAAAATTCTACATAAAAGATACACATGAAATACCATGCAGATAAATTTTAATCAAAATAACAATCAATTCACCAATATGGTGCATAAAACTGAAGCTTAATTGTTAGTTCAAAATTTTACTTGGGGGAGAGGAGAATGAGGGACAGGTCAAATGACCTTATTGTGGTAATGATGATATTATCGAAGAAGTTATCGAAATATACATCCCAGCTACTCTCATACATAATTCTCAACCTAATTCACGTTAGAGAAGAACAGAATAAAATAAGTCAACTATGAGAATGAATTTTTGAATATCTATATTTCGTACACTAATTGGTCTGGACAGACAACCAAAGGAACGAAATGGAGAAAACGAAGAGGAGAGAGCGAAGCGAAGAATGTCGTTGGAGAAATAGAAAACGGAGTGATGCGGAGAAGGTGAGCGAGTCAGCTGTATTTGATCAAGTGCGACTCCATATTTATAGCCAGACAAAGATAGTGTGCTAACACGTACTAACACGTCTGTCACCGTGTTCACAGTATTCACTGCATATTTTATATTATACTGACACTTGCAACGAATTATGTTTTGAGTAGACAGGTTTCGCCTTAGCTGATTTAAGTCGCTTATTATGTTTTCAGTAATAGATGTATGAAACATATATATTTAAAATAATTTCATGAATTGATTCAAGTTAGAAATTTAGACGGCGAAACTATAATTTATGGAAGAACTAATCAGATTTACGATAACAGGTCTTAGATTTTGGCGCGAAATTCACTCATCCATTTGGCTAAATAGAGTCTTGGCATTATAGCTGATGTCAGTTCGTGAAGAAAACCCTATATCTAATTCCTAACCCTAACTATCAACTGTAAATCATAATTCTAATTCCTCACACAGGTATATAACCCTCATTTAGCCTTAGTAAGTAGGTAGACACTCTCAAGGTCATTTTATAGTCGCTTAAAGGTTGTCCATAAATTATAGTCTCACCCACAAAAGTTAAGCGCATTTATAAGAATACGTGAGACCTTAAAACATCTGGAAAACATTTTAAAACTGGTCCTCTAGAATAATCTTCAACATTTAAAAAAACGCTGATCAGTCGAAGTGTTTTTACCATATTCCTAGCTTTTGAAGACTTTTTCAGAAAACAGTCAAAGACTTATAACAAGACTATAATTTATGGACGATCTTCAAGCGACGCTTAACTCTTGTGCATAACCATAGCCATTGAAGCAAAGCTTTATTCATACTTTCCACCTGTTTACGGTTGGGGTATTAGTCGAATAACAAATAGTTATAAAGTAAATATCTAGGCGTTCAAGTAAAAGACTTATCAGGACTACTAGATTCTAACTCATTAATCTAAACATTATACGCTCGTTACAAACACTGAAGAATAAAAGCTCAATCCCTGACTAAAGAAAGAGTATGAAATACTGAGAAGTTCCATACTATAACAAAACAGATATTACGTTCCATGTAGTTATTGATTATTGTCTAGCTGAACATTTTCTAAAGAAAATCTCAATATGTAATATTATTACTGAACTTACTAGGTCAGGTCTTATTGAAATCCAAACTAAAAATACATGTGATTCAGGTATTGGTAGTTTCGTAGAGAATCCAGGCAATGAATGAAAAAAATTCAACTTTGTCTACATGATAATAATGTATTGATGTTAACAAAGAAAAGAAAACAGAAAACGAAGCATACAATAGATAATTATTTCAATTCATACTATAATATCATCATTGAATGAATATTGATAAAAATCTTTAGTACAGTAGGTTTGTGGCGACTATTATCAAATGGATTAACAATAGTCATGCAGCAAACGAAAGCTTGGTGGAAATAACCAATTTATTGTTTAGTACAAAATTATACAATGCTTTCGTAAAACTTAAAAACTATACATTAAATACATTATTTGAACATCTTTCCTTGAGTTGTCCTTTACATACTTTATGATTCTTTGAATTCTGTTGTTATTACAATTATTCACTGTTTACATTCCTGTTCTGTTCAATTTGATCTTCTCAATCTTTTGTTGCCATGCATCCCACTTCTGCTGGTGTTACATACTAATTATATCTGTTAACATATGTAGCATACACGACAATCACACAATCAGTGAAAATTTAGAAAATATTGACCAGTTGTTTCATTCAGATATGAAATTCTTCAGTAGTGTGAAGTCATTATCCTACCAGGAACAGAACTAAGAATGAAAGTTATTTATTTACCTGATTAGCATGTGGATATAGTTGGAAAATTGGGTCACTGATGGTGTATGTCTCATTCCTAAGAATTCATATGTCGGCTAATCACGTTCATTTGTTTTTTTTGGTCAATTTCTGATTGACCCAGTGTATAATCTTTTTGAAAAGTCAAAATAAGAAGGCGAATTCACATTTTCTCTAACTCAGTGTAACATTATATGACTTAATTCCTGTTACCAATGTGGCATTTCGATATTAAGATTATGTTTTCCAGTCTAAGACTATTGTAGGTCAATATGTTTGTACTAATTAAGTATAAATTTCGTTCAGTGTGACAGGTATGAACTTTCATCAAGTGTGACAATTATATTCTTTGGATTATTCTGTGTGAACTTCGTATATGTTTCAAAGTAACCTTGGGTATCTTTTCATTTTTATGGTGTTAATTAACTAATCATCAAATGTGTGTAAAATCTGTATATAAATGAGCACATTTAGTTTGATGATGACGTAATTTTGATGATTTGTTTTCTAGACGTGTTTTTAGAGAACTGGTAAGCCATCACTAATACTAGTCCCTGTAGTTTCTCTTCGTCTCTTGGTAATTAAAGTGGTTTCCATTCCAAGTATAAGCTGTAAGACCACCGATGCAACAGAGTCAACACATATACAACAGAAGCGACGCTAAGCATACCGTGTTTCCTTCTGAAAAATAGGTATAGCTTCACGGATTCAGATAAAGGTGTTGAGAAGGAGACGTATCAACATAAAAAGACAGAAATAATTCTAATTGAGAATAGAACTACTTACCTCAACTATTTCAGTCCATATTAGTGGCTCACTCATTAATGCTTTTTCTAAACCTTTTAAAGTTGGCAATTTTTCTTCCAACAGTTGAATACGTTTAAGAACCTGATAATATATATGGAAATGAAATTGAATGATTTTTGATGAGAGGATTTTTATGCAACTTTTGCTGAGAAGTATACATTTTGAAAAATATATTACCATCTGATATCAGTAATTTGACAGTGATACTGTGATGTACTTCTTGTTGGTGTGCAGCAGTTCGCTGAATCTTGATTTATGGGTACTGAAAAACAGCCATTAAGAGTAAAGGATATTCATAGGTTACTAGTATTCTGTGATATAATTCTTCGAAGCATTACCCGTGTATTTTAGGACCACCGAGTAAGCAATCCCCAGGTTAGAAATAGGCTACTAGATGGTAAATCTTCATCAGATGAGGGGGACAAGAACATGTATTACGTATCCTAGACCACGGTCTATCCTGACGGACGATATTTTCTGGTGTAGGAATAGGTTAGAAGAATGTTAGAGGGAGGCAAAACCAAAACACAGCATCAGCCCACAATGTCACTGACAATTGAACTGAACCATGTTAATAGGTGTCGACTGCCTGGTCGGTTTTCGCGTGATTATCGTAAACAATAATTATAGACTTTGAGTGATATGGCTCAAAATCACTTGCAATGACGCAGGTGTATCCATTCTTTGTTCTTCCCCAAAGTCTGACCTACTGCATTACTTTCTTTGTGTTTTTGTTTCACTAATTTATATTTTCTTGAATTATTTCTTCGACGCCTAATATTTTTTTATCACTACTCATACTAGTGCTATCTGTATTATTCTGGAAATCGGGCTGGCAATTTCATCTCTCGGTGCTAATGAGGTATGGCAACTTGAAATGACATATGTACGTATCAGATTCTACGTTGTGACTGATTGATTTAGTTGTGGAAATTTCAGTCATTCCGAACAACATTATCATCATCCACTTCATGTAGAACTAACCTTTTCAGTTGTCTCCCAAGCACCAAATCAGTTGGTTTTGATGATCTTGTTCTTCAATGGTTTTTTCACAGGCTTCTTTGTCTTTGTTAGCCTTTGTATTCCTACTAACTATTTGCTTGACTTCTGATCATCTGATCGATCGGCATATTTCGTGTGGATTGATAATTTGGATCTACACTGCTGTGTCTATCGAAAGGTCCTTAATCGAAATTCCCTGTTATTCTTAGGACCTCTTCGGTCGGTAATTTTTGACGTTCACAATCAAATTAATGTTCGTTGCCATCTACGTGTGTCAATATCAGAAATAAAATATCACGTCATTTCGTTATTAGTATGTCGTAGTGGAGGTTCTGTCCTCCTAAACCAGTGTAGTGTTCTTCACAGGTGGTGCTATCTACTTTATAGAAAAATGTTATCTCTGTCTTTTTCCTCCGTTGTATAATTCAATCTATATCAAATCAAATGATTTCTGTGAGTTGACTAGGGAGTGACATTGACTCTATAAGGATTTCAGTACACTTCTCATCTCCGAGATATTCTACACAACTATTAATCCATAATGAAATGTGACTGATCAAATTATCTTGAATAATTGATCGATTTTCAATTATAGTAATTTTTTGTATTGATAAATTCATTTGATAAATGTATAATTATCAGTATAGGGGTTAGACATTAACACCATTGGATACCGGCTCAGTGGTCTAGTAGGTTAAGCATTAGTGCATGAAACTGAAAGCCCTGGGTTCGAATCTCACGAAACGGGACCGTGGATGAGCACTGCTGAGGAGTCCCACATTAGGACGAGACAGTCGTTCAGTGTTTCCAGGTTTTCAATGGTTATCTAACATCAATCGGTTCATGATCTCAATCTAAATGCATAATTATCAAAGCTTACCTCTGATTTATTGTGATTGAAACAATGTTGATAGTTATATTCACACGTAAAAATATTACTGAAAATGATCTGTTTAAATAGATCAATCTCAGTTATCTGATCTGGATTATGTAATTCATAAATAGTTAATTTAGAATATTGAAGTATATTAAAATATATTGAAATTTTTATTTGTATTATTAATCCTAATGGATTGTTCCAAGTGTTTAAAGAATTGAGAAAGAATTCCAATAACATATGTATAATGCGTCGACCAATTTCCTTGCAGAAAAGATAAGAAAGTAAAGTTAAGTAAACTTATGAACTTCTAATCATAAAACGTTCAAATTACAATTAATTTGATGTTACTATTATTATGTTTATATTGCTGAATTCAAAAGTGGTTAGATTATTTAAGACAGCTATTTAGTAATTTATTAAAGCCCATTATGTTATATCCCGATAAGAATAATGAATGGGAACATTTGGGACCCATTTATGGACCAATACTAGACGGATATTTTTATCGAATAATTGTTAAGTAAATAAATTATATTTGTGTTCCTCTCATCGTAAGCTTTATTTTGATCTGCGAACTATTATTATACGATTTACCATTCTTGAGTTATGCCCAGTCTATTAATTACTATCAATTACTATCTCCCACATTCACAGCCACATTTGGCTAGATCTTGTATAGATGTTATTTTCTATTTTATGTTACGATGTGGCCTGTCTGGTTTGGATATAACCCCAGTATGTTTGAAATAAATGATTAATATTGCAGGAGCTGAGATTGGTGTTGTGGACTTGACAGGCAAGCAGGCTGGGTTAGGCAGGAAGCAGGAGTGATAAGGACTCTAGATTGCTCGTACGAGTTTTATGCGTCATTGATCTGATCGATAATTCACTGTTCTCTAGTTGGCGGTATCATTACGTTATACACTGATAGGGGCACAGAGCACAAGTTATAACACATTAGGCTAAAATGTCACATATCAGTGTTAATCGTAGACTGTCAACTATTTAGTAACAAATTAGATTCATAATTATCTTCATTGACTTTCGGTAGCTCTCATATAATAAATAATCGTAGACTATTATTCCAATTAAATATAGAATAAAAAAATGAAATAAATCAATGAAATGAAACAAGGAATTCGCTCATCAATTCAGCAGGACTCTAAAAGGTTTGATAAGTTATTAGACCTCAATTTATATGACTAATTCTTGATGAATCTCAGAGAAACACATGAATGAAATCCATATGTTAGGAAATCTGTTTCACAATCAATCATTAGTCGAAAAGTCATTTTGCTGAATTTAGTTGCCGGAAAAGGTTACACAGTGATTCCGCCATATTCTATCAGTCTACATCACAATATTTTCATCCTGAATTCAAATCTAACTGTTATCTAAGTTTAATTTTTACAGAATTAACCAGATGTTTGATAAACTTCATGGGACAATGAAGCGGTTAATCACACATTATCACAGTAGCTGTTCCATTACATCTGATCTTAAAACAAATTAAATTGAATTCTATAAACCGAGTGTCCGGTTGGTATACATGTAACTATCATAAAAAGTTTATTTTGTGTTTATTAGATGTCAATTCCATTGATGTAAATATTAAAATTCTAGTTTCTTATCAAATTGAGGTAAAATAAGTCTTGATGTGTTTATAAACACTGCATAGTAGTGTACGTGTTTGGTGACTGATAGATGACCACAAATGTTTTCTAGGAATTGGAGAACACCATGTATGAAACATTTAAGCATCTAACATTGTATTGACTACAGTATATCATCGAATAGTTACACTTGTTGACCAACAAAACTCCTATTAACAATGGAGCATAGGCTATGATAATGTGGTAGATAATATGAGTGTTTCCATTTCATTACAAAACAGTGTGAGTTAAATGTTCTATGATATTAAACATTTATTAAATAAAATTCAGTTACGAGTAAAGAAGTGTTCCAAAGTGAATACTCATATAGTTATATAATAGCCATTTCTCCCATTTAGAAACTAATCAATGTAGAAGTTATTAATTCGATATGATGAACATGGTTTGTAGCACAAAAGAAAGATCCTAAAAGTTTCACGTTCTCTAGGGCGAATGCTCCAAAAAGAAGTGGACTATTAGAAGTTTTCTGGGTCAGGGAAAGGAAGAAAATAGTGAGAACATCAAGTTGATGAAATCATTTGTTAGTCACCTAAGAAATTTTGATGACTCCTGGTTTTTTGTGGCTTTTTAGTATTTAGTTTGATAGCGTTGTTCAGAAAGACAATTAACCTTTTACAAATAAACTATCTAGCTCAGAGATGACAGATCCTCTAAAAAACTTGAAAATTACTACAATCTACACAAAAGTCCTTCTGATACTAATCAACATATGCCCACTAATGACTGGCTTCAAGATATATATCCTGGAGTTCTAGTGAGAAGCAGTGATCAGTGGAGTTCAACCGGGTCAGTTGTGAAGTAGTAACTCACTGATGACAATGGTGGATGTGTCGTTCAATTTCGTGGATTAGTTGAAGTTAGACATTAACACCGTTGGATGCCGGCTTAGTGGTCTAGTTGGTTAAGCGCCTGGTGTGAGAGTGATAGATCCTGGGTCCGAATCCCGCGAGGCGGGATCACGGATGCGCACTGCTGAGAAGTCCGACAACAGGGTGAAACGGCCGTCTAGTGCTTCCAGGTTTTCCATGGTGGTCTAGCTTCAATTGACTCATGATCTCAACTGTTTAGAATAATATAAATCAATTATCCTCCAGTGAACAACAAAGATAAGGTGACTATAATCAGAATCAAGTTACACACATTAAATGTCGAAAAAAACATGAAAACAGCAAACAAATGAGAAAATTGAACAAGTAACTATTTCAAACAAGAAAATATGTTAATCATCTACTTGTATTTCATGTTCATAACTGATGAATAAATCAGATGGAGAGTTGATTTCATTAACATTTTCCAAATGGGAAGAATATAAACTTTGATCATATTTTGATAGAATATATTCACACAATCGTTTACATGGCCAACGAAATGAAATATAATCTTTATATTGTATATCTTCTAAACTATGGAATAATAATGATATTTTACGAGTAAAATTTATGATACATCCATTTGTATTATTTTGATTGGTAAATATACTAAGTTGATTGTTTAAATGTTCATGTTGTAATTGTAATTCATTTAAATGCATCATATTACTTGATAATCTTGAAAAGATTTTAACTAATTCAATATGTTGTCTTGTTAAATTTAAACAATCTACATTGAATTGAATTGAATTAGTATTGGTCATTGAATTATTTATATCAGAATGGAATAATTTGTAATTTGTTAATTCATTTGATATATTCAATAGTTGAATCTATAAGAAAAAAGATAAAAAAGAATAAGAAAATAAGTTTTCAGTTTGGATTGTGAAGATTATTAAGTTTTTGATTAAGATCATAAATCGATTGATGTTAGATCATCATTGAAAACCTGGAAGCACTGGACAACCGTTTCGTCCTATTGTGAGACTCCTCAACAGTGGAGCTAATCCGTGTCGAGTAGAGACAGGTATCTACCTTAGTACAACGGAAAATGGTCGCGCAATTTCGTGGATTAATTGAACTTAGACATTAACACTATTGGATGAAAATGATCTTTACATTTTTACAATTCAGTCCAGTAAAAATAAAAACCCCTTTCATTTGAATACACTCATTTGTTTTACGTAGCTTGTTATTATTACGTAATAGTTATCAAAATCTTTAATTACAATGTAAACGAATACCAATAAAATCCTTTATTTATTGATTTTTTTCCACTGATTGAAATCATGATTCAATTGAAGCTAGACCACCAGGGAAAACCTGGAATCAATGGACGGCGGTTTCGTCCTAGTATGGGACTCCTCAGCAGTGCGCATACACGATCCCGCACCCCGCGAGATCCGAACCCAGGACCCATCAGTCTCGCGCTAGGCGCTTAACCGACTAAACCACTGAGCCGGCCGGTATCCAACGGTGTTAATGTATAACTTCAACCAATCCACGAAGTTGCGTCACCGTACTCCATTATCTTCAGTGAGTTGATATCTCACAACAGACCTGGTTGAACTCCACTGATAACGGCTTCTCACTAGAACTCCAGGAGTATCTCTTGAAGTCAATCACTAGTGAGCAGATGATTATTATCAGAAGGGGTTTAGTGGAGATTTTATAAATTTCACTGATCGGATGCCGGCTCAGTGGTCTAGTTGGTTAGGCGCCTGGCGCGAGACTGAAGGTCCTGGGTTCGAGTCTCACGAAACGGGACCGTGGATGCACACTGCTGAGGAGTCCCACATTAAGACGAGAAGGTCGTTCAGTGTTTCCAGGTTTTCAATGGTTATCTAACATCAATCAGTTCATGATCTCAATAAAAAAATTGTATTTGTACTTTTGTATTAGAATGCATTTTTTTAAGATTAGGCATTAGTTGGACAGCAAAGGATCTATGCTAATTTATAAAGTTCATAGTGAATTGAATATTTCAATCGTTATTTAGTCGGGTAGTTTGTGGAGATAAGTAAATTATTCATCAATGAATAAACTTGAAAATAATTCTGGGAGTTCTAGTGATAGACCATGATCGATGAAATTTAACCATACCGAATGTGGGGCAGTTACCTACTAATGGCCTTGGATGAAAGTTTTACAACATCATGAATTGATTAAATTTAGAAATATAAACCACTGGATGAATTATTAGTGATTTGAAGGTAAAGCACTGACTACAAGACCAGTAAGTTCTAGATTCTATCCCGGGGTGGGTAGTATGTGTGTATTACTGAAGAGTTCCACACTAAGACAGGGTAGCGAATCAATTATTCTTGATTCACGCCGCTCATATTCTAAATGAAATCAGTGCATGATGTAAATTACGAAATTTGTGATGTTTTTCCTATCGTGAGTTGACATCAGTTGAGGAAGCGTTGAAAATCAAGAAGCACAAACTACTGTTTTAAACATGTTTGGTGATAAAATTGAAGACATAAGCCACTTGTTAGAAGAATTCAATAGTAGTCAAAACCACATTTCTCTTACATGTGAAGAAAAGAAGAACAACCAACTTCCTTTTCTTGACATCCTGATTACTAGGAGAGATGATGGTTCCATCAAACGTGCTATATATAGAAAACCAACATGGACAGGACAATATCTTAATTTTCATAGTCACTGCCCTATTCATTATAAACGTGGTTTAATAAAGAGCTTATTCAATAGAATCAATCGTATTTGTACTAGTGATACTATTGAAGTAGAGATGAAGCTCTTGACTGATGCGTTATTCAATAATGGTTACCCTTTGAAGTTCATAAACCGCTGGAAGGGTTGCAATATGACTAGACCTATGACGCTTCTGGCACCCAAAAAGCGAGATTATATTACGCTACCATTCAGAGGTGACACAAATAGTCTCATGTTGAAACAGAGACTTAAATTAGCTATCAACCGGACATTTTATGCAGCCCAACTTGTCATTATCGAAAAGACAAGGTCTATGTTTCACCAAAATCCCAAACAGCATGAAAACGATTGTGTCACATCCCATTGTGTCTATAAATTTACATGTATGTGTGGAAACACGTACGTAGGGAGGAGCAATCGTGATTTGCAATTAAGGGTGGGTGAACATATACCAAAATGGTTGCAAAATCAGATGAATTCCAATGGTGAAATAAGATCACAGGATAGACAGACATCATCATCCATTGCGAAACATTTGATTGAGACGGGTCATAAGGTTGATATCAAATCAAAAATTGAAACCCCCTTTATGTGTTCAAAAACAATTTGTACTTACACTTAACCTACCCTGGTAGTACTGATTTACTGTCCAGAGTGGTAATCACATTTGTTTTTATGTACTTTAATATTTTTTCCTTTGTTATGACTTACCCTTAACCTGTCTCGTTGACCTTTTAATTTTTCATATATAAATGTTCTTGACAAGTATATGTGTGATCAGATTGTTCGAAATGTATTGCGCAAATATATCACATAATTCTGATAAACTACGTCTTCTCATTGGATTATCGAAATTTATCAAAGGGACTAATTGTTTTAAATGTTTGGATATCTCAGACGGAGAGTACTGGCGAATCGGCCAAGTATTGAAACGAAGAGCTTACATTACATTTAGATCACTAAATCGATGTCCAGCCATCCGAATTTTTAATATTACTCAACTTGCGATGAATATATAATAAAGCTAATCCCTATGAACCAATCAACTAAACAATAAACATGTGATCACTAGCGATTACCTCTGTTAATGATCTTAAAAATTCTCTTGGCACTTCATTACCAATGAATTCCATCCATATAGGAAATGTAACGGTGATCACTGATGACTTTATATGATAGTTGAGACTGAATTCAGCCCACAGACTAATGTATTCCGACTCAATTTTTTAGATGTAGCATACGCGCCAAGATATCTGGAAATCATTAGTTTGATCTCTGATGGTGCTAAATGTGCACTTCTAAAAAGTCATAAGCGAGAATAAGACGGGCATCTAGTTCGCAATTCTTTTTGGTAACTGTCCAGATAGTGCTAGTTTGCGAAGTAGAGAAGCAAGTTACATTCAAACTTATGTAGTGATCAAATCAAAGGTCAGAAACTAATAAACAATTCTATCTAAAAACATTAGTACTTGAGTTCACGCGGTGATAGAACATGGAGAGGAAATTCTACTACTATTAATGAGTAACTGAATAAAGACAAAACCCCAGAATCAGTCTGCCTTATTGAAGTAGGAGTTTGATTATAATACAACTAATAATCTTAGTAGCACAATTACTGAATTCATCAATGAGATTAAATGTAATCTACTTAATACAAATACAAATATTTACACTTACTTTATCTTCACAAATCTTTTCAAAAGTTTCAATTTCATGAATCCTTAATTTTTGAAGTGAATTAAGAATATTACAGTTAGGCAATAGATCTAACAAACAACTTGTTAATGCACTGCCACATTCCAAATGAGATAAGCCTAAATCAATTGATATAAAATCAACTTGGCAAAATTTCTGTCTACATTTAAATCCTAAAAGATTAATAAATATAAGATAGAAAGAAAATATAATTGAAACAAAGAAAAGATATCCATTTAAGAAAATCTGTTTAAATAAAGGTATTTTGTAAAAGTTCGAAACTACTTACAATAATCGTTAGTAGTGTGGTATGTGCTATTGGTGGCGACAGTTATAAGTAGTGTATATCATCAATCGAGAACGAAATGCCTGGTGGCACAAGGTTAAGAAGATCAAAGAAAGAAGAACGAGAACAAGGAATGATTTGTTTAGAAACGAAATAACAATGAAGTTTGAGATGATTGACTGATATTTGCAAAAGAAACAGTCAAGTTTGAGACAATTGATTGACATTTTGCAAATGAAGTATTTACTGTATGATATTCAGATTTTACTAAGATGTTCTGTAATTTTGTATTTGAATACATTCGATTGTTCCCACTTGTGTTCTCGTTCACTACAGTAGGAGTCAATTGACAATTGTACTTATGTCTATAGCAGATATCATTTCTGTTTATGACTTCATTTACTTAATAATAATTAGGTTATAGCGTTTAAGGAGAAACAATGGTTTAGTAGTTGAAACAGGAACAATTTTAACTCTACTGATCTACTTTAGTTAAACCAGATAAATAGTATCACTAGGCATCATAGAAACATTATGATTCAAGGTTGAATACCTACAGTTCTACTTGATATACAAGGTGAACTGTTTAAACTCTAGCTCACCTATACTATTTAGTTTAAGAGTACTACATATTAGATTATAATTTTTCATTAGAGATTTGGTTTCAAGTCATAACATGTACTATATTACTGTTTTAAATGAACCACTCTGGGCTTTACTATGCCGACATGTTCATAACAGATAGTTGTGGATAATTCCAGATAACTGAAATGAAATCTTTAGTGAAATATTACACTTCATTATGAGGAGCTCACACATTAAACATGTAGAAAAATGGTCGAAAATATCAGATATCTCACACTTAGTGAATATTAAAAATGTTTTCGATAACTTCAATCAAGTTAATTTAAAACCCATGAGACAGTAGGATATAAATTTTGTCGACCATTTACCTGCCAATACAAATAAGGTTTGACTGTTAGATTGATATGATGGGAAAGCGTGGCACTTAGGACCTAATTTACTGGAGAATGATTGACGCATAAGATGAATTGTGTCCAAAGGTTTATGATATCTGAGTTTGTCATTTTACCGTCAGTATTTTTTTCCATAAATGTTTTGTCTCATTACACGAAAACGTGAACATCTTACTAACGATCTTTCTTAAAATTTTAAATCATCCGGTGGCTTGAGTCAACAATAGTTCGCTTTCATGAACAGACATCATTCAGCCACCTTGTATTATTGTATATCTTCTATTGATTATCATTCTTCCGTTTTATTTAGATAATCGAAGATTTGTTCATCAAAGCATTAGAATTATGCTCCGCAGAATAGATACTTTTTTAAATTGTCACACGTCATCATATATATCGAAATATTTTTAACACCACCATCATCTAATCCAGTAAACATACACTTATTCGTTACTTATGCATAACTACTCTGGTTATTTGATGGTAACTAAATTATGTATTTTAACTTTCATTGCTAACAATTAGATTCGATAATATCATCCACAAACTGGCTACTAAAAGCAAATGAATTAACTTGACATTTTAGAATAATATAGTTGAGGGCTTATATTCCATTGATGCGGGTGTAGATATTACTTATCTATAATCGTGAATTATTTCAATGCACATTTACTTATTCCATTTTACATATTGAATATTGAAGAAAGTACATGATCGATGTTATTTGTCTCAAGGTTCAAATAAATCGATAACAATTTAAGTAAAAGTAGTCGTTGATCTTGAGATAGTGGAGAAGACTAGAATTTCAGGTGTACGATTTCGATAGAGTTTCGTTCTCTAAGCTAATTCGTTTAATCGTGAAACTATCACTGTTGTACTGAACAACATCATTAGTACAAACTTTAGTTAGAAGTGAGCTGTTCGAATTTCTTCACGTATGATTGACAGCTTGTTCTGTTGACTTGATTGATTATTGTTGACTTTTAACATGTTGTCTGTGTTATCAATTTTGATTCATATATTTATCTTTGATTTTTCTATTCGGTTGATTAATTGGATCAATTTCAATGTGTTTTTTGATCATTGATTGACCTGAATTCTAAGCTTTTCACCATACAAAATCTCAACATATTCCCAGTGGAATGTGTGCCTACAAATATCTATGTTCATTGATATAAGAGAAGATACATCATGATATTTGACAAGATCAAAAATCAGGTCAAAGGGAAAGACAATCAAATTAAATATACAGACAAAAATATGTTAAAAGTCAACAATAACCAATCAAGTTTTTGATTGAGATCATGAACTGATTGATGTTAGACCACCATTGGAAACCTGGAAGAACTGAACGACCGTCTCGTCCTATTGTAGGACTCCTCAGCAGTGCGCATTCACGATCTTGCTCACGGTATTTGAACCCAGGGCCTTCAGTTTCGCGTGCGTACGCTTAACCTACTGGACTACTGAGCTGGTATCCAACAGTGTTGGTGTCTAACGGCCGTCCAGTGCTTCCGGGTTTCCAGTGGTGATCTAACATCAATCAGTTCATGATCTCAATCAAAAACGTAATAATCTCCACAACCGCTATACTGATAAATAACCAATCAAGTCAAAGTCAATAGAACAAACTGTCGATCATATGAGAAGAAATTTGAACAACTCACTTTCACCTAAAGTTTATAATGATAATGATGATAACAATGAAAACTCAAAGAACGAAACTCTACCACAAAAAGAAAAAAACTAGTCGATCTTACTCAACTAGATCATCAATGATATGAATAAAAGAATGTATAATGTCATTTACTTTAATTACTTACCAATTTCGTTATATTGACTAAATGATGTCCATAAAACAATTTGACTATTTTTTGTACTGGATATATTTTTATTGAAGACTTGGTTAAAATAAAATCTTAATAAATAGTTAATATTTTCTTTTGCATTAAAACTATGAAATTGATCCACATTAATGAAGATTATTTTATCTAAGAAGAATAAATTATAATTAATAATAAATAATGAAAATGATTCATTGTTAATGAACTTGTTTGAAAATCAATATACAAATTTCAATAGTTGAAATCATGAGTTAATTGAAGCTAGACCACCATGGAAAACCTAGAAGTACTGGACGACCGTTTCGTCCTATTGTAGGACTCCTCAAACTCAGAACCTATCAATCCCGCGCGCGAGCGCTTAACCACTAGACCACTAAGCCGGCATCCAACAGTGTTAATGTCTAACTTCAACTAATCCACGAAATTGAGCGACAAATCCACCATTGTCTTTAGTGAGTTACTGTCTCACAACTGACCCGGTTGAACTCCACTGGTCACGGCCTCTCACCATTATTCCAGGATATATATCTTGAAGCCAATCACTAATGAGCATATGCTGATTAGTATCAGAAGGAGTTTTGTGGAGATTTTAATAATTTCAACTATCTCCACAATCTCCATACAACCCCTTCTGAATATACAAATCATAATATGTGAAATAATACGAATATAATTGTGAACAACTTAAAGAACAAGAAATAGAAACTATAATCCCAATGGACATCGTCAAAGAATTATTAATAAAATGTACTATGAATGTACATTTCAAGTTTAATAGTGAAATATATAGATAAATAAACGGTGTCGTGATGGTTCACCCCTAGGTCTTATATATTGGCTGATACTTTTTGTCTCTAAATTAGAAAACGGCCCACTGTTATATATATATATATATATATATATATTAATAAACTGAAAATTATAGAAAGAATTCCAATTGGGCAATGGCTACTATTCTGAAGTATATAAAAAGTATAGTAGGCTTTCCAGCTGATATCATCTTCACGTCAACCGATTATGATCATAAACTTTGTACGACTTATTCCACAGGTAATGACAGTTATTATTAAATATTTACATATTTTAATCTCAATTCCGATCCAGATTTTAAATACTAATCTATTAATTTATTATCCTCCGTACTACAATATCATGTTATGAAGATTGTTGAATTTAAGGTCTCATATTACAGATTGATCTTGATCAGATTAAGGATCAAACCTTTAAATATCAATTCGAATTAGAAATGAAACACTTATTACTAGCAAAGTTATTTGTTCATATTGGTGAAGAGCATCAGCGTAGAATAGAATATAAGTTATCAAGCAGTTTCTAGTCCCTTTTATAAATTTCAGTAGAGTAATGATAAGATAGAGTTGAATTGAAAAATGTAATGTAAATTACATTATACATTTCGAACAATCTAATAACAATTCCATCATATCATTATCTTTATCAAAGCATCAATCATAAATAACCCTATTAACTTACTTGTATGAATGGCGTAGTTAAAATTGGATATAAATTCTTTCATATCTATGTAAAGATCACAAATTAATTGATCTTTTTTGCTAAAAATTAGATTAAGAAAAGTACAGTGTTATATTTCTTGATATTTCTACATTCAAATGATCCAAAAAAAACCATTGACAATTTAATTCAGATACAGTTAGTTGTCTAAATAAATATAGAAATCAGAAGGGGTTTTGTGGAGATTTTAGAAATTTCACTGATTGAAATCATGAGTCAACTGAAGCTAAACTACCATGGAAAACCTGGAAGCACTGGACGACCGATTCGTGGATTAATTGAAGTTAGACATTAACACCGTTAGATGCAGGCCAGTGGTCTAGTTGGTTAAGCGCTCGCACGCGAGACTGATAGGTCCTGGGTTTGAATCTTGCGGGGCGCAGGATCGTGAATTCGCACTGCTGAGGAGTCCCACACTTGGACGAAACGACCGTCCAGTGCACCCAAGTTTCCCCTGGTGGTCTAGCTTCAATTGACTCATGATTTCAATCAGTGAAATTCCAATTCTTTAACATTGAAGCAGTCGTTTCTAATTGTATTGTATCCAGTGAATGTTTTTGACAGTTTTCATATTTCGTGTTCTTAGTTCTAATTTTAGTATTATCTAAAGTTATTATTTGGATCCAAATATTAGTAGCCATATACTTTTCATGAATTACCCTACTTTGACTATATAACTTGACACAGTATGTATCGTAGACACTTCATGAATTGACGTCCGTAAATCACTTCATATTAATTTCTTAATAATAATACTGTCTTTGCAGATAATCTTATGTCATTTATACACTGGATTTCACGCATCACTTAATCGTGTGAATGATGGCTTCAATATGAAGTTACAGTTTGATAAAGTAAGTTTTTCCAACTTTGAAAAACTAAATTAAGCCAACTAGAGAATAATTTGGTATGAGATACAGTGGTTGTTAGAGTGAGGAGACTGACAACCTCTGACAGGTCCGATCCCGTGTCACCAGCCTCGCAGTCAGAGACGTTACCGCCGAGCTATCCAGGCCGCGATTGACCTCATGTAGGACTGAGGTGTATTTACAATTGATTGATCACTGGGTGGTGACCAATGTCATGTATGTCAGGTCCTTCTTAGTGCAGATCGAAACCTAGGTCCAGAGTTTCCTGTTGACCACCTCTAACCACCATCTTATCTCAACATAGTGCACGCAATGTCCAGTAACCTAGATTGGTGGCCAAATTGCAACTTGATCGATAGGAGTCTATCTGCCTTAAGAAAGACCTGACATACATGATATTGATCAACACCCAGTGACCAATCAATTGTAAACATTTACTTTAACTGAACAACAAACTTACCTTGAAGAAATGTTATCACTTTCATCAGTATCATCTTTTGTTAGTAATAATGATTTTATTACATTGATACCAGTTAGATCTGGATCGTAAATAAACAGATATAACATTGATTCATCCACATTATTGTTATCACACTGTTTAGTATGAGCATATCTAATCGACCATAGAATTGTAAGTATAGATAGGATCGCTTCAAGTGTATAACTAATATGTTGATTATTATATAAAAGTATTAATTCTGGTGGAAAGTTTTTGTTCAATGTAAACCATTTCATTAGTTCGTACGGTTTTGCTTGAATAATTCTAAACAATGGTAAATTTTGAAGAAATTTTTCACATTTTATTAGATTTTCCTCTGCATCGTTCGTAGTTTGGTGATAGACTTCCTGGAAAACAAGTATAAAAGTATTATTTTCTAGACTTTCTTCAGAAGTATACTGTAAATAGAATAGTATGAACTGAAATACATGGTGAAACTTTAAACAATAATGAACACATGTAATAATTTCAATAGTTAAGATCATGAGTTAATTGAAGCTAGACCACCATGAAAAACCTGGAGGCACTGGACGGCCGTTTCTTCCTACTGTGGGACTCCTCAGTGGTTTAGTTGTTAAGTTCTCGCGCGCGAGACTGATAGGTACTTGGCTCGAATCCTGCGAGGCGGGGTCGTGGATGCGCACTACTGGGGAATATCACAATGGAACGAAACGGTCGTCCAGTGTTTCCAGGTTTTCCATGGTGGTCTAGCTTTAATTTATCCATGATTTCAACCATTGAAATTACTACAATCTCCACTAAAACCCTTCTGATACATATGTAATAGTTTAGATTCTCCACCTGTTGATATTCAAGAATGCACATAGTTTTTTTCTATTTAGGCAAACTGGTAACCTAATTTTATGTCTTAATATTATTTCTAGTTAAGAGTTTTGAAAATTTCAGGTCGTGACTAGCAAAGGAATCCAGAATAAGATTTTTGTTTTATTTGGGATAAGTCACTAGCATATACTTCCATAGTACCGTTGATGATGTGGATATCGGAACTCAGTAGCTTATTTGATAACACCATAAACCTACGTTGGTTACAGTGATTTATTGTTCAACGTGGTGAGTTCCACATTGTTTTTCACATTATTTTCTTTATTAACTTTATTTTCTATCACCTTCCATTTTAGTTTACTTTTTATTATTCATATATATATGTTCTTAACATATATACGTGTGATCGATTTGTTCAAAAGGTATTGCTCGAATAAATATCATATAGCTTTGATAATTTTCTTCTCATTATTACATTACCTAAATTTATCAAAGGGACTATTTGCTGTAGATAACACACTGCTTTTCGAAACGATTAGTACTGGGTGTGAGTTTCAGTTTGAACAACAAGACTGTATTGTTTATAAATTCAACTGAAGTGGCTAAAAAGGACGAAATGTGCGTTTTTAGTTCTACAATTTATTACAATCGAAGAAAATCATGAATTTTGATCGAAATTGACTTCTTTTAAATTAAAATTAAAACTCATATCTGCTGTACAACCAGGCACCCTGCTGAAATCAGTAGCTAGATTAATAACATAATGGCGTTTGGAGCGAAGGGCACTGGCTTTGAATCCTGGAGTGAACTCCAACTCTGGGGTGTGATGGAATTCAGCTGATGAATCCTAAATAGGATGAAACCCGCTCTTCGGATCTCACTACTAGTGACATTCCTTTTCTTCTTTGCTAACGTGTGTTATAATTCGATGTATCGACGTGATTCGCATGGGATGAATATATACTAACTAATCATCTTGCCAAAATTCAGTCAAGAATATCAACAACGGGATAATTCAATCCGTCTCAACTTGAACTGAACCCGACATAATTGTTTGGTTTGAATGCGATTGATTCCAGATGCTTTACAAAGCTTTTTTCATTCTAGTTTGCGACAGTCTTCGGTCGAATATATATATATATATATATATATATATATATATGACGCAATTTTGCTGAACTAATTTCAAACAGTCATTTTTAGAAGAATGATAAAATTTACGAAACGTGATGATAAATAACAAAATAAGTGTTTCTTTAAAGTAATCAACTTCACCTTCATTTTATTCCAAACAAGAGTTTTGAAATTATTCCACAATGAAGATCTGTAAAATAATAACATATAAAATAAATAATACAAGAACCAAGATATTGGTTTGAACTATGCACTAGGACTACTCAGTTATTCGATTATTATTGATTCTTAATGGATGAGTAACCTAGATCGGTTTGTAATATCACTAGTATTCGGTAATCTCCTCAAACCACCACAGTGATAATTATGACGGGTCCACTAGTGACTAGTTTTAAAAGGTAATTGTGGAATTCTAGTAAGAAGTTGTGACCAGAGGAGTTCGAACGTTTCAGGTGTACAACAATTAACTACTGAAGAAAACAGAAGGTTTTGACGTACTATGGCAAGGTAAAACGTCGAAGATTAGATCCCGGCTCAAGGGTTAGCGTTCATGCGCTCTACCGGTGGGTCCTGAGTTCGTTCCCCAACAGTGAGGTCGTGAATAAGTACTACTGTGGTGTCTCATACTTGAATAAAGCAACTGGTTAGTACTTCCTGACTTATATGGGATGTGTAACTTAGGTCAGTTTGTAATATCGGTGACGGTTAATAACTCTCATAAACCTCCATACTCATATTTTATTTGTTAGAATAATGATGGTTAATGTAGCTCTCCTGCCTTTACTGATTTATCATGAAATTTATCTCCAAATAATTACAAACGCCCATAAAACCGCCTAAATAAATAAATAATAATTCTGTAAAAACTAATGACTATCTTTATTGAGGATTTCTCGAAATTCCCATAAGAAGTTATGGCTTGTAAAATAATCTTATTCGTAAATGAAACTGTAACATTGTTCTAAACAATGCTAAATTAGTATGATGTAAGTAATCGCTGTATATTATGCACTGACTGATGTTAGATAATGTGACCATAGAATTTGACTATTTTCAGAATAAATATTAATCTGCTGACTAAGAGACCTGAAAGTTCTCGGTTCAATACGTCCTACCATCCTGGACGAACAACTGTAAGAAGTTCATGCGTTACAAGTAACAACCATTCCACTTTTTCTATTTTAAAATGGTTTTCAAGTTGATATCAGTCATCAATGAAATCAGACAAACTGTTTCTGTTATTGTACTAGGACAAAATAAAATGTACACATAAATTTTACCTAAGAAAGAGAATACATTCAGAAGAAATTATCATGAATATAAATTGTTTCAATAGGCTTAGTTCATGATTTATCTACATTGAAAGTTATAACCTATTCATTTGTTAAATCCGTTTTAAACCACAGCAAAATTTGTTTAAAAAGAATAAAAGCTAAAAAGTTGTTTATTCAGTTTATTGTTTAGATTTTGATTGAAATCATGAGTCAATTGAAGCTACACCACCATGGAAAACCTGGAAGCACTACACGGCCGCTTCGTCCTAGTGTGGGACTCCTCAGCAGTGCGCATCCGCGATCCCGCACCCCGCGAGATTCGAACCCGGGACTTATCAGTCTCACACCAGGCACCTAACCAACTAGACCACTGAGCCGGCATCCAACGGTGTCAATGTCTAACCCCAACCAATCCACGAAATCGAGCGACCATCTTCCATTGTATTGAGGTAGACACGTGTTTCTACCCGACACGGATTAGCTCCACTGGTCACAGCTTCTCACCAGAACTCTGAGAATTTTCTCACGAAGCTAGTCACTAGTGAGCACATGGTAATCATCAGTTTAGGGGTTGTGGAGATTGTTAAGTTTTTGATTGAAATACTAAGACGAAACGGCTATCCAGTTCATCCGGGTTTTCCATGGTGGTCTAGCTTCAATGGACTCATGATTTCAATAAAAAACTTAACAATCTCAACAACCCCTAAACTGATTATTGTTTAGAAGTGCATGTTTACTTTCTTGTCTAAAAAAATCTCCCCACTAGATCAACCCAAATCTTATCAAGCAACTATATCAGATTAGTTTTTCAAATCATCTATGTCCTTTCATTACACAATGAAAATTACTATAAAAGTGTTATACAAGGGTTCTTATTAGCTATATGAGTAGTTGCAATTGTTTGACAAGTCTCGGTATATCACGTCCTTGTGCTTATATGCCATCTTATGGTCAAATAGTACATGCAATACTATATTAAGGGGAACAGATTATATTCCTAGTCAAGTTCTTAGCTTATACGTCCTTGTCTAAAATCAGAAGGACAATTTCGAGGTTCTAGTCGTTTCTCAGTTTTCTTCACTTACACGATTAGTTGGACAAAAATGTAGAAAGCATGAGTACCAGAATCCAGCGTTGTGAATCGTGACAATAATCATTGGATTACTTTTGATGTAACATAATTTAAAAATTGATAGAATTGTAACTTTAAATAGAACACTAGTCAAAGTTTTAATAACCTTATTACCATCACACTACTTACTTCACTGCATATTCACTAAAAACAATAAATACGACCTTCATTTCGAAACAAACATACACACAAAAGGACAGAAAGTAGAAAACTAATTACCTATGCTTAATTGGTAATGTTTGACAATACACTGTCCCCAATGCTCCGAGTATATTGAACCAAAATGACAAATTTTTAGTTGCATCATGATTGCTAGTATCATTGTATAATTCAAATAAATTACTCTGTATAGTTGATGCCAATGCTTTAGCTTCATGAATTTTATAATCTAATATCTATAATAAGAAAAAAATAGTTAATGGATTTTTATCCTTAGAAGAAATCGATTCCATTGGTCACTCCTGTAGGACTGACCAATGACATTATCAGATTAGTAACTAGTATTGATTAAATTTGTGCTCAAATGTATTAGGTTACACCACATGCTAATAAGCTGTCCGATTATATTAAGTTCAGAGGGACTGGATTTTGGTTCATATAACTCATTCTGTGATTGATTAAAAACAGTAGAATTCCACGAAGAAAATTTTCGTCCCGACAAAATCGCTCGTATTTATCGTTGTTTGGGTAGATAGATGAATCTTTATGAAGAATAGAAAGAGATTACATCATAAAGTGATCTGAGATTTCAAATATCAAGAGAAGGTTGAGTAATGTCAAGCGTTTAAAGAAGAATAAGAGGATGGAAATGATTTATTGGTCTGGAAAGTGCGAAGTATGAAGAGAAAATGAAAGACATAAAGGTCATAATAACAAGTGAATAGTTATCTCGGAAAATCACTAGAGGATAATATCAAATGGCTACGGTTTAAAAAGTGTACAAAATAATAATATAAACAAAAACAAGACATAATAAAGAAGAGAATTAGTGCTAAGGAAGGATGAGAGGTTGGATGTATCACTTTAGTACGTAGAGTTTAAACTTGAAATTGGGGGTCGTCGACGCCCCAGTAGTACTCTTAAAAGAATTAGATCAAAGAGAGGCCGAGTCAAAAAATTATGAACTGCTGAGGCGATGGTAATTAGCAGGAATAATACAGGGAAACATTACAGTCATCATAATGATGGTAATTGTTGAATCTGCGTTGCCACGTCTATATTTGGAGTTGTCGTCGTTGTTACATATGTATGAACTCTACTAGATCTGAAGTCTTACTGATTATACTTGACCATTGAAATTCTCACAATCCAAAGTGTGGACATGAAAGACTGGTGCAATGAAGATTTATTAGCTTTCCAAAAACATTTCCCTAAACAAGTTTCAAAATCACGTCCAAAATTAAATCGCTTATTAGAACAAAATACATTCATTCACGTACTAATTTTTGGATATACTTTATCAGTGCGGCGTTGTGGTGATCGGAAAATTTTCGATTGAGATCATTAATTGATGAATGTTAGACCACCACTGAAAACCTGGAAGCACTGGGCGGCCGTTTCATCATAGTATGGGACTTATCAGCACTGCGCATCCGCGATCGTGGATTGGTTGGAGTTAGATATCAACACCGTCAGGTGACGGCTCAGTGATCTAAAGGTTATGCGTTCGCGCACGAGATCGACGGTCTCCATACTGGTAATATTTTTCTATTAAAACTATCAATATTTGGGACATATTTGATATCACTTTTTAATAAGCATTAAAATCAATACGGAAAACGATTAAGCTTACATCGATATTCTCTGAAAGACGTTTAATTTGATGTTCACATCCAACTAAATGATTATTAGCCATTTCTATGTTTATTTTTGTTAGTTGTAATGATAAATGTAAATTGCCTAATGCTGATTCATTTCGTCTAACTTGTGCTTCAATTGAAGAATAATCATCAATGTGATTCTGTAAACGTTCTCCAGCATCACAGCAATCACATAATGCTCTTAACCATTGACATAATCGGGCAGCAGCAACACTTACCTATTAATTCGGATAAAAATTTTTGATAAATTGAATGAACCAGTCATTATTTTAAATTGGTAATAGGGAGACACAGCAAGAATGAAACTTATTTACTCATTGAAGTATGTAGTGATAATGGATATCGTAGAGTTGGAATGTAGTTAGCAGTTTGATCCTATAGAGGTGTTTTTCCTATTTGATAGTCGTCAGCTGAATGTATCTCCATCCTGGTATTGGTGTTCAGCATCTTTCTTCTAAAACACCCAACACATTATCCACAGAGAAATTAAAGACGAAACTAGACCTCACTGATAGCCAAAAACTAAATAGATTAAAGCTTTGGTAACTCTAATCGAGGGACTGAGCTCAGGATACGAATGTGATAACAGAGTAACTACCTGCAGTCATGAATGTTAACAACGGAAAACCATAAACCCTTATTGATGATTGCCTTGTTTAATAAAAGAAGTTTGTTACGACAAAAAAACTCAATAAGAACGTAAAGAGTTTTAATAAGATTAAAGATTTTTAATTAGTACTGCTTTAACGCATAATATATTTGCTAATTATAGCCTTTGCGTCTCTCTATATGTGCATAGATTTTAGTGTGCCTGCTCTCTGTACTATTCAAAGGTATACTACAAGAAAGTTTTCAATTATGCGAATGGTTTCTATTTGACAAATTATCACTTGTTACTTAGTTGAATAATTTCAAAAGCTTATCGACAATCATGTTCATAATATCAGTATGAGGATTGTGAACATTACTGAATTTTATTGAGATCACCAAGCGACCTAGGTTAGACATCCATTGAAAGTCTAGAAACATTGGCCAGATGTTCCGTGTCAATGTAATGCTCCTCACTAGTGAACATCCTTGACCCCACCACTGGAGACCAAACTCAGAAATTTCAGTCTTACTCATGACCGTTTAACTTTTAAACCACTGAGCTAAAATCCGGAGATACGTTCACCTAATTTTAATCGATTCACACTAATAAGGTGTGGGACAGCAGGAAAAAATGGTTGTCCAGTGCTCCCAGGTTTTCAATAGTTGTCTGGCGGCGATCGGTCCATGATCTCAGTAAAATATTTATGATAATTTTAGAAGAGTCAGCTCTTGGCCTACGAATGCCCTTCCACAAATTGTGTAATAGAGTAATTTTTTTCGAAAAGTTCCAAGATATAATGAGTCGATGGGATAACTGAACATTTTATCATTTAGTCAATAAGGATGCTGAGTAATTAAGTAATTACAGCTTTCACCATCCAGATTTCCAGTTCTTCTCTGGTTATTTATTTTATTTCAGTTCAAAGGTATTTTGGGTATCTAAATGTATCCAATGTTCTAACTACATGGTTAGATGACAGAAAAATCTCTTTATGATTAGGGATATAGCTAATGTATGGCAACGTTTCACTATTTCGGCCAGGTGTCAGGATCCACCTTTTTATAAAAAAGTCTGTCTTTAGAAATAAAATCTCTTAAGAAATTAAACACTGTCAAGCGGTTGAATGAGATTGATAGTTCGTTCTAAAGATAGTGTTCATGTCACTTGAAACTCTTAAACGAGGCAAATCCGTCATCTTGAGAGAATCGATGTTCCACATATGACTTAAATCAACATCTCCCAGTGCCGAAATCAGTATCCAGAACAAACAAATAAACTTATATGTTTAGAATGATAAAATCCAGGAATTAATGATTGATACTGTTGTTAATATAAACAGAATGAAAAATTGTACCCTTGACTAAATTATATTATGCTTGTGATGAAATCTCAAATTCCTGAGTTCGAGTCTGTATAGAGTGAAGATTATATACTCCTTAGATTTACTAAACCAGAAGATATATCTGTTTAAGATTACTTGTTCAAGTATTAGTTTATAATCATGATCTATGAATGAAGACATTAAATGACATAGCTCTAGATTCCCATTTCAAAGCTTCCATCTTATTCAACTGAAACATATTTTTTCTAAAACCTTTTTACTTACCTGTAATAAATTTTCAAATGTTAATATGCTTGAATTATTTAAACGTTTTCTTAATTCATTATGTTTATGTTTATTAATTGATTGAATGGAAAGTTTCAAGATTTTACTAATAAATTTGACTGGGACCATCATGTGTTTTGCATTTTCCCAACTTCAATTATTGAATAGAAAAAAGTATATAAGGGAAATAATAAAAAAACAAGAACTTTATACATCATAAAATACCTTATTTCGAGAAAATAAAATAATTGAGAATATGTACATATACAGAATTAGAGAGAGAAAACACGACGGCGTACCTGAGAAGATAGTCAATATCATACGGGATTCCTATGATGGATTAAATTGCGGAACTGTGCATGGAGGACAGCTCACAGACTTGTCCGAAGTAAAAACCGGTGTCAAGCAAGGTTACTTACTCTCATCCTTTCTCTTTCTCTCGATGGTCGATTGGATCATGAAGACGTCAACATCTAAGAGGAAGCATGGAATACAGTGGACAGCTAGAATGCAGCTGGATGATTTAGACTTCACAAGTGATCTAACTCTTCTACCACACAACGAAACCAAAGAATTGGGAACATGAATGTATTCAGTCATTTACTTACAAATCAGTTCCCACTCAGGTTCTAGTATAACCTTGTTTTATACCCTGATTATGCAGTTAGATAACCTGGGACATTAGTCTCGAAACTTGTCAATCTCCTTGATAAGTGTGGCTACTTAGTATGACCTTGTGACGGAATATATGAGTTCGATATGTGACTAGTTGACCCTGAGGGTAGAGAACTACCCTATTCACTAACTAACGATCTGACGCGTGGATATTGAGTGTTTGACAAGAGAATAGAAGATCAAAGTAATAAAAAACTTATATCCGAATTCCGGACTCAAGTAACTAAACGAATAATGCACATTAATATCTGCTAAAGTAGACTGCAATTTGCATTAAATGAAAAAGGACAGTATATCCCAAACTAGATCAGCTAAGGCACTGGAATAGTATACAATTTTTATGGTAAAGTTACAAAAACGTTGAGATAGAATCAAAATATTACAGTCGCATCTCTAATGATAGTAGGATTTATACTAAAGCTTGTCGTTAAGAGGATTAGGAAATTACGTTAAATTAATGTTAGTAATTCTAACTGATTCAGAATTAAGCGTGTTAATATTCTAAACAGTAGCTTTTATAGTTTATCAATTCTTCTTTATTATTCTGTTCACAACAAATCTTAAACCTAAATCTCAATCATATTCCTTAATCCAGATCTTAATCGTCTTTCATCTTGAATGTAACAAATTATTCGTATATATATATCCTGTATTCCAACTGACTAAAGATTAACTCTATCTTCCGAGGGCCAATCGGAAGTCACTAAGGGTCATGAGTTGAGCATAAATTTACTGGATTGTTCATACTTTATTTAAATCATATTAAAGTTCAGTACTCCAGTTAGGAAACATTAATGTTAACCCACAGAATTGAAGTCAACCGTTTATATCTCAGTAGTTCAATATACCTCTTCACTTATAGATAACATGATTTTAAGAAATCAAAATAAACTTTAAAAATATATAAACAACTGACTTTTCCTCTTCATCCATAAGCATACAAATTAAATAGACACAATTTTTCACGTCATCTGGTGGTTCACGATATGATCGTATTTCATCTAAATCTTCAATGGATAAATTATGTAACCCTTGAACAGCTAAACGATAAGCATTTTTTAACTAAAATCAAAATAAGTTTTTAAAAAAGGCATAAAAATTTATGTTTACTCTTTTTTTGTCAAAAATGATTCAAAGAATAAACTAGAGTATGCTTAACTAGATCTCGTAAACAGTGAACTTTCAACAATCGGACTAGTTTCAGACCTTGACGCAGAGTTATTGACCTAATATTCATCCTTTGTTATATTATAGGACTTAGTCATACCTACCAACCGCCTAGTGTAATGGTATTTAATAACCTTATGACAGTATTTAACTCAATTGCTTGACAAGTAACTGTTACCAAAAACGTACACAAACCTTATGATGGCCTCCTACTTGAACACTACTGGTTGAGTAAGAGCTTATGGTGAACTATCATCAGAAATGATAACATTAATTGATGTTCACCAGAATTGTTCATTATCCTCATTCTTATTTCGCTTTTTCATAGGCTTTTGTTTAAAGTTAACGATATCGCCATCTGGCTCTTATTCAGGGAGACGTGGTTAAGAATCGATAGAAATGGATCAGGTACATTCACAATTTGTCTTGTTGTAAACCTTGATCTTTAAAATTATCTTATATATTTTACTCGTGAATAAAATCTCTCTTCTATAATCAGATTGTCTACCTGTAATGTCGTTTGCTATTACTGATTCTATTATTATTTCCACTATTCTGACCTCTGTTTCGATAGTTTCATTTGACTGTTCTGATATTTTGTATCAAACATGAGTTAATATCTTGTTTTATGAAATCAGTCGAACTCGATAACTTAATGTAGGGATCCAGAATGTTTTCAACTACAATCAATATCAAATTAGATCCTATTAATTATCCTTCTTAATCTATAGAAGAAATACTTTAGAAGTAGTAAATACAGTTCTATGAAAGTAAATGTGAAAGCCTACAGAATATTTACGAATTAGTTTGATTATTTGCATTACATTTCATGTGAATAAATATAAAAGGAACATTATATTTAATGCATAAAATCTACAAAATCACATTTGAAAATATACTATGAAGAGTACAAGTATCAATGACATCTTTCTGTTGTATCTTATTTAAGATATAAACAAATTATGACTTCAGAAGATATGATAGGCATAATGTCTTCTGTTATAACTTTATGTCCGGCTTTTATCACATGATTTGTCCACCAATCAAAATACGAATTATACAATCTTCGCACTGTGCCAAACCATTGACGTTCGACCGGTATGGGCAGTCAAGCGTCCTTATTGGTCCTATGTCCTCCTAGCCCGTCCACTTGAGACGAGAACACCAAATACCATCTCCCGATATGCGAATCGAATCGAATCATTTATTTCAGACATACTGGGTTCATATATCAACCAAACAGACCGCAACGCATCATGAAATAGGAAATAACATTTGTACACAATAAAGCCAAAAAGTGACTGTGAACGTGGGAGGCAGTAGCCAATAAACTGAACATAGCTTAAGAACAGTAAATCGTACAATAATAATATATAGTTCAAAATAAAGCTTATAACAAGGGGAATATAGATATACATCATCTAGTTACCGAATATTCATACCATGAGAATACATAAATAATAATAGCCCATTAATAAGTCTCAGACGTTACTCGTGAGTTAATCTTAGCTCGGATATAACATCTTCAATTTTAGAAAATGATTATTTTGAAAACTTTAATCAGATATGCTTCAGTTTACCAGTTAGTGACTTCATAAACAGACATTATATCTCATTACATCATGTCACCCTTAATACAGTCGGATGAAAAATGACTTGACATATACATAGTGTTAGTTGATTTTTATAAGAACAAGAAGTTGAAAACAAGGGGTTTCTCAGTCTAATTCTGAAAAACTCCTTTGTTTTACATATTACTTTATGTAATTTGCTCCGCCTGGAGTCCCTCCGGGGGCTACTGCCGGTCCCAAGCCCGGATAAAGGAGGAGGGTTGGGCATGGGGTTAGCGTCCCCATCCCGTAGAAAACTAACTCGCTAAAAAAACGCTAACCAGAAAAAATTATTCAAACCTTTTAAACTCTGCCCTGGGAGTCAGAAGATCTTCATTTAGAAGAATTATGACGCCTCATGATGAAAGCCGAATCCCTTCGGAAGTTATGAGGCCGATGCCCCTTCTGACAACCAGAGCAACCATTTATTTAGGTACATGGAATGTTCGTACAATGTGGGACACCGGAAGAGCCTTCCAGATTGCTGCAGAAATGAGAAGATACAACCTAGAGGTACTTGGGATCAGTGAAACACATTGGACACGAGTTGGACAACAACGACTAACTACAGGAGAGCTCCTGTTATACTCCGGCCATGAAGAAGAAAATGCACCACATACACAAGGAGTTGCATTGATGCTGTCCAAACAAGCACAAAATGCACTTATAGGATGGGAATCTCATGGACCAAGGATCATCAAAGCCTCGTTTAAAACAAAGAAAGAGGGCATTTCAATGAACATCATCCAATGCTATGCACCTACCAACGACTACAATGAAGACGCGAAAGATCAATTCTACAATAGGCTGCAGTCAATAGTCGAGAAGTGCCCAACAAAGGACCTGACCATTCTGATGGGAGATTTCAACGCCAAGGTTGGAACGGACAACACTGGATATGAAGACATCATGGGACGACACGGACTGGGAGAAAGAAACGAAAATGGTGAGAGATTTGCAAATCTATGTGCCTTCAATAAGCTGGTCATAGGCGGCACCATATTCCCACATAAACGCATACACAAAACCACATGGACTTCACCGGATCACTCTACACAAAACCAAATCGACCATATTTGCATCAACAAAACGTTCAGGAGGACTATAGAGGACGTGAGAACCAAGAGAGGAGCTGATATAGCATCAGATCATCACTTACTGGTCGCCAAGATGAAATTGAAACTCAAGAAGCACTGGACAACGGGGCAGACAGTATCACAAAAGTTCAATACGGCCTTTCTCCAGGATACTAATAAACTCAACGAATTCAAGATAGTCCTCAGCAACAAGTTCCAGGCCTTTCATGATCTACTCAATGGAGAAGGAACTACTGTGGAGAGCAACTGGAAGGGGATCAAAGAGGCAATCACTTCAACATGTCATGAGGTCCTGGGTCACAAGAAGCACCACCACAAGGAATGGATCACTGTTGGTACACTGGATAAGATTCAAGAAAGGAGGAACAAGAAGGCAGCAATCAATACCAGCCGAACAAGAGCAGAAAAAGCCAAGGCACAAGCTGAATACACGGAAATAAACAAACAAGTGAAGAGGAGCATCAGAACCGACAAACGTAAATATGTGGAAGATTTAGCAACGACGGCGGAAAAGGCTGCAAGAGAAGGAAACATGAGACAATTGTATGACACGACAAAGAAACTCTCTGGAAATCGCCGCAAACCAGAACGACCAGTGAAAAGCAAGGAAGGCGAGGTAATCACCAACATTGAAGAGCAACAAAACAGGTGGGTAGAACACTTCAAAGAACTGTTGAATCGACCAGCTCCACTGAACCCACCCAACATCGAAGCAGCACCCACGGACCTCCCAATCAATGTTGGCCCACCAACAATTGAAGAAATCAGCATGGCCATCAGACAAATCAAGAGTGGCAAAGCAGCAGGACCGGACAACATCCCAGCAGAGGCACTAAAAGCAGACGTAGCGGCAACTGCACGGATACTCCACATTCTCTTCAATAAGATTTGGGATGAGGAACAAGTACCAACAGACTGGAAAGAAGGACTACTGATCAAAATACCGAAGAAAGGCGATCTCAGCAAGTGTGATAACTACAGGGGCATCACTCTTCTCTCAATACCGGGAAAAGTCTTCAACAGAGTATTGTTAAACAGGATGAAGGACTGCGTAGACGCCCAACTTCGTGACCAACAGGCAGGATTCCGTAAGGATAGATCGTGTACAGACCAAATCGCAACTCTACGGATCATTGTGGAACAATCAATTGAATGGAATTCATCACTCTACATCAACTTCATTGACTACGAAAAGGCATTTGATAGCGTGGACAGAACAACACTATGGAAACTTCTTCGACACTACGGCGTGCCTCAGAAGATAGTCAATATCATACAGAACTCATATGATGGATTACACTGCAAAATCGTGCATGGAGGACAGTTGACAAAGTCGTTCAAGTGAAGACCGGTGTTAGGCAAGGTTGCTTACTCTCACCCTTTCTCTTTCTCCTGGTGATCGACTGGATCATGAAGACGTCAACGTCTGAAGGAAAGCGCGGGATACAATGGACATCTAAGATGCAGTTGGAGGATCTAGACTTCGCAGACGATCTGGCCCTTCTATCCCAAACGCAACAACAGATGCAGGAGAAGACAAACAGTGTGGCAGCAGCCTCAGCAGCAATAGGTCTCAATATACACAAAGGGAAAAGCAGGATTCTCCGATACAACACAGAATGCACCAATCCAATCACAATTGACGGAGAAGATTTGGAAGATGTAAAAACCTTTACGTATTTGGGCAGCATCATTGATGAACAGGGTGGATCTGATGCAGATGTGAAGGCGCGGATCGGCAAAGCAAGAGCAGCATATTTACAACTGAGGAACATCTGGAACTCAAAGCAACTGTCAACCAACACCAAGGTCAGGATTTTCAATACAAATGTCAAGACAGTTCTACTGTATGGGGCAGAAACCTGGAGAACTACAAAAGCCATCATCCAGAAAATACAGGTGTTTATTAACAATTGTCTACGCAAAATACTTCAGATCCATTGGCCGGACACTATTAGCAACAACGTACTGTGGGAGAGAACAAACCAGATCCCAGTGGAGGAAGAAATCAGGAAGAAGCGCTGGAAGTGGATAGGACACACATTGAGGAAAGCACCCAACTGCGTCACAAGACAAGCCCTCACATGGAATCCTGAAGGTCAAAGGAAAAGAGGAAGACCAAAGAACACATTACGCCGAGAAATGGAGATAGACATGAGAAAATGAACAAGAATTGGATGGAACTAGAAAAGAAGGCCCAGGACAGAGTGGGTTGGAGAATGCTGGTCAGCGGCCTATGCTCCTTGGGAGTAACAGGCGTAAGTAAGTAAGTAAGTAATTTGCTTCAGATATTATTTAAGTAGTGTGATTTGGGACAGACATTAATGAAATATGTTAATAGGTACAGTATAAACAACCAAAACTGGGAGTAAATTTTACTGATTTTTAGACAGTGAATCCATTCTCTTATTCATCCTAATATAGACAAATAACATTGATCCTTTAACATTCACTTTATCAAACTGTTAACATTATATTAGTCGCTTTATCAGCAAAGATGGATAGTGGCTAGCAGTGGAATCCAGGACGTGCGTTCTGTCCTATTTGTGACTCGAACCCAGTACCGTTCGCTTCAAACACCATCGCGTTATACCCTTAGCTTCTGAGTCCTGATAGCCACCTGCTTTTGCTATAGGGTGAAGTTATATTCACTTGGTGTTTTTTTACTTTTATCTTATCAGTGTTATTTAGAACTGTAATTGATCAATCTCTAGTTGGTATATGTGCATCCTATACGGACTATCTCGATATTGTCTGAAGTTACAAGTTATATAAGTAAAGATAGATAATGGCTAACAATGGAATCCATGGGACACGTTTCGTCCTATTTAGGACTCATCAGCTAGATGTACTTACATCCTGGAGTTGAATGTTCATAACAATGAGAAGATATGAAAAGCTTTAAATGCATACACTATAAAATAATAAATTATACTTTATGAAATTCATTTTCAGCTAATTTCTTCACATGATCCATTGGTTTCTTCATATTCATTAATTCATTTTCTTTATGTAAAATTTCATTTTCTAAATATTGTAAATGTTCATTTGTATTTGTATAATTTAATTTAGCTTCAGGTAAATATATCTCTTGATAATTAGATAAATCTTTTCTCATTAATTCTAATATAGAATTAGCTTGAATGATTTGATTCTCTAATAAATCATAATTATTCTTCATTGAATTATAAAGTAAATTAGTATCATTGAATGGATTATTATATTGTTCATTACGATCATATTGAAGATAATACCAAACATTGATTGTTTGTATAATGTAATTGAATGAATATTGATTATTGAATAATGTTTGTTGTCTATGAATATCATTGATATTTTCATTTAAATAATGATAAATTAATAAATAAGCTTCAATGAATAATTCATATAAAATGAAATGATTCTTATCATTATTATTGTTTAATAAGAAATCATAATTATATAAGAAACGTTTCAATATAGATTTTGAATCAAAATCTATATGATTAGTAATACTTTTAAATTCTATATTCATATGTTGTAAATCATTTGTTATTTCATTGAAATTGATAACACAATCCCATGATATATATTGTATGAGTTGATTATATATTATATCTGGAAAGAAAACAACAACAAAAAAAATCAGAAGGGGGGGTTTCGTGGAGATTTTTTTTAGAAATTTCACTGATTGAAATCATGAGTTCACTGAAGCTAGACCATCATGGAAAACCTGGAAGCACTAGATGGCCACTTCGTTCTAGTATAGGACTTCTCAGCAGTGCGCATCCATGACCCCGCAACTCGCGAGATTTGAACCCAAGACTTATCAGTCGCGCACCAGGCGCTTAACCAAATAGACCATTGAGCTAGCCCGCATCCAATCAGTGAAATTATTAAAATCTCCACAAAACCCCTTCTGATAATAATCATCTACTCACTGGTGACTGACTTCAAGAGACACTTCTGGTGTTCTAGTGAGAAGCCGTTACCAGTGGAGTTCAACCAGATCTGTTGTGAGATATCAACTCACTGAAGATAATGGTGTATGGTGGCGCAACTTCGTGGATTGGTTGATGTTGGACATTATCGCCATTGGATGCCGACTAGCTCAGTGGTCTAGTTGGTTAAGCGCCTGGCGCGAGACTTATAGGTCCTGAGTTGGAATCTGGTGGTTGCCGGGATCGTTGATGCGCACTTCTGAGGAGTCTTAAGATAGGACGAAGCGGTCGTCCATTGCTTCCAAGTTTTCCATGGTGATCTAGCTTCAATTGACTCATGATTTCAATCAGTGAAAAAAAATCAATAAATAAGAGACTGAATTGTAAAAATGTAAAGATTATTTTCATCACTTCCTGATATCAGTTAAGATAACTTAGAAACCAAAGGAAAAAATCAATAAATAAGGGATTTTATTGGTGTTCGGTTACATTGTAAAATATCGATAATTAAAACGTTTGATAACTACTAGGTAATAATGACATACTATGTAAAACCAATGTGTATTCAAACGAAAAAGATTTTTTTTCTACTGAACTGAATTATTTTCATCACTTCCTGATATCATTTATATATAGAGTTTAGATTCTTACTATGCCACGTATAACTTGAGCACGTGAACGCTAGAACACTCACAAGTCGCAAATGAGAAGACAGAAGACAAGTGAAAGAACTGTTATTTTAAAACAGTGTCTATTATGATACAATACTGTCAGGCATTTATAGTTTTCAGTAAAAAAAATGAAATCATCATTATAGCTTTCCAATCCGCACATAGGGGGCTATTAGCGTTTGTCCAATAGGGAAGCTATATGTAGGGATTCTGGAATATTCTTTCAAAAGATGATTGGATGGAATATCTTCGGGTCTTTCTGAAATTCTTAGAGCTTCCTCGAGTTCACCTGTGAATCGTCCTCACAAAAACAACGAAATACTGAAGAGTTGTTTTGTCCTGAAGTTAATAACTAGGACCCATTGATTTCAATTTATATTAGTTTGGAAATAAATGAGTAAGTTATTTTGAAAATTATCTCGACCATTGTTTTATAAGTGTTCGTATAAAGTAAATATGAATAGCTCAACATGTAATGCGAATAAGTTATTTGAATTCATCAGTCATAGACTCTTCTCAAATGTGAAAAACAATATTCTGCTCAATTGTTTATCTGTCTGATTAGATGTGGTTGATAAGAAAACCTTTTCTGGACATCGTTTCGGTTAATTATAAATCCGTAAAGTACTTATGTTTAGTTTTATGACCGATTTTCTTTATGAATCGTGAGCTTTCGTTTAATTTGTAAATTACTGTCATAGTCTCTTTCATTTCAAAATTAATCTAATGTCGTAGCTAGAATAAAATTGTATTTTACTTATTTCTTGTGAGCTGTGGTCATTTGTGTCACCTATTTATTCGTGTACCTATTCTGCATAAGTCAGATCATGAGTAAACCGGATATATGATGCCAGCTATATCGTCTTCTCTCTCTCTCTCTCAGCTAGCTAACATATCCAGTTTCCAGTTGGTGGTAGGATATTATTTCTGATCATGGTCGTTCAGTCATTAATCAAACTCACGGGCTACAAGTCACATTGATGTACTGAGTAACCCATTACGTCAAGGCTGTAAACAAAGTTGAGACAAGTCTCTCCCTGTTTATTAAGCTCAGACTAGTGGGCAGACAAAACAAGGACATACCAGTAGTATTTTGATATGAAGTGAGAAAACATAGTTGGTCGTAAAATGATGCATTCTGTGTTTGAATTGACCTGGCAGACCTTACTGATGAACGTCAAATGACATGATATACAGGTCAATGGATTCCTGTCGACCATCTGTAAACTACTTAATATATCAACAAAGTGAATAAGAATTTAAGTCATTTACACTAGTGGCCACGTTGGATTAAGGACCGGACAAACATTAAAATGCCCACTACTCTGTGACTAATCGATAACAAAATTAGTACTCAGGCATTTATTTATATATAATAAGAAAGTTTTATGTTTCTGATATATTTTATGACTGTTGATTAAGTTTTCCCCTCTATCGCTCATCATCTTCAATCGCACACGTAACAACAAATGCAGGAGAAGACGACCAGTGTAGCAACAACCTCAACACCAGTAGGTCTCAACATACAGAAAGGCAAAACCAAGATTCTCCCATACAACACACTATGCACCAATCCAATCACAATTCACAGAGAACATTTCGAAGATGTAAAAACCTTTACATATATGGGCAGCATCATTGATGAACACGATGGTGGATCTGATGCAGATGTGAAGGCGTGGACCGGTAAAGCAACAGTAGCATATCTACAACTGAAGAACATCTGGAACTCATAACAACTGTCTAACAACCAACACCAAGATCAGAATTTTCAATACAAATGTCAACACAGTTCCACTGTATGGGGTGGAAACATGGAGAACTACGATGGCCATCATCCAGAACATACAAGTATTTATTAACAGTTGTCTACATAAAATACTCCGGATCCGTTGGCCAGACACTATCAACAACAACCTATTGTGGGAAAGAACAAAGCAGGTCCCAGTGGAGGAAGAAATCAGTAAGAGTCGCTGGAAGTGGATAGGACACACATTGAAGAAAGCACTCAACTGTGTCACAAATCAAGCTCTCACATGGAATCCTGAAGGTCAAGGGAGGAGAGGAAGACAAAAGAACACATGACGCCGAGAAATGGGGATAGACATGAGCAGAATGAACAAAAATTGAACGGAACTGGAAAGGAAGACGGTGGACAGAGTGTGTTGGAGAATGTTGGTCGGCGGCCTATGCTCCATTGGGAGTAACAGGCGTAAGGAAGTAAGTATCGCTCATCACAGCAAGAAGTAATAATTGGACTGAGAATTATTTACTTCAATCAAACATATTGCTTTTGAATAAAGTGTTCATTATTATTATTATTATTATATGGATATAAAACGTACCATCCTTTGAAGCAATAACAAAAATTCCTTTCAGCTTATCATAATTCATTTCATTCCATGGTAAATCAAAACGTAGTTCCTGTAATCTTTGTATCAATAAAAGTAACACATTTACATCATCATCATTGTCACCATCATTAATCTCATCAATATTGTTATTATAATGATCATCATCATGATGATCATCATCATCATAGAAGGTCTGGTTTACATTTTGATCGGACAAATCAATAATAATCATTTCATATTCTTTATAATGATCCCAAAATTTTTCATTAGAATTTTGATTCAATTTTATTAAAAATTCTATTAAACATTTTGTATAATAAATTTTATGATAATTTTTTAATTTCATAATACATTTGATAATTTGTTTTTGTATATGAAAATTGACTCCATATGTTTTACAATTAGTAGAATTATTCAGTAGTATATAACAAGGATTATGAGTTAATGAACTTGATAAAATGAAGAAAAAAAGATAAGAATATAGAAAAAAAAGACATATATGTTTTTCAATAGTTGAAATCATGAGTCAATTGAAGCTAGACCATCATGGACAACCTGGAAACACTGAACGGCCGTTTCGTCATACTGTGAGACTCCTCAGCAGTGCGCATCTATGATCCCGCCCCCCCCCCCGCGGTATTCGAACCCAGGATCTATTAGTGTTGCTCACAAGCGCTTAACTATTAGACCACTGAACCGTCCGTCATCCAACGGTGATAATGTCTAACTTCAAATAATCCACGAAATTAAGCGACACATTCATCATTGTCTACAATGTGTTACACACATTAGTAGAGTGCATAACCCATAACTCTTAAAATAAAATGAAATATTTATTTGTTTGTATCAATCCATGTAAACGAACAAATTTAACTACTCATATTCGTCAATTACTAAACTGAAAAAAATTTTAAAGAGAGCAAGAACAAAAATTGGTGCAGAATAATATGAATTCATTTTATTTCGTTAGGTTCTCATCAGCTGCTTACAACCTAAATTATTTAAAATTCAACGTTATTACAGATATTGACATATTTATATATAAGAGTGTGATTAAGGATCAATACATGTGTATGATGATGTAGCAAAGATTCAGATAGAGTTAATCAGCTCATAAAATGTTTGATTCGAATAAATAAATAAAGTTAGAGAGGGAAAGTTCTGGAACACTGAAATAGTGATTAGAACTCATGAAAATAGATTAATGGTAAGAAAGAAAATATGAATTGAAATCAATCAGTTATGTATGATGTAATTTATATTTTAGAAAGAGTTGCAATAATCACGTAATAAATAAATAAATAGGAGCAAATTAATAGAAAGAGTGGGGGTTATTGTTACCAGGGTAAAGAAAGATTTATTACTGTCTCTTTTTGTATACATAGATCTGGTTTTAAACGTTTGATTGCTAACGCTTCAGCGTTCAGTTTATAAGAAAGACACATGGAATGGTAGTTATCTTAATTTCAATAGCTTTTGTCCAATCAGTTACAAAAAGGCACTGGTCAAAACACTGTTTTACAGAACAGAAAGAATATGTACTTCCGATACACTAGAAGAGGAAGTTATGAATGTTAAAAAATGTTTAAAGAATAACGGATACCCACTGAAATTTATTGAGAAATACGGCAAATGTGAAGTTAAAAAGCCGAAAGAAATTACAGCAAATAAAAAGCCTATTTTTATTAAACTTCAATTCAAAGGTGACGATGTCACAGGATCAATCAATATGAGACTAAAAACTGCACTGACAAGAACTTATCCTGCAGCGAAATTGATTGTCCTGTCCAAAACAACATGCTCTTTGACACAATCAAAGGTCGACAGGTATCCCTTTCATGTTACCACCAACTGTGTATACAAATTTACATGTACCTGCCAAAGCAGTTACATTGGTAGAACAGAAAGGAGAGCCTACGTCCGATTCAAAGAACATATTCCGAAAAGTTTAAGGTTAAATGAATTGAACGCATTCAACAGTGCTATCGCAAGACATCTCCTTGATACAGGACATAAAGCTGATATACTGAAGTCCTTCAAGGTGATTAACAAACAATCAAACTCGAACCTTTTGAAATTCGCTGAAGCGTTAGCAATCAAACGTTTAAAACCAGATCTATGTATACAAAAAGAGACAGTAATAAATCTTTCTTTACCCTGGTAACAATAACCCCCACTCTTTCTATTAATTTGCTCCTATTTATTTATTTATTACGTGATTATTGCAACTCTTTCTGAAATATAAATTACATCATACATAACTGATTGATTTCAATTCATATTTTCTTTATTACCATTAATCAATTTTCATGAGTTCTAATCACTATTTCAATGTTCTGGAACTTTCCCTCTCAAACTTTATTTATTTATTCGAATCAAACATTTTATGAGCTCATTAACTCTATCTGAATCTTCGCTACATCATCATACACATGTATTGATCCTTAATCACACTCTTATATATAAATATGTCAATATCTGTATTAATGTTGAATTTTAAATAATTTAGGTTGTAAGCAGCTGATGAGAACCTAACGAAATAAAATGAATTCATATTATTCTGCACCAATTTTGTTCTTGCTCTCTTTAAAATAATAAAGGGAACTATGTGTATGAAAAAAATTTACTAGATAAATGACTTCATGAAAATTAACAAACAATAAAGACAATTTTTGTCACTTGAGAACAGATCAGTTTAAATGTAAGGTTGATTGTTTACAAGTGGATGAAGTTGATCCCTATTTCTACTGATACTGTTACTTAATATTAACTAGGGATGATACAGTGTTTTCCCTGCACTAATTCCTACTCAATTCTTCAATTCAGCGAAACCATACACAGATTGAATGACAAATGGGTTGATACTAATCTTACTATACATGAGCCCGACAACCAACTTGAATGAAAGGGCTGAAAAAGATAAGTGAAATTTATTGACTAAACCAAATATACAGATACGTGTACTAATTCGTGTGTATATTATCTGTTCTTTAGAAAATTAAGCTTGATGTTATATCCCTCAGAAGTGAAAGCCAATTCTTGGTCAATCATATAAGCCTATCATTTGACCGGTTTTTTATTGGCTGAATATATCACCGAGACGTTTTCAAGTTTTATTGTTCCTTGATTAAACTTTATTAAGAAAACTAAATTTCAAAATGTAACCTTATTATAAACTTTACACTCAAAACATAACTGTAGATTTTTATTCATAGGAGACTTGAAAACAAGTGATATCTCAATATATAATAACATAAATTTCAAATGATATACAATGTAATGTCATACATCATCAACTATGACATGCCCAATAATTTTGTCACTTAGTATTCATTCCATTATCACTAAAATTGTCAATTGTCTTTTGTATTTAAAACTTAAACTCTGATTACTCAAATTATGCAATAAATAATATCAAAATCACTGATAATATTCAATAGTTGAGTTCATGAGCCAATTAAAGATAGACCATCATAGAAAACCTGGAAGTACTGGACGGCTATTTCGTCCTAGTATGGAACTCCCCAGCAATGGGCATCCACGATCACACCCGCAGCCCAGTGGTCTAGAGGTTAAGCTCTCGCGAGCGGAATTGTGGGTGCACATTGTTGAGGAGTCCCATACTAAGATGAAACGGCCGTCCAGTGCTTCCAGACTTTCCATGGTGGTCTAGCTTTAATTGACTCATGGACTCAACTATTAAATTATTACAATCTTCACAAAAAACCGCTTCAGATAATAATGATATTTAAACATACCTGTGAATTAAATTTATTGCATTTCTAATCATATACTGTAATACTGAATCATAACTGTTGATTTCTATATCACATATAGATAAGTCATTTTTTAAATTAACAAATATAGCTTCTAAATCATTGGTCTGATCCAAACATCCTGGCAAACTGATACATGGTATAAGATGAGGATTTAATAAACCATACTTTGCCCAACTTCGATGACTTTTATTACACTTTTCATCATATTTTTCATAGAATGATGAATAGATCGGTCTTTTATAATTTGATAAACTAGTTTCTGTTTCATCATTCAACTTCGAACATAACTGTTCGATTTGTGTACTAAATTCATAATTTATATCATTATCATTAATAGATATTGATTCAGTTGAAATAATCTGTTTCTCTTCTTTTTTTTCTTGTTCAGCCTCCTGGAGTGACATATTGGAAAGTTCATTTGTCAATAAAGTGGTTGAAAATGTTGATGTTGAGATGGTAGGTGGAGTAGAAAATGAATTCACTATAGACATAGTAGAAGTAGTAGTAGTCATGACTGTATCAATGCGTGAGTTCGGTAAAGAGAGCACGGAAGAAGATAGAATAGGCATAGAAGTTAAAGAAGATCCATATACTAACGAATCAGATAAAGAAGTAAATACTGAAGTAGTGGAATAATTTGATGTAGTATAATTGTTCGAATTATATTGAGTAGATGTTGAAAAAGTGTTGAATAATTGTGTCGAAAAAGAACTATCGGTTATAGATGTGGTTGGTATAGACGAAGAGGTAATTGAGTTAGAATAACATGAAGAATAACTGAAAGATGTTGTTAGTGTTGAACAAGATACAGAAGGAGAGGAAGTTGAATTGACCGAAAATCCACTTTCATTACAAACACGTTGAGATACAACAGATGAGGATGTATTTGTCAGTTTTGTCAAAGAATGTTTGCTTAAATGTAAAATAGACTGTCTGGTGATTTTTGAATCAAGGAAAAGACTTCCAGCTGGTCCAAATAGAAGGTATGAAATTGGAACTAAAAGACCTAATGAAGATGGTTTCATTAAATAATAATCAATGGATTTCGATAAATTATTAAATAACCATTCTGAACATAAATCTTTAGGTAATAATGGACTAAAATATCGTTTGATCTCTTGACATAAAAACAACACTGATTGCAAAATGTTACTGATTTGATTTTTTGAATTGAGATGAATCGATTCACTTATCACTGAAATAAAAAAAAACTATTTTCGTCAAGAGACAAAACAATCTTACGTAATCTGTTCCGTAAATACACAAAATAAAGTTTTATGTATAGTTGGAGGTAGTCAACAGGAAACCCAGTTGACTATTCCAACCATCATCTAATCTCAACATAGTGCACGCAGTGTCAAGTCATCTAGACTAGTGATCATATTGCAAGTTGGTTGATAGCATTCGATCTGCAATAAGAAGGTCTTGTCACACATCACATTGATCACGACCCAGTGATTAATCAATTTTGGCTATTGTATAGTATTTAGGATACATCATTTTAATACTTTTCAACATACTTCACTTGTTATATTTGGCAGTGCAAGTGCCACCTCTTCTATTGATTAGAAAATTCCCTAAAATCTTTAGAAGTCAAACTGTTCAGATAACTTATCATTTTATGGTTTTCTAGGATTTTGTTTATTGTCAGTTTTCCTAAATTCAGTTTAACAGGAATCATTCAAATAGTTAATTAGCTATCGAAAAGTGAAAGAGACCACATATATTCAATGGTTTTTAACAATATATCCGGTCAACGACCATTTTGGTCTCAAACTATTTTATTATGTCCTCTGTCTTGACCAAAAAGTTTGATTTCTTTTAAAGGAAGTATTTGCTTTAGTAAGTTATGTTAATGAAGTCTCAATATAGTACACAAAATGTTGAATTCCTCAGACCATTATTCACATTACAAAAATATCGATAAAATTCTTGAAACTTTAAAAAACCGAGTTGGATCCCTACCACATACAAAATTAAGCTATTCTCTAAACATGTTCATTACTACGAATGGATATTCGACTGGAAATTTCATACTAAATATTGTCAATAATTTACAACCAACCTTAACTAATCTTTTAAATATGAATATTATCTTAAGATGTTGGAGTGAGTTTTTAGCTGAGAGAGGAGGCCTATCTTGATGGAACCATTTTCTCTGAGTTTAGTGATTTAATCATGAAACTTTCTTTTTCTTACTAGGCAACATTATCATAAGTACAAGTTTCAAAGGGAAGGTAGATATTTAAGACTTTACACATATAACTAACAAGTTGTTCTGTAATTCTGAATTTGAATCAGTCACATTCATAAACGACAGAACAAGCTCTTAGTCATGTAAGTGGAACTTTGACAGATAAGTATCATATTGACACATATATTATTTTACAGATTGAAATCATGAGTCAATTGAAGCTAAACCATCATGTAAAACCTGGGAGCAATGGACGACCGTTTTGTTCCATCATGGGACTCCTCAGCAGTGCGCATACACGATCCTGCCCAACGCCAGGTCCGAACTCAGGACACATCAGTCTCTCGCCAGGCGCTTAACCAACTAGACCACTGAGCCGGCCGGTATCCAACGGTGTTAATGTCTAGCTTCAACCAATCCACGAAGTTGCGCCAGCGAACACCATTGTCTTCAGTGAGTTGATATCTCACAACAGACCTGGTTGAACTCCACTGGTAACGGCTTCTCACTAGAACTCCAGGAGTATCTCTCGAAGTCAGTCACCAGTGAGTAGATGATTATTATCAGAAGGGGTTTAGTGGAGATTTTAATAATTTCACTGATTGGATGCGGGCTAGCTCAATGGTCTATTTGGTTAAGCGCCTGGTGCGAGACTGATAGGTCCTGAGTTGGAGTTTGGCGGTGGGCGGGTTCGTGTATGCGCACTGCTGAGAAGTCCCATGCCAGGACGAAACGGTCGTCTAGTGCTTCCAGGTTTTCCATGATCGTCTAACTTCCAATGACTCATGGTTTCAATCAGTGAAATTTCGAAAAATCTCCACAAACCCCTTCTGTCATATATTATTAACTTTATTTCAATAAATCAATAAACACTTTTTTTTTAAAAAGATGACCTACATAAAGGTGTCCATCTTGAATAAATATATCTATTTATATTGTCTGATACAATTGTACTATTCAATGGGATTTCATCAGTTGATTTGCATGGATAATAGTTTTTTAAATGGTATCCTATAGAATGTGCAATCTTATGCATGATTAACCAATCTACTTTTGTATTATTATAAGTACAACGTTCTTTCATTAAAGCACAATGCATGTACCATATTATCCAACTGAATCTCTTGAAGAGAAAAAAGAAACAATTATGTTGTAACCTCATCATAAATATTATCTTTTTTAGAATAAATTTTACTTGATTATTGAAATCAAGAAAAATATTATTCTAGAATTAACTGAAGTCTGAAATTCAAACCATTGAATGCTAATGGCACAAAGGCTAAACTTTCACCGAGAAACCTGAAATTCCCGACTTCCTTCTCTGATGAGGTCGTGGATGCTCGCCGCTTATGGATATTATGCTGAGATGAAACATATCTGATGGTTCCTGGTATTCAGTAGCTGTTCAACTAATTAGTTGAAAAGTTCCTCCTGATTAACTGTTCACGTTGTTGCTTACTCTGATAATTGAATTTAGAAAACCCAGGGTTGCTTTTTTAGACAAGCTACATATAAATGATTGAAAGTATTCAATCAATCAAAAAAAAATATTTTAAGTTAAACAACTTTTGAGACGGAAAACTTTCATATGCAGTACCTAGATAGGATATTGTTCCTCAGTTAAAGTTGTCTAATTAATAGAAATCGGAACCTGAATCGTGTAACTTAAATCTATTATAACAACTCTGCACTAAATGGTTTAAATTTTGACCATTTGTTTTCATCTTCACATCTTGTTCTTACCATATAGATTGGGATCCAATAAATAATATATGGCATTCCTGTTAATGAATGAATTTCCAATATCAAGAATTTATATCTTAAGAAAAAACAATGTGATGATGGCTAGAATTGGAATCTAAGGCAGGTTTCGTTCCATTTGGAATTCGTCAGTACCTGCATCATAGGGTTTCATCCTAAACAGAACGAAACGTGTGCTCTGGATTTCACTGCTAGCCATCATTCACGTCTGATTAAATACTTGTGATGTAATGGTAACTTTGAAACAATTCTCACAAGATACACATAAGCTAAAAGAGTCTGGTCAGTTGGAAGTCACGACATTGATAGGAAGATTCAAGCAATTATTACAAAGATCTAATAAAAATTTCCATTAACAAAATAATAAAGTTGAAATAAGTTATGCACCAGGTCTCATCTTCTCTGATGGCTTCATGACCAGTCTGTAGAATGTGGTACACCAACCAGTAATTATGAGGTTTCATTTATACGCGAGACATATGGGTGATAATTTTATTATTCGTTTAAAAATTTTAGGCCTTAATCGCATCTTAAATAAATTCGATAGTTATCATCAGTCAATCAAATTCATACTGGAAGTAAAAGTGACTGTGGAATTTCGTTTCCTTGTTATCCTATGGAAAAGATCAAATAGTTTCTTACAGGGATTTATATGTAAAAAAGCAGACATGGAATGATTAGCACATTAATTTCCAAAGTTGGGTGCCATTAAATTGATCATAAAACTTAATTCATTCCTTATCCTTGAGGATTAGGCAGACACGCTCTAATGATACTATAGATGAAAGAGTTTAAACAAACAAAAACAAAAAGAACTTCAATTACCTCAACTAACATTCCACTTATTCTTGACAATGAATGACACATCATTGATTGACAAAGTAAACTTATTGGACTAAAACCATAAATATTTTGTTCATAGAGGAATCCATTGATATTCATCTCTTTTACAAATAATAAACAAGGGTCTGTTAAACTGATATATGCGAATTGATACATTAAACTATTTAATTTTGTTGAGAAATGTAGTTGATGATCATGATCCAAAGATGTTAAGATTGGAATAAAATTATATTTTGCTTTAGAGTAATTATTATGATTAAGATTACAAGTAGTTAATTGATTACGTAATTCTTGATTCCATATTCGTTGTGCTTTTTGAGTTATTGAATGAAAGAAAATCAATAAACAATAAGGATTAATAATTAAATAAAGGAAATTCATAGTTCGAACCACAAAATGATATTCATTCAACCTTAGTAACCAGTTAATCTGACTTCACTCTGAAAGAACATACTAATATATTATAAACATAAGTCTTCTATTTTAATTCCGTATATTATACCTAAGCTAATCCCGTTAGTGTGATGGCAGTAATAAGATGGCAAATAAGGGTTCAATTGGTTGTATTTATTTCAGGCCCTCATTTATTATTCAGGTAAACATTGAAAATGGCAAGCTGAAAAGTGATGAGAAGTAGAGGATGCGAACATGCCAACCCGATTTGATAAAGTGTGACTAAATATTAATAGTCAGACAAAAATAAGCCATAGACATGTAGTGACTAATGTAAGCGGATTAATCCACATGACCTCATATAAAAACAATCAAAGTTAATAAGTGAATAATTGACAAGGTCGAAATGGAACTCAAGAAATACAAATAAAGTGATCCATGAGGTAGCTAGAATAACATATGTGGGCTTGACAAGATACTAGGCACTAAAAAAACTGCCATTGAAAACCAGGATGTATTATACGTCTGTCTCTTCCTAGTAACGGACTCTTCAACAGTACTCAGCTACAAAACTATCAATACTTACTTACTTACTACTGTTACTCCCAACAGAGCATAGACCGCCGATCAGTATTACGAAACTATTATGTGCGATAAAAATAGTTACTATCCTCAAAAGTAATTCATGGAGCCCTGATGTGAAACCGTGACCAGTGGAGTTCAACAATGTTGGATGTAAGACAATCATTCACTTCAGGCAATGGAAAATCGCCACATAATATCGTGAACTGATCGAAGTTAGATGATGTACACCATTGGATCCTCACTCAGTAGTCTAGAGGTCAAGCGTTCGCGCACGATATCTTTGTGTTCTCAATTTCATTCCCTGAGTTTGGGTCGTGGGTGTACATTGCTAATGAGTTCCATGTTAGAAAGAAACAGATGCCTAACGGTCTTTGGTTTACAATGGTGGTTTAGTTGAGAAATAAAAATTCCACAATCTCCGCAAAACCTCATATTCATATAACCAAAATTTGGTTAAAAACAAACGTCGACATATCCATATTCTCTAGTATATTGGTTGGATGTCGGATACTGAACATATGTTTTGTTCCACTTAATATATATATAAAGAGAGAGAGATCGTCGAGTTTATTACTTTAACCACAAACTGACATTCTTAAAGAAACCACTAAAAACTTGAAAAAACTGAATATTTTAGTATTCCATTTATTAGCATTGGGCATCCACGACCTTACAAGACCTAATCTTATTGTCTTATTCCCCTTACAACATGCAATGCCATGTTTTGATGTATAAAGATCCCTCCTTGAGAAATAAAAGATCTATTGAACCCCCTATTTTCTGTCTTCTTACTTGAGTGTGGTTGCTGATCTGCTTAGTTGCGTAGATGTTTTATTATTATTATTATTATTATTATTATTATTATTATTATTATTATTATTATTATTATTGATAACTCTAATCATTCTTATTTCGAACCCAAACCAGATGTAAACAAATCACAGCATATCACCTTTCCCTCTGTTTATCGTTTATAAATATGTCTAACGAGATTATTAATGTGTATCACTTCCATTTATTTATAGACGTATGATATTTGAGATTATATAAATATCTTTTTAACACAAAATAACATCAGATAGAAAGCCAATAAAAATTCCAAGAGTATTGGTTCGTTTGAAATCAAGAATTATCTAGTCTTACGCACGGGTTCGAATCTACACAAAATTCGAATTCATGTTTTCTGGTCATGTTGTGGTGTGTGCTACTGATGTTGACAAATATAGCTAGTATTTATCATCAATCGAAATTACATTGCCTAGCGGCAGAAGGTTAAGAAGATCGAAGAAAAAAGAACGAGAACAAAGAATGATTGGTGTAGAAATGAAAGGACAATGAGGTCTTAGACGATTGATCAACATTTTGCAAATGAAGTATTCACTGTATGGTTCTCAGACTTTGTTAAGACGTTCTATAATTTAGAGTTCAAATCTATTCGATTGTCCTCATTTATGTTCTCGTTTACTACACTGTAATCAACATTTTATCACTATATTAACAACTCTATAGAAAATAGTTACACTTCAGTATTTTTATATCGTATACATCTTTTAACGCAAATTCATTATTTCTTCTCAATTCATATTGTTTATGCCTAGTGCTTTCACTGAAACTGTTACTACTTCTACTATGATATTTTTTCGTGATTACTTCATCACTTAGTGCTTATGTGGTATGACAACTTAAACCGATGCAATTATACACCAGGTTTTGCTTTGTTTCTGATCAACTAACTGAAGTTCATCATATATAAATATAAGACGTACGACACTAAAAAATGAATAGGATAATTTTGACTTTATAGCTTCTTATGACTGAAGTTCTTGGTGTCACCCATCATAATGTAAAGAGATGTTATTAATAAGTTATTAAAATTGTGTCTACTTTTAGATACACCTTACTGACGAGTGTTAACCAGTAAACTACACAGATCTGTGGTTCACTGCTTGTTTACCATTCAATATCAAACCATAAAGTGAAATCGATCCAATTAGACTAATGGTCAAACTATGAATTCATCGACAGAAGTCTATCAAAAATAAGGATCTGTTAATATGAAACTTGATTATCTTCAGATCAAATGATCAATAATAGTATATTTGCTTACTTGTCGCTGTTTTGGAAATCAGATGTACATCTTCTAAAATGATAACATTATGCATTAAATTGATTTTTTTATCAAATATTTGTTTTGGATATTGATTATTAGTTTTTTGTGAATTAGAAATGATTCTATGTAGAAAATCATTTGATTGTATTCGAAATGAACTTGTACACTTTTTCCCCGTTTTATTATTATTATCATATGAACTAATTAATTGTTTAGATCGTTCTGAATTTTGACATATAGCAATTGCAAGTTGTGATTTACCTGAACCAAATGGACCGGAAATTATTACTGGTCGACCAGATTGTATGAATAATGAACCAGTAAATAAATGAACTGTAAGCTATAATGAATAAATATATACATCAATAAGTGCATAAGAATAAGATTATTTAGACTGTTCTTATTTGCACAGAAATAGAATATAAGATAGTTGTTAAGTAGTTGACTGTAATCGGCAAGAGATCTGATAACTATCTTCTACCATCTGAAATCTCAGTTTTGTGAGGACGACTCATATTATTCGAACTAGTAACCGTTATTGTAACTTAGTCGATCGAATTTGACCAGAACTAGGAGATTAGACAAGCTTGAAATTAATCACTATAGTGTGATCAATCAACTGTAAAAAAACAGCCCATTCAATAAGTAAATCCTAGTGTTGTAATAAATTTATCATTAAAATGGTCACTTTTCATTTTAACATCATGTATTATCTAAATTTAATGTGATCTATTAAAACAATGGTGAATCTACAATGTGATGAATGAAAAAATAAGTTGACTGGTCGATTTTTGAATTCAATCATGTAATTTTTAGATTGAATTCATTACAGACGGATCTTTGCTGAGTGACTATTCAAAAACAGGGAGCACCGGACAGTTGTTTCGTCTCCTCGGTACGGCACATCCCCATGACCTCACTAGGAATTTTGCATAGGACCGTCAGATCTCTCAGCGAACACAAACAATATGAGATAGTCGATTTTGGAGTAGGTTTCTTGATGACCTGAAGTTTTTGAGGTCCGACTATCAGTCCAGTGCCTAAAATGCTAAGGTAGTGTCCTAGACATAGTACTCAGTGTCAAAATACTTGACGTACACTATACTACGTAAATTATTCACAAATAAGATATGGTTATTGATAAAGAAAAATTCGTTAATGAAAATTAAAAAATTCATTGTCTCAAGGTTACATTAAAAGTATAGTTAAGAAATACATAACAGTATCTCGAGTAGATACATCTTACTCTATGATATTTTAAGGAACTATTTAGAAACCAGCTTACATAAGCCGATTAGGCGGTTTGGTATTTATAACTTTCAATAAAACTGTGTCTTCGTGTTTTCTGTAATCGATTACATATCTTATGACCCACAAAAATATCTTCACAGAAATGAGTAAATCACACGTCAATACAACAGATCTCTTAGCTAATTCTGAACACATCGATAAAATAGTTAGTAACAAGGAAATATAATTTGCAAATAGGTGAAACACAGAAGACTTAGAAAATCTATTCTATAGATTACATTTATCAATATCCCCATACAATTTAAGATAGTATAGTTATGATCACTGAATCTTCCTCAAAATGTACAAACTACGAATAGCACAGATTTTAACTGATTTTAACCTTTTATTCATCATAAAATACTTTTTACATTATCAAGTAATCACTAAATCATGAAAACATAATACGATTGTTTCAGTGCTAACAGTTCAAACGAGTTCCCGAAAAATCTAAATTAAAGCTTACTTTTTGTAAGCAATGATGGATAGTGCCTAGCAGTGGAATCCAGGATGCATGTTTCGTCCTATTTGGGACTCGTCAGCTGGATGTATCTGCATCTCAGAGTTGATGTTCACTCTGGGACAAGGCAATATCGAGGCATACGCACAGTATGCACATATGCCGATAACAGACTGATCAATTGCAGTCTTAAACCTCAATGGGAAGATACAAGCCAAATAATACCAAGTGAATTAAAGCTTACTTGCCATTAATTATCAAGTATTTCTCGAAAAAACTGTTCGAGCTCTATTTTTAGAGAAATATCCTTATCACCATATCAATCTAAAGATATTAGACGTTGAAACTCTTATCTATTTTAACATTCTTACTTCCAATATAAGATATTGAAGATGCCACAAGTATTTGAAGTTTGACAATGCTTTAACCAGTAACACTTACTATGAATCATACCCACCTAATGAAATGAAAAGTCGAAAGAGAAGAGGTTCAAAGATACATTTGATAGGCTATCAATATATCGAGAATCGACTGAACTAGACTAGCTAACGATTGTAAAAGATGTTGAACACGGCGTTCCCACTCATGATCTAGTGTGGATGCACAACCGAACGCCTTCAGTTAAGTGAGTCCATTAAAACTAATGTGGTCAACATCCAATATCAAAGACTTACAGAGCTATTGATGTTGAGGATTTATTTACCGATACAATGTATTATTCGTAATAATATCTAATCATAGAACATTATCCTATTGAATATCTTTACATATTACTATGTAAAATATAACTATCATGAAAAAAAGGAAATTCTAAAGATTTAACAATGATTAATTATGAACTAATTCATTTACATGAAATAATGTTGGTAATAATGGTTTACTATGATAAGTATTTCCATTTGGATGTATGATATCATATTCTTCTGGCCAATGTAATTGTAAATAATCTGTATACCAAAATGGTGTTAAATAACCAGTTCTTAAATCAATAAGACAATTAAATAAACTATATTGAAATTCTTTGATATTTTCATATTCATTTTCATGATTATGATTATTATTATTATTCCATTTCATACTTGTACAATAATTCATTTGATTTGTATAATAGGATTCAATAGATAATGTGAATGATGAATTGTCTATGGAATGAATATTCAGTGAATTAGGTAATCTAATAAAATCCTTTAATATTCTTAACATGATTGTTTCAAATCTAAAATATCATAATAAGAATAATAAAGAATTGTATAGTCAAAATGAATGAAAGATTTTTAAGTATATAGAACAACATAGATATAAGTGAACAATATTGTTTTCGATTAGATCTTTATCAGGCTGTGGTATGGGTTGCTTATATCCATATAGATATTGGTACAAGGAGGCACCAAATACATATGCGACACACAAATCTCATTCGATATGTGTGAGGGCTGTGATACTGCCTGGGTGACCAAACCGAAGCAGGTGGTTTGCTAAGGGGGCCACACACCGAGCCTTCGACCTGAAGGTCTAATCCACAAGGCAGTGGAGCATCGTAAGGAGATGCAGTACCATGGTAACCGGTGATCAATAATTGGTTCATACACCATTTGTTCTTTCAGGATACTGGAGCCCATGTGCACCATTGGTTTTGAATCAGGGTTTTCCGACTCCCCTAGATGGATCCTCAGTGTTCACCAACCCAGTTAAAGCTCCGGACATTCACTTTTCGTCTTCTCAATTTCGCAAACAACACTCCAGCCAAGAGAAGGCAGTAAGTAGGACTTCCCTGGCAGAGGCTATATACGCATGGCCATGTGAGAGCGTTTGGAGAGGAAGAGCGGACTCTCCCCACTCTCGGACATACCAGGGCATTCGGGGGCTATATATAACGGTGGTCAGGCATAGAATGTATTTCAGTAGAAGGTCGTGAAGGAAAGAATGGAAACGGAACGCAATTAGTATGAAAATGCATGAACAATGAAATCTGAAACAATCGAACAGTCAAGTTTGAGACGATGGATCGATTGACCACTGCTGGGAGTCCTATATTAGGACGAAATAGCTGTCCAGTGCTTCCAGGTTCTCAATGATGGTCTAGCGTAAATTGATTCATGAATTCAACCACTAAAATTACTACAATCTTCACAAACCCCCATTCTAATTTTATGGTTATAAATATGTGGACTGTTGAAACTCACTCAACAGGTAGATTAATAACACTTCAGGTGACTTTTGCACGACTATTTTTCATCCGTTTTAATATCTTTCTTAAACAGCTTTTTATGTGTTATTTTCATTTGTTTGACAATTTTTAATTGATTTCGTCCAGTCCATCATGGATTCAATTAATAACTTCCTATTTCGATATCATGCAAAACTGTTATCATAGTTCTCAAACATAGAGAACTATCTTTAATATCCGTATCAATAATAGGAGAGAGATTAAATGTAGAAAAAATAAAATAAAGGTAAGAGATTACAGGAGTCAAGTTCAAAGGAGAGACAAAGTATGGATGTATCTGCTTCATTGTGAACGACTCTCAGTTATGTTACCAATCGGTTGCCATAATCACGCGAATCTCAACCAGGTATTTTGCACACACCTAATTGGGTCATTCTAATAGTCAGAGAATTTATGGACTGATGCCACATTTGCTTCGGTCACCACTGGCTTTTAATGGCTATAAATGCACGACATGATAGGCAATGGTCGGATATAAATAACATAACTAAAATTTCCTGACCGTAGCTGCTACCTTGACGTGGTGGTTGGGCTTGCCTATCGTGATGACCCAACCGAGCTATATTGGCTGGAATATATGTTCCTGAAGGTTCTACCATGCCAGGCAGGTCGGTTGGAGAACGGTAAGACTAAAAGCAGCAACTCAAGGTCTGAGGGCGAAGTCGTACTGCTGACTGTACAGGGGTGTGACAGCAGTAAGGTGTTTCCCTCGGACAACCAGCATCTGCAGCGATGTGGTCTTCTCACAAGGAAGAAAGGGGTTAGAAAAGGTTTACCCTGAATGGCAAGTTAATGTAGGTCCTTCGACTCTTTACGAAGTTGAAAAAGTTATAGGAACTCTGAAACAAGGGAGAGCAGCAGGCCCTGGCAGGTTTACTCCTGAGATTTTTAATGATGGTGGTCCAGTATTAGCAGTGAGATTGACTGTGGTCTTAGGTAGAATCTGGGAACGGAAAGTATTCCTATCTGACTGATCTCAATCACTGATTGTGCCAGTCTATAGGAAAGGACAAAAGTCCTCTTGTGACAATCATAGAGGAATCAGTCTGACTAATATAGTGTCTAAAATATTAGCTTCGATAATACTTCGACGCCTAACTAAAGCTCGTGGAGAGCAGAATAGAGAAAACCAGATATTCATACTACGTCAGGTCTTAGAACATAGACACACGTTCAGACGCCACACAATCGTAGTATTTCTCGACCTTAGGGGGCTATTTGACTCTATTGATAGTGAGGTTCTATGGCAGTGTTTGTCATTGAAAGGAGTATCTAAGATGTACATTAACCTTGTAAAGGCCCTCTACTCGAACACAACTGGTAGAGTAACAGCTTATGGCGGACTGTCATCAAAATTAATTACCTCAAGTGGTGTACGTCAGGGCTGTCCATTCTCTCCATTCTTGTTTAACTTTGTCGTTGACGTGCTTTTAGAGAGAAGAAACAGGTACTAGGTAATGATGGCAAATCAATTGATGAAATAGTGAAACTTCATCAGTTGAGATGGCTGAGACACCTGTTACGCATGACCAATCACCGACTGCTCCGACGTGAGATGTTTTATGTTGTAGGAGTAGGTTGGAAGAAAGCTAGTGGCGGCCAGGCCAAACCATGTCACAAATTCATGAAGTCACTGACAGGTGGACTGAGTCATGATGGTAGGTGTAGACTACCTGATTGCAATCCGCGAGATGATATCAACCGATGGTTAGAGACCCTGAATGACATGGCTGAAAATCGTTTGCAATGGAGCACGTGCATCCACTCTTTGTGTTCTCCCAAGTTCTAACCTTCTGAATTCGTCATGTCCACTTTCTTTTTCTCTTCCCAAATTTATTTCAATAAATTATACTCGTTGAATAACATCTTCAAATCCTAATCTTTCCGTTTGCTGCTTATACTTTTATTACCTCTACCACTACGGGATTTGAATCAACAACTGGATCTCTGTGCTAATTTGGTATGGCAACTCGAACTGATGTACGTACGTACGAAGGTTTACGTGGTTGCTGACTGACTGACTGACATATTTCCCAACTAGTTCTATGGAGAATGCTAGTGGGAGATCCTCCTCCACGGGGAGTAACAGGCCTAAGTAAGTAAGTAATGTCCCAACTATTTCAGCTGATGAAAGTTCATCAACTCATTAACTAATTTGCTATATTTACTTAATGCCCTATGCACGGCTCCAGAGTTTCTCACTTGGTGATCCCAAAATTCATGAACAGTACTTCGAAGACACTAATTTTCGAATATAAGTAACCTAAAGCATCTTCTGTTCTTAATATCCAAGCATCATACCTGTAAATTAGGACAGAGTGAACTGTTGAGCAATACACTCATCGTTTGCTTGAAAGACGAATATCTCATCTACGGCACAGGTGACATACGTTAACAGACTTTGAATGATTTACTAAAAAAATATACAATAGAATAACTAGATTACTTTACCGTGATTTTAATCTTGGATCACCAGCTAATCCACCACCAATACCCCAAATAAATGAGAATAAAAATAAATTTCTTATCAAGATTTCATAAAATACTGGTTGGTCTTCAATGTTTCGCCATTCGGACCAATAATAATCAATTAATGTAAGATTTGATTGATAAACAGATGCTGAATTAAAAATAAAGAAATAAATTTGTTTACTATAGTGATTTCATTTATTATACATGTGTAAAGTATGTATAAATAAAACTTAAATTTTAGGTTGGTTAGTTAGTTAGTGTATCCATTGAGTATTCAGACCCCCAGTGATCGAGTTATGCGCGAAATCATGCAATCACAAGTCGAGATACTTCTATGGAAGTAAATAACAAAATTAACAATGTTTACAAACCTAGAATGCTAAGATCTCCAGGAATTAGTAACGGTTTAAAGATATAGTCAGTAGGAAAATGTATACAACCTAATACAATGAGCAGAACTTATGATCACTGAATTATATTATTTTATTTATGGAGTATGTTTATTTACTGTCAACTTTTCAGATAATGAATTGATTTTATAATGAACAAGAACACAAGTGGGGAAAATTGAATGTATTTGAACACTAAATGACAGAATATCTTAGTAAAATCTGAGTACCACACAGTAAATACTTCATTTGCAAAATGTCGATCAATCGTCCAAGACTTCATTGTCCTTTCATTTCCAAACCAATCACTCTTTTCTAGGCTTTTTACTTTCGATTGATGATACATACTACTTAGATCTATCGACATCAGTAGCACACATCACAATTTGACTGAATACATTCACTCATTTGATTAAATACCACTTGGGCATTATAACTGATGTCGGGTCGTGATGTAAACATTAAATCTAATTACTAACCTTAGCGTCCAACTGTAAATCTTTCTCACCATTCCTCATATTAATCTATAACCCTCAATTAATACTCGTAAGTAGGTGGACATTCTAAGATCATTTTAACGTTGTTCGACAGTCGTCTATTTATTACAGTCTTACATCGATTGCCTATGATTTTAATGTTATGAAAAAATTCTGTAGGGTATGTTCCTTTCTTCTTAAAAATGTAGTTTGGCAGCTGTTCTATGTAGAATCATAAAATTTGAGAAAAATGATCAAATAAAAGTTAATACCAAAACAAAGTTTAAACCACTTTACTTAAGTGTAAAGGAGTGTGAGGCAACTCTTTTCCATTTCGCACTTCTACGCTGATCATTGTTATTATCTGATCTGTCATCTGACATCCCATGATGAACTGAGCGAAAACGTTCGGCTGTCTGGTTGCCAACTACATCACTTTACTGGATAAATAGTTCGAGAAACTGCAAGTAATTTACGAACTCTTTAAGTTTAAAGTCTGGAAATTTCTGGGATAGTTTATACTGTAATTGAATGTATGGAGATGTTCAAGCCTTGTTCTAGTTTAGGAAGGAACAATTGTGTTAAATACTTCATCCTTTAATGAAAAAAATCTTGTTTTTCATAAAGCGATGGTTACCAAGATCATAAAACAGAATAAAACTGAGAATTCGTTAGAAAATTGACTTGAATAACTTCTCTTTTCAGATTTTACCTTAGCGCTTGTTTTCAGTAACATTGATTGTCACAAATGTTTTATTATGGTATATTGAACGAGATCACAAGTGGGGACAACCAAATGTATTTGAATACAAAATTACTGAACAACTTGCAAAATATCAATCAATTGTATCAAACTTGACTGTTCCTTTTACAAATATCAGTCAATCGTCTCAAACGTCATTTCCTCATCGTTTCTCCTCACCAATCATTCTTTGTTCTCATTCTCTTTACTTTGATCTACTTAACCTTCTGCCATTAAGCATTTCACTTTGCAATTGATGGTACATACTACTTATGTCTATCGACATCAGTAGCACATCATAATAGTAATATTTACCTTCCTTATTGTCACAAACCAGTTAAAAATAAGAAAGATATTTTATTTAAACATTATGAACAGATGCCTTGAAAAAGGTTATCACAACTTACATGGTTTTATGCCATCTTTACGTAATTCCCATAATTCTCTTGGAAAGTATTTGTTCAATAGTTCAGACATCAAAGCTAAAGAGTTTTTAATACTTTGTTGACAAAATGCATTCTTATAAGACTTGATATTTAAAAAGCCTTCTTCATTGTGACACCATTGATTCATTAACTCCCAAATTCGATCTAATATTTTTGGGATATGATTATCTAGTTCATTAAGAATTTTATCCCATCTGAAATTATTTTAGAAGAAAAATATATATATAAGTTTAATGAAGTTAAATTTAATCAAAAATACTAACAACCGTTTAAATATGTTGATTGTACAATTGAACTAATGATGACAAAAACAAAATAATCGGTTTGACTCATGTCTAAACAGAGGTTATTTTATAAACTTTTGAGTATGTAACTTTTATCATGCTCATATTACTCTTTACTCTCAATGATGAACTTCTCCTATGTTTGTTTCTTTTACTTAAACATTCCTAGAAATCCTTGAAATTTAAACTCTTCAACTTGTCATTCAGTAACAACCTAGAACCTCGTACGTAAGTACATCAGTTCGAGTTGCCACACCACATTAGTACACAGATGCATTTGTCGATTCAAGTCCCATAGTTGTAGAGGTAGTAAGAGTATAAGCAATAATCGGAAAGATTAGGGTTTGAAGATGTTATTCAACGAGTATAATTTAGTGTAATAAATTTCGAAAGTGAAAAAAAGAAAGGGATATGAAGAATTCAGAAGATAAGAATTTGGGAGAACATAAAGAGTGGATGCACCTGTCCGATTGCAAACGATTTTCAACCATGTCATTCAAGGTTTCTAATCATCGGTTGATATCATCTTGCAGATTGCAATCAGATAGTCTAAACCTACCAACTTGTAAATTATATCATATTGCAGTACTGTTCCAGAATGGTAATTTGTAAACACTTATTTTTCTCAAGGGATTGCTTTCACTGACAGCCTTCAACAACTAATGAAATTTCTGGGTGTTTCCAAAATTTTATCAAAATTTGACATTAAATAATTCACCTATCTGTTAATCTGATTACGTCATTAACAAGAGTAAAAATATCACCATAAGATCTTTTTCGATGAATCTTTAAGGTTTCATCAATACACAAATCAATTATTAGGTTTGTTTATGTCAGTTAAGATATTCAGTCAAGCGATCTTATAATGTCAAAGAAACATAAGCATTCAAGTCTACTTATTTAATAGTTGACACCATCTTTACACTTTTTAATGAAAAATAAAAGAAGAAACATTTTACGTTACTCATTTAAATGTGATATAGTTTGATGAGAAATAGAATTTATGATTTTCATTACTACTAACATTTATCTAGTAATACATGAAAGTATTTCTTATGATATTAACAAACAGTTTTACAGAAATCGAATGCAAACTAAGTAAGACATAAAATTTATGTATAAATTATATCTAAGGATTAACCGAGTTAAATTAAAACTATGCAGCATTATCCATTGGTCGTTATGATAAGGTGAATACATTTCAATAGTTGAGAATATGAGTCAATTGAAGATAGGCAACCATGAAAAACCTGGTATTAGGGGTGAATAAAGTAACGAATTAGTTAAATTCTCTATCTATTGATGTATAATGTGCTCTTTTCATGATTGAAGTTGATAGTGTACTTAAAAAAATCAACTTCATAGGATACATGAATATATATCGGTTGTGGAGATCATTGGATTTTATTGGTATCATGAACAGGCCTAAATTAAACAAGCACTGAAAGCTTAAAAGCATGAGACAGCTATTCTGTTCTAATATGAGAATCCTCAACAGTATGAATCCATAACCCCAATATCCTAGACCACTAAGCAGGAATTCGATGATATATATGTCTAACCTGAACCAGTCCACAGTGTTTCGCCACTATCTTTTTATTGTCTTCAATGGGTACGTTCCTCACACATACAACGATTGAACTCCACTATCTAAGTCCTTCAAGATTTTTAATAATCAGTTTGTGATCTCAATAAAATTTATAGAATATTGTCATAAAACTAAGAAAAAAATTGAATAGAACAAGTTACTCCTTGCCATATACTTATTTCTTCATCCAGCAGCTTACCCTTATACATTTTTATTTAGTTAAATCAATAAACAACAAGAATATCAAACAGTTTAGATTTCATCGGCAGTGTTTGTAGTATGGTCGCTTAAATGATTAATTATACATAATGTTATGACTTTAGGTTGCTGTCGATTTTTACCCTGTGTTATCGATCGATTACAGTGACACGTAAACACGAACGGACGGCCTAGAGTCTCGATTGGTCTCACTTCCCTGTCTAGCCCAGTCAGTTGAGTCCAGAAGACAAGCCACAGCCTCGGAGATATGAATCATTATATTTCAAACATACTTTGTTTATATACCAATCAAGCATACCACATCGTACCATAAAATAGAAAACAACATTTTGTACAATATTCAACAAGTGAACAGATATCGACCAATAGGAAATGTCCATTGAAAGTCCAAGGACACCATTGGACTTAACATGATAATTATTGGTCTATTCCTCTGCATCCACAACACATAAAAATGTGACATAATTGATCTTTTGAATTTCCAGAACCGAGAACCAGTATGTTTTAAATGGCGAAATACGGAAACTTTCCTACTGATTATAATAGAATACACAGTATAAACTAATTCTAAGCTAATTAGATTAATATCTCTAAGATAAAGTCGTTTGGACAACGTACATCTATATGTGACCATATTCAGTGAATTCAATAGGAATGTATTTGAGTTTTGATAATTGAGTTTATTCCGAACATATATCAACAAACGTATTAAAGAAACCCAAGATGAGTTATTCTTTTTCCCCTATTCAGTCTTTATGAAGTATCAACTTTAGAAATTACTGTGAAATGAAACTGAAGACATTGATTAACTATTGAGATCAGATGGTGGTTGAGGGTAGTCGACAAGAAACCCTAGATGCGGGTTTCGTGCTACTTGGCACTCGTCAGCAAGGTGTACCTGTCATCTTGAGGGGACCGGCGCTCCCTGAAGGATTCGATCCCAAGTCAACCAGCTTCACAGACAGAGACGTTACCACTGAGCTATCCGAGCCGCGACCGACCTCCTGTAGGACTGAGATGTAATAACAATTGACTGATCACTGGGTGGTGACTTGACACATGACACTGATCATCACCCAGTGATCAATCAATTGTGATTGATTAACTATTTATAAACTGTTGAACGAGATAGTCAATTAATAGAACAGTTACAACTTCAGGGTCAAATGGTAATTACCATTTCAAAATATACATGACTAATAAGATATATTTCGAATCGTTGTAATTATACCCTGATAAAATTTAAAAATTCTTAATTTCTGTTTTTATCATCCTTTCAAGTCACAATCTTAATCATAATTAACGTAATGCATGGCGGAAATGGCTTTAGCCTAAATTGCTATACCATAACATTCCGACTGGATAAAATTACCAAAATAATGTTATCTTGAGTGTTGTTAGAGGTATGAGGGCGGTTATCAATTCCCAGTTGCCCACACCGTGGAAGGGTTCTTTTGGAGATACCTGAAAAGGAAATTGGATTAGAGGTGGCCTTAGTGACCTGAGGGCGCGACCGCAGTGTCCAAGGGACAACTGCTTGAGGTCGGTCACACATGGCATTTCTGTGGGTAATTTTTGTGTTAGATCCGTACTTGTTGTGACCTTACCGCCAGTGACGGAAATCTGTGGGGTGAGGCGAGGTGTGCATTTCTAGGGTCGATCTTTTCTAACCCCTTCTTTCCTTGTGGGAAGACAGCATCACTGTAATGTTGGTTGCCTGAAGGAAACACCTTACTGCTGTCACACGTCTGTACAGTCAGCAGTATGACTTTGCCTTCAGACCTTGGGCTTGTTGCTTTTAGTCTTACCGCTCTTCACCTGACCTGTCTGGCATAGTAGGACCTTGAGGAACGGTTGTTCCAGCCAATATAGCTCGGTTGCTTCATCACGATAGGCAAGCTCGACCACCACGTCAAGGTAGCAACAATGGTCGGGAAAATAATGTTATAACAATGATTGTGAAGTTTAAACAAAATAAAAAGGTATGTATGCTTGAATACTGTAACTAAAAATCTGAAGTGAATTTATTTAATTCTCTATGATCAATAATGGGCCATATCACCTAATGTCTTCAACCACTGATTACGATCATTAAGTAGGTCTCAACCAGGCAGTTTACAGTAACTGAAATGTCTTAAATCAACAATGAATGACTTCACTGACAAATACATCATGTTGGTAGATGCAAAATACTTCCTTTACTATATCCTTATATGCAATCTCTCATTTATATACTACCACCACTGAATTAACTACGTCTATGTATCCGGTGTTCATCTTGTTGTGCTAATGAGATATGACAACTTGAACCGATGCATATATGTGCCTGGTCCGACGTTGTACCTGACTGACTGACGACATCACATTTTAATTTCAATTTCCAACTATTACACTAAACATAATCAGTTGATTCAAACATCTTAGACGTATATGTCATTTTCTAATTAAAAAAGAAAATAAAGTAACCAAGTGTAATGAATAGGCATTCAGTGAAATGTATCCTCGAAATGAAATAAATTAGGAATAGCTTACATATAATTTATAACCATATATGATAAATAACTTGTTTTACGCCAAATTCTCCATATATGTGACCAATTCAATTCATTATTAACTTCAGTTGACAATATTGAAAATTGATGAATTAAACCTGGAGATAAATCATCTATTGTTGTCTTTTCTATGAATAATTTTCTTGTGACTAAAAATAATTATTGAACAATTAAAATTATGACAATGATTTCTTTTTAATTTCAATAGTTAAGATCATGAGTCAATTGAAGCTAGATCACCATGGAAAACCTAGAAGCACTGGACGGCCATTTCATCCTATTGTAGGACTCTTCAGCAGTGCATATTCACAATCCCGCCTCACAAGATTCAAACCAGGACCTATAGGCTTTGTGCGAGCGAATCCTTAACCTCTAGACCATTGAGCCTGTATCCAACGATGTTAATGTCTAACCCCAACTGTAATTTAGTTAATCAATATGATGTCTTCAATAAAATTGTAGAATAAGAACGAAATGATCAGTATTGAGAGTACGATTTCTAAATTCCTGCATGTAATTCAAATATCATGTATAGTATGAAGTAGAAATATCTCTGTCTACTGCTCAAAATGCTCAAAATAAAAAATTATTTCTTCTCCCCGTTTATAGAGTAAAAGTGATAGTGTACAGAGAGTAACTAATTATTAGTGTAATAGTATATAATTGTTTTTTGTTGATATGCAGTACTCCAATTGATTGTTTTATACTGGCATATGTGCATCCTGAGCTAATCGCCTCTATTTAGCCACTTTACTGATCATTTTTAGAACATTCGACTTATGGCTGCCTTATTAGATGATGTTTTTTTTATTTATTTTGTTATGATTAGCTTTATTCAACATTATGTTTTTGGCACAATATAGAATTCTCTGCCCAAATTATATCAGCACGTTTCCTTTTCTTATTTCTTGATCGGTATTGAAGATAAATATTGAGTGATGGCTAGTTAAATGTTATCAGTACACGAATCGACATCTGAACAGTGTTCATTTTTTTCAATACATATCGCCAGCAACCACAATGTTTCTGATTGTACTTTCTTGTAACTTGTACTTGTTAACTTTTCACAAACGCGGCTTAATAGCTGATGCAACTAATTGACATAATTAACTCTTAAAACAAACATGAAAACAGATAACTTTTTGAAATATCTAGATGTCAGGAAAAAGGTAGTCCAGATATTCAAGCAGGCCACCTTGTTGTTGACGTTGAAAGCGAAAGATAATGAGTTCGGGTCTGTATATGAATATCAAATATTAGGTTCAAGGTACATGTGGTCGGTGATTACCAAATAAGACAAAACACGAATCTTTAAAACTACTGATTTGCCTTTCCGTCGTTTCTGCCTACGCTTCCACTAACTCTGGCCCAGATAAAGTGAAGGATTACTTTTACAGAAAGCTTTCTGAATTCCTTTATAAAGCTAAAAACTCAGATATAGTACTCGTAGCAAGTGACTTAAATGTACAGGAAGGTAGCTTAAACCAAGCAGAAAAACATCAAGGTGGATATTTTGGTATTCCAACTCAACGAAACAAATAGAATATACCATTATTGGTGAAATATCTCTACATTTAGTCAATCTACTCAGAATGCACACATAAAAACAGAGATTATCCTGATCAAAAACTCCTTTATTTTTATTTTTATTTGAACAAATGCATATTGGTACAAGGATGCACGAAATACATATGCGCCACACAAATCTCACTTGATATGTAATACTGCTCGGGTGCCAAAACCAAATCAGGTGGTTTTCTTAGTAGGCCACACCCGGAGCCTTCGACCTGAAGGTCTGATCCACAAAGCAGTGCAGTCCCATGGTAGCCAGTGGCCAACAACAGGTTCATATGCCATTTATTCCCTCAAGATCCTGGAGCCCATGTGCAACATTGGTTTGGGATCAGGGTTTTCTAACTCCCCTAGGTGGATCCTTCGTGTCCATCAACCCAGTCAGAGAAACGGACATTCGCGATTAGATGGTGGTTGGAGGTAGTCGACAGGAAACCCTAGATGCGGGTTTCGTTCTACTTGGCACTCGTCAGCAAGGTGTACCTGTCATCTTGAGGGGACTGGTGCTCCCTGGACGATCCGATCTCGTGTCACCCAGCTTCACAGACAGAGAAGTTACCACTGAGCTATCCGAGCCGCGACCGACCTCCTGTAGGACTAAGATGTAATCACAATCAGTTGTGAAACGAACATTCGCTTTTCCTTCTCTCAATTTCGTAAACAACACTTCCGCCACGAGAAGGCAGTGAGCAGGACATCCTTGGCAATGGCTGTATACGCGTGACCATGTGAGAGCGTTTCAAGAGGGAGAGCAGATTCTCTCCACTCTCGACCGTATTAAAGCATTTAGGGGCTCACAAACTCTTAATAATAATTTACCATTTTACTTAGTAAAAATAAAATTAACAATAAAGCATACAACTTACATTTAAAAGTTTTAACTGCTTTCAATAAATTCAAAATGTTACCATTATTTAAAAATGTCAAATGTTCAATAGACTGGTCACTTAAATCTAACAATATCCATTCTTCAAATATATTTGATATATCCACTTCTAATTTAGTAACATTATTATCATCATTTAAAAACAAACTTGTTAAATGTTCATTTGAATATGGAAATAAGTGTTTTAATGAAATTATTTTATTATATACATCAAATTGTTTTATATTGGAATGTGTTGTTGAAATAAGATTAAACTTATTAAGATATGAATTCAATTGATCTGGTATATTGAATATCTTCATATCAACATCATTATTTATTTCTTGATTGTTATTGTTTTCCTCATTTGAAATTGAAGATGAATTTAATTGTTTTGATAATGATGATGTTGGTGTTGATGATGACAATTCAGATGATGCCGATCCCGATGATGATGATGATGATGATGTTGTTGATGATGGTGATGATGATGATTTGTATGTTGATAATAATGTTGACTCGGATAATGATGATAAATACTTATTCATTTGTTTACTCTTTGTACAATGATACCAATTGATTGTAGAAATAAGTATTTTTAAAATGGTACTTTTACCTGATCCAACTGAGCCAATAATTAAAATTGGACGATTTACATTTATTAGTTGCCATAATTCAATTATCTGAAAAAAACAATTTTTTTTAGAAAATAAAGGAATTCACTTCAACAAATAGGGGGTTAAATGCAAATTACCTACATAAAGAAAAACTTATAAATACACGTTTACTGAAGATTAGATGGTGGTTGGAGGTAGTCGACAGGAAACCCTGAACCCGGGTTTCGTGCTACATGGCACCCGTCAGCAAGGTGTACCTGTAATCTTGAGGGAACTAGTGCTCCCTGGAGGATTCGATCTTGTGTCACCCAACTTCACAGTCAGAGACGTTACCACTGAGCTATCCGAGAGTAGAATGGTGGCCACATTGCAACATGATCGATAACATACTAAAAACAAACAAAATTCCAGATATCTGCATTAATATTTTGAATGTATGCTCGAACTTATATCATAAATAGTTTGTTTTAAAACACAACAATATTTCAGTCTTATCTGCTTCAAAAAATTCGTTTGAAGTCTGTTGCTTATCTGCTTTCTATTTCTGTGGTTTAAAACATTCCTGAAAATCATCCGACGTTAAACTCTTCATTTTATTCTTCTACATTTTTTTCTGACCCTATACTGTTCTTTAAGACGATTTCTGAAATTGGTGATTGACTTATAAAGAGTCATTGTCTTCACTACACTATCTCGATAAAAACGAAGTTTGATATTCATTCTATAACTTAGAATTTCCACAAGATTTCTTTAAAACCTTGATCTTAAAAAAGCAGTTGGAAATCAGAAGGGGATTTTGTGGAGGTTGTAATAATATCAATAGTTGAGATCATGAGTTAATTGAAGCTAGACCACCTGGAAGCACTAGACGGCTGTTTCGTCTTATTTTGGGACTCTTCAGCAGTTGAAAATCTTGATTTCTGAAAATCTCTATAAATGGTTTTTTGTAAATCATGTTAAAGACGATAGAAAACAGGTATTGCCACAAGATGACAAAAAAATGATACATGAATTGTTAATGACCTTATCTAACATCATGGTTATGACAAAGTGATCAATCAAAGATAGTCAAAATATGTATACACTTACCTTTATTAACTGACCATTAACTATTTCCAAATTACGTACATACATTTCTCTTAACAATCGATAAATAAATTCCCATGAAACTTTTGGATACATATTATTATTATCATCACATTTTAAACATTCTTCATTACCAGACATGAAAGGTAATGCAGAATTCAAAGATAAATATTGCTCAATGGTTGATAACCAATCAAAATCTAAGCTGGATTGTAATACAACTTTCTTGAAATTATCTTTCATACAATCCATAGATAAATTTATTCTATAAGCTTTAAATAATCCATATCGTATTGCAATTTCAGCTAATCTGTCTTCTTCCTTTCTCAATATTACTAATGATTTGAGTGCAGTATGTTTACGTATATCTTGAAGATGATTAAATTTTTCTAACCAAAATTGTTTAGCATATTCAAATGTTTTGATAATAGTTGAAAGTGATAAGTAGTAGGTATTTGTTTGTTTATAATGAAGAACTGATTCATTTGTAAAATATGTTAAAGATCTATTCAACAAATTGACTAATCGATGCTTTATTGAAGAACTTTGATATTCAGGTAAATAATATTTGAAAAGACATTGTATAATAAATGAATAATTTGGCCATCCAATGGTTACATTACGAAACGAAAGCTGTATAAAGAAAATTCACAAAGTATATAATGTTAAGGATTTGAATAAAGGATGAATGAACCATTTAAATAGTTTATTGAAACGATTCAACATGGTAGTATGCTTCAAAGACAAAGTAACTGAAAACGTTTTTATATTATCCGGCTTCAATGAGAAAGAGTTTGTAGTTTTCTGTTGACTGCAAACTAGCTTAACTACACCTTGTGATTAAACGACAATATCGAAACAATTCTATCAAGATACACTTAGGCCAACAGAGGTCAAAGAATTGCAATCCATACCATAAATAACTGGAAAATTCAAACGCTTTAAAATAATTCATATTTATCGAAAACATAAATAACAATCTGAACTGAGTAGCTTAGAAGATAACTCGTTGATGTTTAAATTTATGCGTAATGTATCCAAGTCCCAGTGTGGAAATGAACACTGGTTTCAAGATACATCTAGAGAATGAGTTCCAAATATGGACAAATGAGCACAAAGGGTATTTCATGCATTCAATATGAATTATTAAGGCATTTTAGTTGAAATTGCGCGGATTACAAGACTTTTATTTACTTAAAAGCATACTAGGCAATATTTATAGAGAATAGGAACGAAACTCTATCGTCAGTCACCAGTCGTAATAGACTGGTATAGCGATCACCAGTATACATATTTCTGTCTATGTATATACATTTAACTTTGATTCAATGGTATACCACAATCTAAGCTTCAAACAAATTCCTTTAAATCAAAGTTAAATATTTAGTATAACTTCAGTACAGAGATGATAAAATGATATTGCAATTTCATCTGAAAGCAAGAAGTACAAAATAAACATTTTAGAGAAAAGAAAGAAAAAATGCTTCTTACTTTTTGTACTTTTGGCAGATTTTGAAATTTTCGAGAATCATATGTACCGAATAACCCAAAACTGCAATCGATTCTGATACTTTGATTAAATAAACATTGTTTCGGTTCAGAAATATATTGATTACAATGATAAGTGATTAACTTGTGACCTGAAAGATTAATTGTTAATGAATGTATCCGAAAGTGTTTTGTGGATATTATAGTAATTTTTAATAGTTGAGGTCATGAATCGATTGAAGCTAGACTACCATGAAAAACCTGAAAGCACTGGACGGCTGTTTCGTCTTATTGTAGGTCCTGGATTCGAATCTTGTGAGGCCGGATAGTGGATGCTCATTGTTGAGTTGTCCCATAATAGGACAACGATTATTGTCGTCTTGAGTGAAGTTGTAAAACTGGGTTTTTTCGAATAAACCAATCAGATGGTCATTATAATAGGTTTCTTAGTCCATATTGCATAGGATCTTCATCTACGAGGAATAGACCATTGTCAAATAGCTAAAACTTTTCTAATATGGTCTAAATAATTTCAGGGACTGACGAATGTTATAATTTGACAATTTCTACAGTTTTTCCCTCAAAACACGTTTGCTTATCTATTGAATATCAATTTAGATAGCAGATTATAACAGTCGCCGTAAATGCAACTTTATAGTAGGTCTTAACTAATATAAGATATAAATCTCCAAAATAAATTTGTAATTTAAGTAGTATTTCTATAATCTCATCACATATTCAAGATGAATATATCTATTACGCTGTTTTAAGTAGCTACATATGTTTGAATTTAAATATTCCATTTTATTTGTAATATGGGTTAGTTTCAACAAGTTAAAGAGGGAGAAAACTACATTTTTTTGAATAATCAAAGTAAATGCTTACTATTTTTATCAATGTTCTCAATAGATTGTTGAAGATTCTTTGTAAAATCTGCAAACTGAAAAGAAAGGGTTGTAGAAATTAATTAAACAGTTAAGTATTACAAATTTATTCTATAAAATTATCTCAATAGTTGAAATCATGAATCAACTGAAGCTAGACCACCATAGAAAACCCGAGGCACTGGATGGCCGTTCCGTTCTAGTATGAGACTCCTCAGCAGTGCGCACACACAAATCCACCCACCATCAGATTCGAACCCAGAACCTATTAGTGTCGCGCACAAGCGCTTAACCATTAGACCACTGAGCCGGCCGGTATCCAACGGTTTTAATGTCTAACTTCAACCAATCCACGAAGTTAACACCGTTCCTAAAAATGTCCACAAAACCATTTCTGATAATAATCATCTACTCATCAGTGACTGACTTCAATAGACATTTCGTGAGGTTCTAGTGAGAAGCCGTTACCAATGGAGTTCAACCAGGTCTGTTGTGAAATATCAACTCATTGAAGACAATGGTGTACGATGGCGCAATTTCATGGATTGGTTGAAGTTAGACATTAACACCGTTGGATACCGGCCGGCTCAGTGGTCTAATGGTTAAGAGCTCGCGCGCGAAACTGATAGATCACGAGTTGGAATCTGGCGTTGGGCAGGATCGTGGATGAACACTTCTGATGAGTCCCAAGATAAGACGAAACGGTCGTCTAGTGCTCCCAAGCTTTCCATGGTGATCTAGCTTCAATCGACTCATGATTTCAACTATTGAAATTTCTAAAAATCTCCACAAAACCCCTTCTGAAAAATTATCATTTGTATAGGAACAGAAGCGGTCAGAGAAATTTAACAAAATTGGAGGGGGGAATAGTAAGTTGAATTTGAGCCTGTTTAATACAGTATATTTTTATATTTAAGTCAAAGAAAAGAGTTGTACTAATCTACAAGCAGTGATTATTTCCTCCTTTTCAAATAACCTCCGTAACGAAAATCGATTGACAACTAAAAGACATTAAACAGCTTGTTTGTTCTAGTAGAAAGCTGCGATAAATTAGTCAGGCAATTATAAACAATGTAAAAACTAACACATATTTACATCGGTTCTCACATCATATCAACACAGTCAGATGAAACTATCAATAGAGAACCCATAATAATAACAGAATTAGTAACAGAATCAGTAGTAGTAAAATTGATTAATCTTAGACAATATAATTCGAGAAGTCAACCAGTTGAGAGTATAGTATTTACTCATTGATGAAGAAATTAGATGCGGATCACAGTGAATTCCAATTTTAGTGCAATAGAAAATACCTAATATTTGATGTCTTGAGCTCAATACCATGTGATGTATTGAGTGAATATAGTTGTAAAGTCTTAAACTAATACGAAACATATAAATAACTCAGTAAAATAGTTGAATAAACTCACTTGAATCCGACCGTTGCTCATAAAATTACACTTTCGAACTTCATTCAAACAGTTTATCACGATTTCCAATTCTCCAAATTTTAAGTTCTTTGTTATAGAAAAAATGTTAAAAATACTTCATACCAGTTCTAGATATTCAATAGTTAACAACAATGTATAACTTAGAGAACAAACTCAAACACGACCGTTTACGTAGAAGAGAAAGAATATGGAATTCAGGATATGTGTGTTTGTATTACTTGGGATTCATCAGTTGAGTGTACCTGGATCTCAGAGTTGATGTTCACATCTGAACTCGAGCCTAGTATCGTTCGTTTTAAACTCCAACCTGTGATCCAATTAAAAGCCCCTAGTGTAACGGATATGATTTTTAATTCAATTTGTAGTGAATTGGATTACTTCATTGCTAATATTTTGATTGAAATTTGATCAGTCCAGGTTAGCATATAACCAGCTGATACTTGGTAAGAGTCCTGGAGTAAAATCAACTCTGAGATACCAATACATACAGCTGACGAGACCCGGTTACTATTTAACCTGAATCAAAGATCCCACTGCTAGCCAAATTCAATCTATTCTATACTAAATTGTGTCATAATCGTTAGATTGAGGAAATTCACACAGAATGCACATATTCCAACCAAGATCAATCATATTTCAGTCAAAATACCAATGATTGGATAATTTTAATAACTATAAGCATGATCTTAAAACTGTACAGATAATTTGAAAAAACTTATCCAACTATAAGAAAAGATGAATATCTGAACGATTAATTACATTACTAAATAATACTTCATTTGGTAGAAAACGTTCAGCTGCATAACCAAGTTAATTTATTTACTCACTAAGAAATTCCTATTGTATTAACATACAGTTATGTGTACGAAGAATATTCTTTTCAATGGTAGAGAAGATTTGTAGCTCAGGTGGATGATTATGATAAAGTTTAGTTCTCTGAGCTGAATGTTTCTTTTCAATAATTTCTCATCAAGTTCTACAGTTATCTCATATCCAAATTAATAATCCACAAAATTGGTCAGATTTAAGGCAAAGTACATGATGTAAAATCATAACATCTGAACCAAAGATTGTTGTTTGTTACATAAAATCAAATCAAATCGTTAATATTAGCGTTGACTAACATGAAGTGTTAACTTGAATCAGTTTATAAGTGAAATGAAATTGTGAGGTAAATGATCAACATGGGGTGAGAGAGAGAGAATAATGTAATTACAAATCAGAAATTACGTAATATGTAGAATAATATAAATAAGATCAGATATAGTAGATAGGATTAGATACTGAATTAATTCCTCAAAAAGGTTAGCGGGTGTAATAATAATAATAATAATAATAATAATAATAATAATAATAACAACAGCAATGGTAATATGTGTGGATAAGTTTAGGATATAAAAATGAACACTAATCAAATTACATCACCATATCATAAAATTGATTATTAACTAGTTGGTACCGAAATTGGCCAGGGTTAAAGGAACTGCTGAACATATTTCTTTTGGATGCAAAACTCTGGCATTTTGATCCGAATAGCAACTGCTTCAGCTGCCTACAGGATTCTCAGTCTGACGAAATTAGGTAGACTGCTGTTAACACGATATATTATTGCGGAAGATCACTCCATGTTGGCTATATATCCCGTCTGCATTAAATTGGCTAAAATGGAGTAGTTAACCGAGCGTTTCAATCAAGTTCGTATGGTTGATACAAAGGATAAATGTTTCGTCCATATATCAGCAATAAAATGAAAACTTGTCGATCTGTTTATGGAAGAAAGTTTATTTCAAATTCAATGGTGAAATATATAGACAAATATATGATGTCGCGATGGGTTCACCCCGAGGTCCCATATTGGCCGACATTTATCTCTCTAAACTAGAAAACGACCCATTAGCACAACAGATCGGCAAGTTTTCATTCTCTCTCTCACTCCATGTTGATCATTTACCTCACAATTTCATTTCACTTATAAACTGACTCAAGTTAACACTTCATGTTAGTCGACCCCGATGGACTCAAATAGACCATATCGCCATCAGTCATCGTTGGAGAGGGTCGGTAGGAAATTGTCGCTCATTCTGGATTACCTGCTTGGACTCCGATCACGCCCTAATACGGGCACGCATCTGCTTGCGCCTCACTGGACGTAAAAAAGCCACACTAAAAAGAACCATTAGAACTGAATTGAGTAGCGAGAAAACGAAAAGTGGGTTCCAGGAACAACTGAGGTCACACTTAGGTAGTTCTGAAAACGAGGTTGACCCAGGTGTTGCTTGGAAAGCTATACAAACAGCTGTGGAAACAGCAGTGACATCTATTAGTGATTTAAACCACAGGGTTACAAAGAACCAATGGATTTCCTCAAGGTCTATTGCACTGATGGATTCTCGTAAACTCATCCCATCAGGCTCTGAACACGATGAAGAGTGACAACAAATCAGATCTAGGCTAGGCAAAAGTATAAGGAACGACCGTGAGCAGTGGTGGGCAACGAAAGCAAAAGAGATGGAAAAGGCGGAGGCTATAGGGAACACAAGACAGCTTTACAGACTAATAAAAAAACTGGAATTAATAAATCAAGTGTAAGTCAGACTATTTCAGAAAAAGATGACACCCTCATCTGCTCTCAGTTCAGACGTTTAGAACGATGGGCGGAACATTTCAAAGAACAGTTCAGCTGGCCTTCAGCTACTCTACAACTACCCTCCATTCCCAGACAGTGTGAATGGAACATTGAAGTAGGTCCCCCTAACTCTAGCAGAAGTTCAAAAGGCTATAGCTAATCTGAAATGAGGAAGGGCAGCTGGTCCAGATGGACTGGCTCCAGAGGTTGACTAATATTTTAGCTGAGATCTAGGAGTTAGACGTTATTCCATCTGACTGGTCACAATCACTTATCGGTCCCAATATATAAGAGAGGGTTAAAATCATCCTGTGACAACCACAGAGGGATTAGTTTAACTAATATAGTATCTAAAATACTAGCCTCGATAATTATCGGACGCCTGACTAAGACTCGTGAACTGTAGACGTGAGAGAATCAAGCTGGCTTCAGACCTGGTCATGGCTGCATCGACCACATATTTACCATTCGTCAGGTATTAGAACACAGGCATACTTATCGACGTCCGACAATGGTGGTCTTTCTTGACTTAAAAGCAGCATTTGACTCTGTAGACCGCGAGATTCTGTGGCAATGTCTGTCATTGAGAAGCGTACCTCAGAAGTACATAAACCTTGTGAAGGCTCTTTACTCAAACACTTCTAGTCAAGTCAGAACTTATGGCGAACTGTCATCTGCTCTTGCAACCTCAAGTGATGTCTGTCAAGGATGTCCACTTTCTCCATTTTTGTTTAACTTTATCATAGACCTATTGATGGAAATAACATTCTCGTCTACTGAATTTTCGGGTATTGATCTCCTTCCGGGAGGTCCACTTATCGACTTAGAATACGCAGATGATATAGTCCTGTTTGGTGAAGACGCTGATAAAATGCAGAGTCTTTTGGTAGCACTAAGTAACAATGCCAGAATGTTTGGAATGCGCTTCTCTCCCTCTAAATGCAAGTTGTTGCTTCAGGACTGGTCTGCGTCAACACCTGAACTAAGGATAGGGAGTGAAGTAGTCGAACGCGTCGACAACTTCACTTATCTTGGAAGTCTGATCAGCCCTAATGGGTTGGTGTCTGACGAAATCTCAGCACGGATTCGAAAAGCCCGCTTGGCTTTTGCCAACTTACGTCACCTATGGCAAAGGAGAGATATCCGTCTATCAATAAAAGGATGAGTATATTGCGCGGCAGTCCGTTCTGTTCTACTTTACGGCAGCGAAACATGGCCATTAAGAGTAGAAGATACTCCTAAGCTACTAGTATTTGACCACAGATGCCTTAGAAATATTGCTCGCATTCGCTGGGATCACCGGGTAAGTAATAGTGAGGTTCGACGCAAGGTATTAGAGAATGATGGTAAATCAGTTGATGAGGTTGTGAATCTTCATCGACTGAGATGGTTGGGCCACGTGTTACATATGCCTGAACACCGATTACCACGACGTGCAATGCTAACCGGTGTTGGAGATGATTGGAAGAAAGTTATGGGCGACCAAACCAAAACGTGTCATCAATGCTTGAAGTCACTAACTTCTGGTGTGAGCCATGTTGGTAGATGCAGAATAATTGGTTGGGGTCCACGTGACTATCGTAACCAATGGTTGTAGGCTCTTGGTGACATGACTCAGAATCGATCACAATGGCGTCGTTGTATGCACACTCTGTCTTCCTTTAAACTAAGAGATTAAAATCACTTCATATCTTTCTTTCTACGAACTAATTCCTTCTTCCTGTACTATGTCCTTATACGTAATCTTTCATTTATATATTACCACCACTGAATTAACTACTTCTATGAATTTGGTGTCCATCTTGTTGTGTTAATGAGGTATGGCAACTTGGACCTATGCATATATGTGCGTGGTCCTACGCTGTAGCTGACTGACTGACTGACCCCGACATTAACGATTTGATTTGATTTGATGTAACAAGCAATAATCCTTGGTTCACATGTTATGATTTTAGATGATGTACTTTGCCTTGAATCTGACCAATTTTATGGATTATTAATTTGGATATGAGATAATTGTAGAACTTGATGAGAAATTATTGAAAAGAATATTCTTCGTTCACACAATTGTGTTTTAATTCATTTGTTCAATGTCATAGTTAAGTTATTTAAGATCATACCACAGCTATAAATAAACTCATTAAATTTACTCATTATCTTTCTTCACATTCACACGTATATACAAAGACATGTTTTACATAGAACCTCATTTTCTCCGACTGACACAACATTTACGTGAGCTGACATGCTTGTATGTCTTATTTGTATGAAGTTACTAGACGTTAGAAATCCATTTTATTTTCAAATCATCACAAATATATTATTGAGTTCATGAACCGTTCTAATTCATATCACTGTTGGAAAACTGGAAGCACTGGATGGCCGTTCTGTTCAGGTATGTAACTCCTCATTAGTGCGCATTTTCAAACGCATATTTACAATGGTAGCCTAATGTTGATCGGTTCATCAGCTCAATGAAATCCAACAATCTTCACAATCCTTTATGCACAAATATATCATTTTCAACAATATAAATTCTTTACCTAGTCGTCAATTCATTTAAATTTACCATGTCGAGTGTTGCTAATGATATTTAGGATCTACTTATACCTCTACAGCCTAATAAACTTTTATAAACGAACTGGTACTAATCGTTCAAAACCATGATAAATCGTCAAATCGCATAACATTTGTCAACAAAAATTGATCGATAGAATGAGTGTAATATTCCCAGTAGCAGTTTAATATGACCTCTGAATGTATTCAGTGAACTGATTTTTTTTAGAAAAAAACCATGAATAAACTTATAGGAAATAGAATTCACTCTGAATGAAAAAAACCCGCTTACATGCATATTCATTATTGAAAATAAACAACCAATTCGTATGCAACTAAGAATATCATTTTTTAATGTATTCTCAAATGTATCATTGAAGATGTTAAATGAAAATTCTATAAGACGACGACCAAGTAAAAAAGCAAGTTGACGAATTATTGTTTGTTTACCACTTCCAAATGATCCAATTAATAGTCCAAACTTTGAAATGAAGCAAAACAATTGAATAATTTACTTTGTTTTACTGAAAATATCTTTATTTCATAGTAACATTATTGAAAACAATTGTACATTTTTTTTAAAATATAAGTATGAATTGACCAGAACTGATAGGGAAATACAGAACTTTTTCCAATCATTACATAAATCAACACAACAGCATTGATTATGTACTAGGTAAGTAGCTATCGAAATTATATCGTGACGCCTATCAACAAGACGCTTGGGATACATTCAGTAACTTAATTTATTAAAAAAAAACAATGCACCAACAGTATTAAGCTAAAAAAAATGATTATTTCATTCAGTCGATATTATAGTTCCTCACACCAGAGATCGATCTTTTATGATGATTATTTTTAGTCTTATCACAACTGATCAGCCAAGATGTTCATTTTGTTTTACTTAAACAGATATTATGAATCAAAGTATAACCACTGAATATTATTTTAATCGATTTTCAGTACCCGAATAGTGGTTAAGCAAGATAAAAGCCTAGATTACGTAAAGCTTTTCATTTAAGGATAGTTTTCATCATGAATTAAAATTATCCTAATAATCATTAAAACCCACATAAACGTTGAGTAACAGTTTGGTCAAAGCAAAGTAGTATGCAACCACAATTCCACATGACAAAATGCCTACAACATTTAGATCTTATGTTAAACATGTTACTCTTGGATTGCAGCGTTCGTGGCCATTTACCCACATTTTCAAACTTACTCAATCATCTGTTTTGACATGATATAATTAGGAAAGGTTGTCGGTAGTTAAATGACTTACACACAATATCATTAAACCCGATTAGATCACAACTTCATATTAAAAATTAAATGTCAATCTGTATTATTTTAAGTTTTTTTTCTAAAATTTGCAAAAACCATCTAAAATATTTGACCACATATGAATATAGAAGCTGATGATTTGAATACACAATACTGAATCATGAGACAGTCTTCATAACAGAATAAAACTTGATTGACGATGATTGATAAAAGCCAAATTCTAAAAAGCTGAATTTAACAATAATCAGAAAGATAGATGAACATGTTCTTAAAGAACATCTCTACTAACTAACTTACCTATCCGATTTGAATATGAACAAGTATTACATTATATCAGACTGGTCACAATCATTACAGTATTCCTTCAGTTAATATTTTATTTTATTTATTTGGATACAAAAATATTGGTAAAAAGTTACACCGAATAGATATGCACCACACAAGTCACTTGATTTTTATGTGGGCTGTGATACTGCTTGGGTGCCAAAATCGAAGCAGGGGGTTTTCTTGGGAGGCCACACCCGGAGCCTTCGACCCGAAGGTCTGATCCACAAGGCAGTGCAGTCCCATGGTAGCTGGTGGCCAACAACAGGTTCATATGCCATCTGTTCCCTCAAGATCATGGAGCCCATATTCAACATTGGTTTGGAATCAGGGTTTCCTAACTCCCCTAGGTGGATCCTCCGTGTCCACCAACCCAGTCAAAGAAAGGAAAATTCGCTTTTCGTCCTCTCAATTTCGTAAACAACACTCCCGCCACGAGAAGGCAGTGAGTAGGACATCCCTGGTGGTGGCTGTATACACGTGGCCATGTGAGAGCATTTCTCAAGAGGGAGAGCGGATTCACCCCACCCTCGGCCATACCAGGGCATCGATACTGAGTATCTTTATTCCTGAACATTCTTTTATGACGATTTTTTGCATCATGAAAACATTTAATCAAATAGAATGTAATGTTTATATTTCTGTAATTTAGTATAAGTTATAATTCATATACCTTCTGCAGTTAAGCGGTAATTTTATCTGACATAGTAAGTAGTGTAACTAGTGTTTAATTAAAATAGCTTGTCATACAGACATAAAAAATATATTCAAGCCTCAAAAAAATATATGAACCAGTTGAAGTCAGTATAAGAATAGCGGAAAGTTGTAACCTGTGAGACTTGGTCATGTTTGATGTGAAACAGATATTATTTATAATATTGGTTTATTATCGTACTATACTACGAATTAAGAGAATTTCGGTAATCTAGCCCAGTGTAACACTAACTCAGTGATCTAATAAAGCTGGTGTGTTGATATCTGCATAAACTACCTCTTTACCTTGAACGTAACTGTTCAAATACTACTTACTAATTAAATATGTAATATTAGAGAAACTGGAAATAATTGTAAGTAATATGATTAAGTTTCACGTAAAATGCATCACAAAAAATCGATCTTGTTTTCAAAAATTACTATTGAATTGTATTATACTAAATAAATATATTTTTTTCAATGGTTGATATCATGAGTCAATTGAAGCTAGATCACCATGGAAAACCTGGAAGCACTGAACGGCCGTTCCGTCCTATTGTGGGACTCCTCAGAAATATGCATCCACGCCCCTGCCCCGCGTGATTCGAACCTACGACCTATCAGTCTCGCACCTGAGAGCTTAACCTCTAGACCTATAACCTCTATATATTTTTCAAATCTCTCACCTCATGATTATTCAACGCTGATCCAAGTTGAATTAATTCTTGTGAAGTATTTAATAACGGTATATATAATGTGTTATTATTGATTAGTAAACTTTGATTATCCCATTTATAAGGATGAATTGTCGAAAATTGTTTGATCCCAATTGTCGGAATATCATTGTACTCATTTAATTCATTCGAAAAGTACTCATTCCTTTCAGGATTTAATGTTGAACTGATAAGTTGTGTTTTAATTAACCGTTGCCAGATAAAATTATTCTCGTCTAAATTTGACTCTTTTCTCAAGTCTATACTCATAAAAAATTCAAATATACTTAATTGATTAGTTCATATGTTTATAATATATAATAACACACCAATAAAACAATTCCTTATAGAGGTATCAGAAAAATTAAGTACCTATAAGTTTCTTATTGAAATCATTAATCGATTGATGCTAGACCACCAGTAAAAATCTGAAAGCATTAGATAGCCGTTTCATCTTGGGTTCGAATCCTGAGTGTGAGATCGTGGATGAGCACTGCCGAGGAGTCTCATATTAAGAAGAAATGTCCGTCCATTGCTTCCAGGTTTTCAATGATGGTCTTACATCTATGGATTCATGATCTCAATCGAAAACTCAACAATCTCTACAACCTCATACTGATAGCTCTAAGTTATTGTATATTCAGGCAAATCTTCTTTATAAATTTTTTTTTACTTTAGTATTAATAAATAGTTCCATTTATCTCCAAAGTTTATATATATATGAACGGGATAGTTCAATTGCAAAGCTTTCATTGTCGTTCTAGATATCAGTGCCTAATTCAAACAGAAATGAGCATTTTGATTACTCCACAGATAATAATCCGTTCCGTTCTGATGACTTCGGTTCTAATTTGTAACCTTGACAGGGTTCATCATTTGCGTATTTGTCGAAATTCTTTGTTGAAAATGTTTCAAGAATTCCAGAAAATTAATTTGTAATCAATAGAATTGTCGATATGGATTAGAATAACAGTCCATAATGATAAAGTCGTTCACTTACATAGTCACAATTTAATTGTTAATATTATGATCAAGAAAAAAACATGTATTAGAATGCAATCACAACACGTAATTCAATTCACAGGACACCTCATAAATAATGTCAAACAAATAGTAAGAATTAATAAGTTGTTCAAAATGAACATTTTTGATGATTAATAGTCTTAATTGCGAATCATAGTAAACCAGTAGAAGTAATGTCATATCACCTAGACTGGTGGCAACATTTCAACTTGGTCGATAGTATTCGATCTGCACTAAGAAGGACCTGACATACATGATATTGATTACCACCTAGTGATCAATCAATTGTAAAGTAAACGAATTAATACAATGAAATAATTTTACAATCGTATGAGATTAACATTTGACTGCAAGAAGGAATTACCATATATTGCAATGTACAGATCCTGACAACTAATTGAGTAGATCATAATCTACTGAGTGACATCATGTGTTATTTCGAAATGACTGACATGGAAAAACATCTATACGACACATGGGATAAATTTTTTTTTAATTATACACTGAGAATATGAAAGAAATTGGCCGGACACTATTAACAACAACCTGCTGTGGAAGAGAACAAAACAGATCTCAGCGAAGTAAGAAATCGGGAAGAAGCACTGGAAGAGGATAGGACACACATTGAGGAAAACACCCAACTGCGTCACAAGACAAGCCCCCACATGGAATCCTCAAGGCCAAAGGAAAAGAGGAAGACCAAAGTACACATTACGCCTGGAAATGGAGATAGACATGAGTAAAATGAACAAGAATTGGACGGAACTAGAAAAGAAGACTTAGGACAGAGTGGGTTGGAAAGTGCTGGTCGATGGCCTATACTCCATTAGGAGTAACAGGCGTAAGTAAAGTAAGTAAGTAATATGAAAGAAATGAGCATTACCTTGTATTAAATAAATAAATCCCAAAATTGTTCCAATCAACATTTGGCATGTTAACTGATCGATTCTTGAACTGAATTGATTATCATAACTAATAGGAATAGTTTTCAATGGTTCAATAATACTATTTAATTGTTCTTCGAAGTATTCTCTTATCGAAAGAAAAATCAAATTAAAATGTTTTGAAAAAAAGAAATAATTAAATAAAATCTCTCCAGTTTCTTTATTTGATCAATATCTCTTAGATCACCGAAGAAATTGATCAGTATGAAATATTTTTGCATAATTTGAGCTTCAGATTAGACAAAACAGATAGAAAGAACCTCTTGAAAGAGTGACTCACATAAACTTATTATAATGCTCAAAAGAATAGAAATAAGCCCCTGGCACCAGACTGATAGGTCCTGGGTGGCATCGTGGATGCGCACTGCTGAGGGGTCCCACAATAGGACGAAAAGGCCGTCCAGTGATTCCAAATTTTCCATTGTGGTCTAGCTTCAGTTGACTCATGATCTCAACTGTTGAATCAATTTTTTTATAAGAACACTCAAATACTTGTGATTTAACATATTAGGATTACATTGATTTATGATTGCTGTGATAAATATTTACCCGCAAAGTACACTGTGAAACTGTAACATCTCAAGAAGGATAGTAAAAGAAACTTAAACATTCTTGGATTTGGGTTTTTTCTACTGATTACCAATTTGTTTCCTATTATTGTTAATGATCTTACATCTGAATTAGACTATTTGAATAGGTGGCTATTTAATAATCATTTCTCTCATTCCTAGCTATTAGCACAATCTTATTTGTTCTCTATATTGCAGAAATAAATCGAAACATTGCTCATTTACTAAAATATTTTAAAATAAACAGTTCCAAAACACTAACGAACCTAAGGTCCTAAAGCGAAGTCGTACTGCTGACTGTACAGATGTATGACGGTAGTAAGGTGTTTCCTTCACACAACCAGCATGACAGCGATGCTGCCTTCCCACAAGGAAGGGTGGGATTAGAAAAGGTCGACTCTAAAAAATGCACATCTCTCCTTACCTACGGACTTCCGTCTTTGGCGATAAGGTTCCAATAAGTACGGAGCTAACAAGAAAATTACTCTCAAAAAAGTCGTTTATGACTGACCTCAAGCAGTTGTCTCTTGTGCACTGTGGTCACGCTCTCAGGTCACTAAGATCACGCCTAACCCTATTTCCTTCACAGGTATCTCCAGAAGAACCCTTTCACGGTGTAGGAAGCCGGAAAGTGATAACTGCCCTCATAACGCTAGCAGCACTCAAGATCACTGTATTCATAATAAATCTCCCTCTTCAAAGAAACTTGTAAAAGGAATTTAACTTGCAAGTGAAATGACATATATGAGTAAAAATATTCACTCGAATAAGAATTTGATCTTTATAAAAACTACATGAAATTTTTATTGGCGGTATTGCCTTAGTTCACAAGCATTATTAGCAAAGATGGATGGTGGCTAGCAGTGGAATCCAAGATGCACGTTTTGTCCAATTTAGGACCCGTCAGCTGGATGAATTAAAACTTCATCCCATCGTACAACCTGGTGGCTATCAGGACTCAGTGGCTGAGTTCTGGACGTGATGGCGTTTAAAGTGAATGGTACTGGGTTTAAGTCTTGAAGTGAACATCAACTCTGGGATTCAGGTACGTCCAGCTGACGAGTCCCACCTAGGACGAAACGCGTATCAAACTGGATTCCACCGTTAGTCACTATCTATCTCTGTAAATAATTAAATGATTGTTAAGGTCATTCTCAAGGAAGTATTTTCCAGTAAAAAAACAGCAGCTTTCAAAAATCCAAATGTCATACAGCCCATAACCTTGAATATCATTTCAGTGATCTAAAGTCTTAGCGCCTACTAAAAGAAATCACATTTATTCCGAAAGATAAGTATGAAAATTGCATGAAACCATTATACTAAGTTCTAATATGTTACTTTAGAGATATCGCTAAAAGCTTATACTGACTTTACAGCTATGGTTGGGGTCCGCGAGAAAAGGACCAAAATCAATTCAAATAAATCATTTTTATTCCCTTTTACTCAACTCCCGGATTGTAATTTCTAATATTATTTCATACACGAATTTAGTCATTTTTCTGAAACCGTATACTCTATTCCCAAGATTTTTTTCATTATCATTGATACCGCTACTACTTCCTTTGACTTGATATTCATCTTTCGCTAATTTTATTTCACGTTGTTAATGACGTGTAGTAACTTGGATTGATCCACACTTTGCAGACTACTTAAGTTGCTTATCTGTAACTGAAATTAAAAGTGGGAATTGTACAAGACTCACCAATTACAGATCATTTTCAAAAATCGGATGATTCATTAATAATAAATAGATAAGATAGTGTAGTCATTTTATAAGTGGTTCCTATCAAGAACTGACATAAGTTATGGTACAAATGAAAATACAAAAATACTAAGAACTTATTTCATTCTAATATGAAAATTCTCAGTAGTCCGAACATAAAAGTGCAGAGTCTTCTGACCACTATAAGCAACAATGCAAATATGTTCGGTATGCGATTCTCCTCCTCAAGATCCAAAATGTTACTTCACGATTGGGTTGTATCGACACCTAAACTAATGATAGGGAGTGAAAGAGTTGAGCGTTTCTACCTTGAATGACAAGGCTGAAAATCGTTTGCAGTGGCACAGGTGCATCCACTCTTTATGTTCTCCCAAATTCTAATCTTCTGAATTCTTCATGTCCCTTTCTTTTTTTCTCTTTCCAAATTTATTTCACTGGATTATACTCGTTGAATGACATCTCCAAACAAAAATCTTTCCTTTTACTACTCATACTCTTATTACCTCTACCACTACGGGATTTGAATCGACCACTGTATCTCTGTGCTAATGTGGTGTGGCAACTCGAACTGATGTACGTACGTACGATGTTCTACGTTGTTTTTGACAGACTGAATGTTACCTATGAATCCTCCTGTCTTACCTAACCTATAACCATGAATAATAACTCAATGATCTAAAAGATTAATACTTACTGAAAGATATTAAATCAACCCTCATATATACACAGATTAATATAAAAAAATAGTTATATATGATTATTATTGAAAATTGAACATTATAGTTTTAAATAATCACTTACATTATTTTAACGAATTCATCTCTTCGATCTTCTTTTATTATAATTTTCTCTAATTTTTGCCAATTCATAAGTCGTATAGTTAATTCTAAAATAATGACAGGTATTAATTGTTTCTTTCTGATGCACTCATTTATCCATTTATGGTTTCTTTCGGCATTTAACAAGGAATTCAATGTCATTCTTAAGAATGTTAATTGTAATGTTGAATAAAATTGTGTAAACCATTGATTAATTGATGGAATCCATTTAAGTGAATCTAATAGTTCAATATGTTGATGGAATTCATTAATTACTCCAGTAATCTAAGTAATAATAGTAATAATAATAATAATAATGAAATATAAACTTGTATATGAGTGTGTATACGATTATTTCAACGTTTCTTTTTTTCTCAGATTGATACCGATATAACGGATGAACAGATTTATTTTCTTGATTGAGATAATCAACTGGTTGATGTTAGACCACCATTTAAAACCTGGAAGCACTGGACGGCCGTTTCGTTCTATTGGTGGACTCCTCAGCAGTGCACATCCACGATCCCGCTGGCGGAGATTTATTTCTTGTCGGCGAGACTATAATTTATGGACGGGCCAATCAGAAGCGTTAGAGGGAATTCAAGGTCACGGCGCCAACTGCAGTACTTAATGCTAACGTATGATTGATTTACAGGTGATTTCATACAAAACTTGATGATTGAACGGCTATGACAAATAAAACGGCGAGATTATAAATTGTGGCTGAACCAATCAGGCATAAGATAACAGATCTCAGATTTTGGTGCAAAAGTTTTTCATCCACTTGGCTAAATAGAGTTTTAGCATTATAGCTGATGTCAGTTCGTGATGAAAACCCTATATATAATTCCTAAGACAAATTATGACAATTACTGCGAACTGGATAATAAAATCACCAGTAACACTCGCTGCAGGCAGGTACTACAATATATACGGATGATTGGAGAGCGTACAGACTCCTACATAGGCCTTGTTATGTGCACCGTGTCGTTATCCTCAAGAAACATTTTGTGCACTCAACAACCGGATTACTCATAAACAATAGTAATGCCATGTGGTCGATGCTGAAGGAGTTTTTGAGATTTTATCATGACTCCAGGGGCCGACTATTCTGTTGCCGTATGGATGATTTCCTCTACTGCATGCATCACGATTTTAGAACCTCTGAACCTTTTTCTAACCTTGACAAGTTTTTGAACCATGTATAAAAAGTTTATCCACTTTATTTCTTTGGTTTTGTATAATATATTTTTACTCTATAGTATCTGTTTGCTGACTGACTAATATTTCTCAAGGTTACTTAAGATTCGTTCAAAGGTCATCCATAAATTATAGTCTCGCCTTTCTGTTTACCAGGGCTTACTACCATAGAGCAATAATTCGACAGTATTTGAGATTATTTAACTACTGTACTAGATGTACAATCGGTGCGCTATACACAGACTGCATCACATTACACGAGGTATATGATTTATGACTGATTATAGAAAACCCGAATATAGACTAGATAATACTTTATTCAACATAGTTACAAAGCAGTTTTTACTCCATGAACTCTAGAGTAGAAATCAATGGTAGTCAATCAATAATAAGTCAGTATGTTGATTTTTTCATTTTGTACTCAGTAACCAATCACATTCACTCTCATTAGCCACATATCAGATACACCTCAGTTTCAGTTGAAAACTACTGAATCACTGAGCAGATACTCCATTCTAGCAGTGAGCATCTTCAAAGGATGAACTCAGGATTTATAAGTCTTGTAGTCACTGCATTACTTTCAAATATCATAGGTTGGGGATCCAGTACTTCTCGATTCCGTTTTCAAATTAATCCCAATATAGCGAAGCACCAAACATTGCTATTAGTAGTTAGGTTCATTAACACATATTACTTCTTTCCACATCTATTTAGGTTAGTCATCGGTCTTTGGTATTTGGTAATAAAACTGTCTGGAGGTGTATATTTCCTAGTTCAGATCATCTCTGATAACAGAACATTTACTACATAATTACCATACTTTATTAATTTAGTCACAGTTATAAGTATTCATTATTTTTATGATTGTTTTTAATACAACAAAATTGCTGTAAAACGGTGATTAATGACAATTTATAACTATTTAAGTATTTATTGGTAATTCCTAAGCTTTATTCACTTATTAAAATGTATCTGAACTGTTGCCAATACCATTTGGTTATTATAACAAGTAACCTATAAAATCATTGAAGTTCTGAATGACATTGATACTCAGGAACAATATTAGCTGAAGATAGGGTTATCCTACAAAGTGCTTGGAGTTTGGAAACAAGAACTTGAGTAGAACATTTCTCTGACATTATAATATCGTACTCGTAACAAGATTTGAATTTTTCAATCTCGTAGTCACATGGCATCACGGATATGCCATTAATGGAGACTATCAAATCAAAATGAAGCATCCTTCTTATACTTCATAATGATTGATCAATTGATATCCATGTCTTATTATAGGCTAGAAATGAGACAGATTGATTGATTGATAGATAGATAATTTTATCACACTATGTCTAACCTTCCAACATTTCTCTGCTTTACACCATATCATTACACAATCTAACAGATATGGAAATAAGCGTTTTATCCATTTATTCAGATTGACTAATCCATAATTAGTATCTAAAGAAGACTGGTAAGAATTTTGTTTTTGATCAGTAAAGTCCTCAACAGAACATTTCAGTGGAGCTGCATAATCACAATATGGAATGGACCAATTACTTAGGAGTTCAATTCTTTCCATTTTGGATAATAAACAAAATAATGGAAATGTCTAGAATGGAAAAAAACAAATGGTTAGGACTAAGTAGTTTTTTTGATAATTTCGAACATTTTAAGAAAACGACTTTGTGGTGAACTCGTCCCAACTTCTTTAACTGAGCCTGAGATGACAAATCTATGTCTTAGGAGGGAGAGGTGATGCAATCAGAATAATAAGTTCACGTGATTGGCCGAAACATGGTTTTCATTTCTAATGAATGTGGCATAAACCATCAGTGGCTTAATTTTCTAAGGGATATATATACGCCGATTCGGTCAGTCAGTAAACTCTCACATTTCGTTTTTTCACTCGAGTAGCTAGTAGGATTCGTTTTTCAGAACTATGATCATCAGTATCAGGCACCACATGCCACAACAGGATTAGAATCTGTTCAACGGTTCAACTAACGTCACACCAGTAAAGACTGTTGGATTTTGTAGTTTGCATTAGAAGCTCACCTTATCTAGACAATCATTCAAACCAGGAAACACTGGACAACTGAAGGTTCTAGGTTCAATCTTTGATAGTGTCGTGGTGTATACTACTGAGAAGCCTCAAACAACCTCCCGGTCTCACTCTGGTTTTAAATGGTTGTCTAACTAGGGTCAGTTCTTGATGTAAACTTTAATGTAGTACTGACTACGTATTAATGCCATTGAATTCAGACAACCAATGCGTAGTGTAGTACAAATGTAAATGAATTAGCATTGTGTGCACTGTCTTTTAGTTCGAGGTTGTTAGAGACAATCGGTATGAATCTTAATTTACATCGAACACCATTAATTCACCTACGATTTCAAAGAAGTTGTCATTCGAATTCATGTTACTAAGCAGTTACTATTTGGAACGTTGTCATTGAAATTCTCAAGAAGTTAATGACTACTAGTGGTTTCCAGTTACTAAGGACAAACTTTCACAGCAATTCCATTATTTCAATGTTTTTTCTTCTTATCTTACTTAAATCCATATTTGTAAAACAGATCAACCACTAATACAAATTATAGCAAAATCAATCAAAACTTACAAATCGTTGCTTACCTCACACATTTCATCGATTGATTTCTCAAACATACTAACATGTTCATAAAGACCATTCTTTAAGATTAACCATAAATCCCATTTACTATGAACAATTTCAATAAAACATTGTAAATTTATACAATTTATTTGAATTAATTCATTATCTTCATATTCGATAGATTGAACAGATATTACTCGATCATTATTTAGTAGTATATCATTTTCCAAATGTACATAATTATCAGTTAATATAATGAATTGATTTGAGTTACATTCTTCATCACTTTGTTTTAATGAATATAATCGATATAAATATAACCACTGTGTAACATAAACATGTACAGATTAAAAACTTTGAATATCATCAAATGGTACTTTAACAAAATAGTTATTAGATATGAATTCTGACTATTCAAAAGAAAGCCCCTAAATGCCCTGGTATGACCGAGAGTGGGGAGAGTTCGCTCTTCCTCTCCAAACGCTCTCACATGGCCACGCATATATAGCCTCTGCCAGGGAAGTCCTACTCAATGCCTTCTCTTCAAGGGGGGTGGGTTGTTTATGAAATTGAGAGGACGAAAAGTGAAACTCCAGCGCTTTAACTGGGTTGGTGGACACGGAGGATCCATCTAGGGGAGTTGGAAAACCCTGATTCCAAACCAATGGTACACATGGGCTACATTATCCTGAAGGAACAAATGGCGTATGAACCAATTATTGGTCACCGGTTACCATGGGACTGCATCTCCTTATGATGCTCCACTGGCTTGTGGATTAGACCTTCAGGTCGAAGGTTCTGGGTGTGGCCCCCTTAGCAAACCACCTGCTTCGGTTTGGTCACCCAGGCAGTATCACAGCCCTCACACAAATCAAATGAGATTTGTGTGGCGCATATATATTTTGTTGCCTCCTTGTACCAATATCTATGTGTTAAAACAAATAAATAAATAATTCAAAAGAAAAGTTATCGAATTGTCAACGGACTATGACTATAACCAATGTATATTTATCATGAAATTTTAATTGCATCAAACCGACATCATGCTCGATATATATAGAAATCTTCAGAACACTACTACGTAAAAAAGACCATTTTGCTCAAGATAAGTTTTTCAATGGTGTATTGAAAAGCTGTTACCCATAAATGAAATAAACTAAGTCAGTACGATGATATTAACCTACTAATGACTTTATTCAATATTGTATTTTTGGTACAATATATAATTCTCAGAACACAGCATTTCAACAAGTTTCTTCTACTTATTTCTTGATCGATCCTGACGATAAATACTGAGTGATCGCCAGTCAGATGTTAGCACTACAGGAATCGTCATCTAAGCTATGTTCAGTCATTCCAGTGCATACTGCCAGCCACCACAATGTCTCTGATTGTACTTTTTTGTAAGTTGTACAGAGAAAGTTCATAAACTTTTCATAAACGCACCTGAGTAGGTTATACAGTTAATAGACATAATGATGCGCTAAAACAAACAAAAAACATAATTTATTGAAATATCTAAATGGCTGGAACAGGTAGCCTAGATATTCAAGAATGCCTCCAAAGTTCGATTAGGCTTGAGCTATAAAATAGACTTCATTACACTTTGAAAATATGCTGAAGCTATTCATAACATTTTAAATGTTCATTAAATATACCATCTTCAGCAGTTCTATCCATTTTCCTGTTCATATTTAGTTAGTATTACTTATTAAAACGTATTAAAGTGTAATTTTCAATCGAGATAGTATATGAAGCAATAACTGTTGACTTTTTCTCATCCAACATGTTAGAGTATGTTATACGGATGTATTCATAGTTGATATTTGTAGAGATTTGAATGCCATGGATTTTAATCATAGAATTGTAAGAATTTTCACTGGTAAATAGTTGAACGATTGAGATGGTGAAGATTAGTATCTCAAGTAAATGATTTTGATGGAGTTTGTGCTAATAATATCGTTCACAAGAACAATGAAAACTCCACGACTAAACCATCTAGCTCAGAGAACAAAACTCCATCAATAGTTAAACAGTTGTCTAGTTCCCGTTAGTTTTTTTGAGTAGTTCTTTAACTAATTATGTTTCATAGTAAAGAAAAAAATATTTAAAAACATACGGAATCTACTTTAGAACTAATACTATCAGTCATGATATTTTAATCATTTAGACATGATGTGGTGTTTGAATGAACTAATGATACCTTGGTACTTGTTGAATGCTTGATTTCGAATTCTAAATACAGTACATTCGTTTGTGGTTATCTAGTACTTCTTGATCTGATTACGTTATTTCTGGGATTCTCAGTTCGTACTATAATTCAAATATTTCCGATTATCATATTGGCGTCGCGATGGAGCCTGTGATGGAACAGTTGGACATACATTCAGATTTTGATGCTTTTAAGGATTACTTTGCAAAGTTCGAAATCTTGTCTATGATCAAGGAAGATGCTGAGGATGTTAATATTGTAGCACATTTCCTCACATTCATCGGAAAAGAAGCATATAGCTTATTAAGAACTCTAGCTTTACCGGAAAAGCCCATTTCGCTTTCTTATACAATTCTCAAGGATCTACTGCTAGACTATGTTAAGTCTACAGATTTTGAATGCGGCAAAGGAGGAAGATTTCGTAAAATCATTCATGAGGATATAAAAAATTCCACTACATTACGTCATCCCAACCCAGTGCATACTCAAGGTTATGCAGATAATTCATTGAGGAGTTGCGATGCAGTTCACAAAGATGGGCACAAGTTTGGTCAATGTTTGTCCTGTGGCAGGTTCCACTCTTTTAATTCATGTAAATTTCGTAATTCCAACTGCTTTAAATGTGGTGATATTAGACATAGTCAGTCAGTTTGTTGTACTACTGTTCATCTTGCTGGAACGAATATTATGTCTTGTAATTCTGATTCTATTAAGTTTAGTATTTATAATGATCATTTATTTTTATCAACGATTTCAAAAGACAGTGTAGAGTCATATAGCAGTTCAGAGTAAAGTGAAACTCAGAATCTTTGCGAGACAACAGTCTCTAATCAACCAGCTTATCAGATTTCTCATGTTATTGTACCAGATATGGTTTTTCCTGATAGTTCACTTATTTCTGACGAAATTCCCTGCAACTCTGAGGAAAATATGTTGAGTGAACCTAGTCATGATCGAAAACCTGATGCAGTCGTGATAGATGCTGATTTTTCTAATGATCCTTTAATCTGCAATGACATTCTTAATAAATTCGAGGAAACTATTTCAGAAGAGTCAAAGCTTGATGTCATACCAAATATTATTTGTCTTCATAATGCATTCGTTCCTTGTGGGAAACTTGTTCAATGCGAAGCACAAGTACTAAATGACCTCGATTTTGCATACAATACAAATACTTCTGATTATCACACATGATCATTAAAATAACTTACATAATCTTGTATTAACTTTATATTACATAATGTATTCTTTGTTTGATTTAATTTCTTCATTAAGTAGTAATCATTTTCAAGTAGATACTCATTTGTTGTTTCATTTTGTTTTATTCTATTCAAAAGTTCAGAATCTAATAAACTTTGAAGTTTATTTGATAATTCACATAATTTTTCAATTAAATTGTCAATATTCAAGAATATCCATGGATAGGGAATTTCTGTTGTACAACGATTACTTCTGGATGAATACCTTCCAGAAAGATCCTTATATAATACAAAAGGATATTAGATAGAAAATCACTCAATTAGTTAGAGGTAACATAGAGTACGGTAAAAATATTAATCAGTTTAAGTTAGGAAATCTTAAAGTAGAACAAATAGGAAGAAAAAAAATTCAGCGAAGAAAATCTTCTTTTCGACAAAATCATTTACTTAAGTTGTACATTCGTATATATAGTTACATGGAAAATATATGTCTGTAGAATGAAAGAAAAGATTGCATAGGCTGCACAAATCGATCACTGTACAAACACATCTCGGAACACTATCTGGCTTGGCTCTTAAAAGGAGAATGTAAAACAATTAGTAGTTTGATACCGGAGCATTTAATTAACTGTGGACACATCGCTCCAAAGGACTACTCTTTTAAAGTGATCTATAGAGTCAAAGGAACTGGATGGAAGGGGGGTCGAATCAATATTTTATGCACTGCTGAGGCATTGGTAATCAATGAACTCAACCCTGAACTTTGCGTGCAGAAACGATTTATCCAACTTCTCATCCTTCCTTGGCTCTAATTCATTTGATGGGTATGTTTCTGGGGTTTTTTTTACTTGTTTTTCCGCACTTTTATTTGATTATTATTGAATTTTTTAAATTACTGTTTTGCATTTTAAACTTAAACTTTTCTAGATTATTATTCAGTTTATTATTATGACCTTTATGTTTCACTAGTTGAAATCATGAGTCAATTGAAGCTAGATCACTAAGGAAAATCTGGAAGCACTAGACGACCGTTTCGCCCTATCTTGGGAATCTTCAGCAGTGCTCATCCACGATCCAACTCAGGACCTATCAGTTTCGCGAGCGAGCGCTTAACCACTAAACCACTGAGACGACATCCAATGGTGTTAATGTCTAACTTCAACCAATCCACGAAGTTGCGCCATCGTACACCATTATCTTCAATGAGTTGATATCTCACAACAGACCTAATTGAACTCCATTGGTAACGGCTTCTCACTAGAACTCCACGAAATATCTCTTGAAGTCAGTCACTAGTGAATAGATGATTAATATCAGAAGAGGTTTTGTGGAGATTTTCCATGGTGGTCTAGCTTCAAGTAACTCATAATCTCAACTATTAAAATTACTACAATCTCTATAAAATCCTTTCGAAACATAATTTGAATCATAAATATTGTATTACCTGATTCATTTGATCAATATATTCATTACGAAATGATAAATGAATAGATTTAATCAATTCTGAATATGATTTCATTGATATAAATTGAATATTTAATGATTTGAATTGATTTTCAATTGTTGTTTTAATTTGATAAATCGATAATAAATATTGAAATATATTATTGATTTCCTTTAATTGATATTCTTGTTTGAATAAATTAGACTTAGGATTATTGATTAAATCACTGATTGTACAATTTTTCCAATTGATATTGATTGAGATATTCAATAGTTTTGAACAATGATTCCAATATTCTGATGAGAAAGACTTGAATTTAAAAACATTTTAAGACAGAGTTACTTTACATTTGTACAAATAAGGAAAATACTAAGAAAACCCTTCATACATTCATTACTGAAGAGTTTGTATAGTGAACTGTAAAACAGAGGTGATCTGTTTGTTGTGTTCCTGTCCTATTTCGATTACTGAGCAAGAGGACATAAGAAACTGCATCCTAGACCAATAGGTGTCAGTTATTGATCTTGGTCGTTATCTCATAATCATTGAGTTAGTGAACAAAGGAAGCACTTTGTGTCATTGGGTAACAGGAGATTAATAATCCTACGGAGGCGATCTAGATGAATTAATCAATAATCAAACTAGTTAATGTATTTGATCCTATAAGAAACAGCCCGATTACATGGGGCCTCAATACAACATAAAAATATGTTCTTGTTATCATTGTTTCAATTGCTTACTGCATTATTTCAAGTATGTTATTACATAGACAGCTACTCAAGCTTATCTTAACCTTATCAATCAATCTAGCATAGTTATAATGAAGTATCACATTTAAAAGTATCATTTCCATAGCATAATAGTCAAATAACTGCTAAGAAGAAAGCTTTCATCATGAAGTACTATTCTTTTCAGGTTTAGGATATCCCCAATAATGTCCACTGTTAGGTGTTAAGCTCATAACCTTTAGATCTGGCGGAAACCATGGTGTAAACCTCTAAACTCAGTTACTTCTCAGTATATAACAATCATCAATCAATCATATGGATGAGTAACTACTAAATAATCTTAAATAAAAACAAAATAACTAACATAATTCTTTTTTCAGAAGGGATTTTGTGGAAATTTTTTATAGTTGAATTCATGAGTCAAATGAAACTAGACCACCATAGAAAACGGCCGTCCAGTACTTCCACGTTCTCCATGATGGTCTAGCTTTAATTAACTCATGAATTCAACTATAACAATTCATACTTTAAACGATAACTATAACTTATTCAATCATTTATTTTTTAAAAAAGGTTTAACAAAGAATAAACTAACTAACCAATAATTCTGTATCCAAAATATAACTTAAGAGTTTCAATAATTTTTCCATTTCATTCAAACATTTCGTATCATACTGAACAACTACATCATCATTTCTTAAATGGTTACGTAATGAAACGAGTTCTTGATATTTCTCATTGAACATATTTAAAGGTATCTATTTTATTTTAGAGAAAAAACGCATTAATTACGGTACATGTGTATGCATACTAAACATTTAATGTTGTAGAAAATTTATAAGAATGATAGACAACTTTTAAAATAAACAACATGATTATGAACAGTAAAATTAGTCAGTCAGTCAGAAACAACGTAGAACATCGTACGTACGTACATCAGTTGAAGTTGCCATACAAAATTAGCACAGAGGTGCAATTGTCGATTCAAATCCCATAGTGATATAGGTAGTAAAAGTATAAGTAGTAATCGGAAAGATTAGGGTTTGACGATGTTATTCAACGGGTATAATCCAGTGAAATAAATTTGGAAGGAAAAAAAGAAAGGGACATGAAGAATTCAGAAGATTAGGATTTAGGAAAAGACAAAGAGTGGATTCACATGCTCTATTGCAAACGATTTTCAGCCATGTCATTCAAGGTCTCTAACCATCGGTAGATATCGTCTCGCGGTCCCCAACCAGGTAGTCTACTGTGGCAAGCCCATTTGACTACTGTATCATTTATCTAGTCATTGTAACTCAGACTCAATTCACTATGTTAATCTCGGTGTGTATGATCGAATGTATGTCTGTCTGTACATTAACTCTTAAGCTATCTTCCTATTGGTTTCAATGTTCAGATAATCGATAATCTATCCACACCCGATTAACTCTCATTTATATATGGATTTTTAACAGACTCACATACTCATACTCTGTTGCATCGTGTGCTTGCTCACCGTACGCTTGTGGATTATTATTATTCATTAACAATAAACTATCTCTATAACTGGTGTTCAGGCTTTTCAATAATCTCGAGTAAATTCGCAATTCTACTAGGAGATTAAGCCTACCTAAAACACTCAGTTACAGGATATTATTATTTGGAGTCAGATATTGAGGACATCATCCATACTACACCTACCAACATGACGCAGTCCATTTGTCAGTGACTTCATGAATTTGTGACATGTTTTGGTCTGGTCGCCTCTAGCTTTCTTCCAACCTACTCCTACACCATCTGTATTCAAACCGATATTTACCTAATCATCATAGAATCTTTCAATAATGAACAAGATCAAATCAAATATCAATGACTTACTTCTCCTAATCTTGATTTATATAACTCTTGTTTAAATGTATCAATTTTCAAATTTAGTTGCCATGCCTCATATCTACAATTGACTTTTTTCATTTCATTATCAATATGTAATAAAATATTATTTTTTTCATTAAAATATTTACATGATTGTTTTATATGTTTAAAATTAACTTGACAATTATCTGTAATATAAAGTGTATTATCCAATGTAATCGTTGTATTCATCAATGATCTATTTGATGAATAGGATAGATTCATTTTATCAATTTTAGCTTTTTCAAATTGTTTCTCATTATATTCACAATTTTGAACAGTTTTATGTTGATCTATAAGTTGATGAATAGAACTTTCTAATTTTATGACATAACAATATGGCTGTAAAATAAAAAAAGTTACATAATATAATTATAATTTGAAAGTATGACACAACAAACTCGCTGGAAATTATCACAGACCATAATGACCAATGAACAGCAAGGAAGTCAAAGTTATCACCAACATTGAAGAACAGTGAAACAGGTGGGTAGAAAACTTTAAAGGACTCTTGAATCGACCAGCTCCACTGAACCTACCTAACATCGAAGTAGCACCCACGGACCTCCTAATCGATGTTGGCTCAATGTTGCTAACATAAACATAATTGCATGTGAAAGTAGATCGACAACAGTTAACCTTTACAAAGGTAACTGCATCGCCGATACACCTTTTTTCATTCCTTGATAGATCCTGACGATGATGTTGGAATCGTGTAGCAATACTAAGTGATCATCCTTCAGATCACTTAACTAATTTTCTTGAAGTGTGATTGTCCCATAATTACGACACATGTTTTGATTTAATACGAATTGGATATAGTTCATCTTGCTAATTAGTGATCGGCAATTAGAATTAAGCAGTTCATGACTCAACATATGGTTAATATTAATTCTCTTCGATGCAATTCGCCAGCCACCACAATGACTCTGACTGTACGTTTTTGTAAGTTGTACAGCGATAGTTCATAAACGCGTCTGAATAGGTCATACGGTTAATAGACATAATGATGTATAAAAACAAACAAAAAACAGATAACTTGTTGAAATATCTTGATGTCAAGGAAAAACAGCCCAGGTATTCAAGCAGACATTGAATTGTTATTTTCTGCTAATATCGGATTACCTAACAATACCTATACACAATCTCAATACAGATGAAACTCAGGAACTTCAGGCTTCGCTGCAAGCGCTTACTCCTTACACCAGTGAGCCGAAACCCAATGGTTTACATGTTTAGTCTGATATTTCGCAACTGTTTTGCATTACCTCTGGTTTATAACTACCTTACACCTATGGTGACATATATTCAGTGATTTTTGTAACAACAAAAATAAAAACCACATTTTTTCTCTAATTTGTCACACTTTATTTGTAACCACATTTTTATCCAATATCTGTTGTTTCGCTGTATCACTTGTTAAAAAGACGATGATAAGTGTTTCGATGAATGGTATACACTTCTACTACCGGGTTGTTTAAATATAGAACAATACCTACGCCGTTTGTTCTTCTGTTTTATTGGCTACCGTTTTGATTGAAGACTATAATAGTATTATAACATCATTATAGGCCTTCCGACTCAACGTTGGATTTTTGGCACGGATTACTATTGTATAATACTATTGGACTCCGTCTTCCTCATTACGTCTTTGGTGCAGTCACTTGCAGAGGAACACCTGTCAACCAAGTGAACTCAGTTTGTGGTCGTTGTCCTCACGAGGCAGTTAACAAGTAACATTCATCCAATAGCTGTCTAGCAAAGATCATCTAGTGATATAAACTATAAAATGTCAATCAGAATAAAATCCAAATCAACAGGGCTTCATTCTGATTGTCTCTAACCCTCTACTATCTGTTATATTTGGGTGACATTTATGTGGACTAGAGATACATATTCTAAGCAATGAAAATTTAAATTTCCATAACATTAAACAATTATACCTTTCATTTAAACTCACTTCCTTCATGTCATTCAGTATCATTTGTGCATCATTATTAACATCAGAATATTTGCCAGTTGTAAGTAAATGAACTAAACGTTCAACTTCTTTTATAGTTTCCTAACGTGAAATTATTGTTATTGAAAACAAACGTGAAACATTGGCTTTCAATCAAATTAGTATATATTTTTGTATATGAATTTATGTAACAATGTTGAAAAGTACATTATTTCTCATAAATTCGACTAAAATCTTTAAGTGCCACAAAAGGCGCATTTGGAGGTATCTGAAAAGGAAATTGGATTAGAAGTGGTCTTAATGACCTGAGAGCGTGACCGCAGTGCCCAACGGACAACTGCTTGAGGTCGGTCACATACGACCTTTTCGTGAGTAATTTTCGTGTTAGCCCCATAATTGTTGAGACCTTACCGCCGGAGACGGATATCCGTGGGATGAGGCGAGGTGTGCATTTTCAGGGCCGACCTTTTCTTACCCCACCCTTCCTTGTGGGAAGGCAGCATCACTGTCATGCTGGTTGTGTGAAGGAAACACCTTGCTGCTGTCACACGTCTGTACAGTCAGCAGTACGACTTCGCCTTCGGACCTTGGGTTTGTTGTTTCTAGTCTTACCGCTCTTCAACCGACCTGTCTGGCATGGTAGGACCTTGAGGAACAATTGTTTTAGCCAGTATAGCTCGGTTGCTTCATCATGATAAGCAAGCCCGACCACCACGTCAAGGTAGCAACAACGGTCAGGAAAAGACACATCGTAAATGGTTGATTCTCAGGGACACCACACAAAAATTTATAAATAAATAAACATTGGAATGACATTTACTGCTTAAATATTTGATTTAATGGAGGAGCATAGAATGACTGTGTTTATCTACAAAATATTCAGTACAGTAATTGAAGTTCTATTTAATATTCTTACTTTCGCATAATTGATATACAGGACTGTAATTAATCACTTCATGTATATTTGAATCTTAAGCAGATACCTCAATACTGCCAATAGAAACAAATTCTTGGTATCCACATATTCCGGCAGAGACTAATCAAATTTAGTTTTTTTTTATATTGACGGAATGAAAATACATACCTTCACAATTGAATTTAAACTTGCCGAATAAGTTAAAGACTAAATGAACTCTTCACCTTGGTGGAAAACGTTTTGTGTTTGAAGAGAAAAGTATCGGGTGTGAGACGTTGATAAGTTCACCTGACAAGTCTTCACTAGGACAAAACCCCATATCCAAGAATATAATGATTAAATCTCACTTAAAATATAAATAACTGCATGAGATTAATTTTGTAGGTTACTTACTACCATTTGACATATTTTTGAATAAAACATCCTGTACTACTTACAAACAATAAACAACTCTTATCGTTTAACTACTAGTATACTTTAAAAACAAGTAAAAGTCTTCCAAAGACAATTAGACTGGATCTTCTTTGGATTGCCGAAGCATTAGCCATACATTTGTAAAAACCAGAATTGTGTGTGCAAAAGAAACTGGTACAACCTCTTCTTCTGCCATGTCTTATAATTTTTTTTCTCTTTTTCATACTCTTTTTTCCTTTACAGCCATCTGCTTCACCTTCCATCTTCCCCTTAAAATCCTCTACCCCCAACTGGTTTATTTTTGTTTCCACGATCATTCTGATTACATTTAATCTTAATTTCAACATTCTATCTTATCATAATGAGCCATCCTTTCCCAATGATAACTTCCTTATCTATCCTTTGATGAATACTTAAGCCATTATAACAATCAAACAATTATTAAACTTTTCTTGCTTCATAAAAAAACTTCTAATATCTTTGTTTATTTAACCTCATTGTCACCATGTCTAACAGAAGTTTATTATCAGAATTATTATCATCCTGTAAAAATAAGTATAATGCATATTTGTGATTGTACAACTTTGAAAATGAATTCACCGAAAAGAGAACTCCTCACTGAACTAATCTTCCTTATATAACCTATATCAGCATACCAAAGTATTTATTCTATAATTATCAAAATCGGTAGATAGACAATAATCGCTTGTATATATAACACTGATACTAGTACATTCAAAATTGTCAATATTACCTCAACTTAGATCCAGTTGGTGTTGTTTTACTTGTAACTTCCCATTGTTATTTAGGATTTCAATTGATCAGTTTCATGTTAGCATATTTGCATCCTGTGCGGATTGCCTCGATATAGCCTTAAGTCACAAGCTTTTTAAGTAAAGTTGGATAGTGGATAGGACTCAGTAGCTAAGTGGATAACCCGATGGCGTTTGAAGCGAACTATACTGGGTTCAATTCCCAGAGTGAATATCAACTTTGGGATCCAGGTACATCCAAATAACGAGTCCCAAATAAAACGAAACGCGCGTCATGGATTCCATTGCTAGCCATCATCCATCTTTGCTCAAAAAGCTTGTGACTTCAGACAATATCGATGCAATCCGCACAGGATGCATATATGTCAACATGAGACTGATCAATTGCAGTCCTAAACAACAATGAGAAGATACAAGTAAAACAACACCAAGTGAATTTATTCAACATCTATTTTTAATTGATTACCGTTAGTCTCAATGACATATGAGTTAGATTAAAATAAGAAACTATCAAATTAAGAATTTGAGCAGTTTATTCAATACAAGATTAGTTTTCACTATAAAATGACATCAATTGAATGTAAAGGGGAGTCCAGCTGACGAATCCCAAATAGGATGAAACGCGCGTCAAACTGGATTCCACTGCTAGCCACTATCTATCTTTACTTACCTCAACTTTTTTATTATAAACTTGATAGAATTCTTCTTGATGTCTTCGAAATTTTTTTCTAGCCCATTCAATTTGATTTGTAAACTTTTTCCATTTAATTATAAACTGTTCATATTGTGACCATTTAACAAGTTGAATGAATTTTAATTCTTCACAATGGTTTAAACATTTTTGAAAATGTTGTATAAACTGAAGAATAAAATGAAAAAAAGCATTTTGTTTTTTTCAAGATACTCATTGCTTCATCAATTGTGCTACGTATTTTTAATATCAGATGGCTTTTGTGGATATTATATTAATTTCAATGGTTAAGATCATGAGTCAATTGAAGCTAGACCACCATGGAAAACCTGGAAGCACTGGACGGTCGTTTCGCCCTAGTATGGGACTCCTCAGCAGTGTGCACCCAAGACCTCGCCCCCTGCGAGATTCGAACCCAGGACCTAATGGTTTCGCGAGCGACCACTTACCCACTAAACCATTGCGCCGGCATCCAGTGGTGTTAATGTCTAACTTCAACTAGTCCACGAAATTGAGCGACACATCCACCATTACGGATCTTATAGTTGAATAAATGAGTTACTTGAAGCTAGATCACCATGGAAAATCTGGAAGCACTAGATGATCGTTTTGTCCTAGCATGTGACTCTTCAGCAGTGCGTATCCACCATCCCGCACCCAAGACCTTTGGTCTCTTAATCTCTAGACCACTGGGCCAGCATCCAATGGTGTTAAGGTCTAACTTCGACCAACCCATAATATTGCACGATCGCCCACTATTATCTTCAGTGAGTAACTGTTTTACATCAGACACTATTTGATTCCATTGGTCACATCTACTTACTAGAACTCCAGGAAACACATCTTGAACTTAAGATGAAAATTTCATTTGCTTTTCAAAATCATGACAGATATTTACAATTAAGTACACTCATTTGTTTACAAATATTACAGGTATTTAATTGTTAGTTAATAAACATCATACATGATATAAATTAGTCTGTATACAAAAATGAATTTTACACTGAACTGGCAAGACTATAATTTATGGACGAACTTATCAGATTTAGAATGATGGGTCATGGATTTTGGCGCGAAATTCATTCACTCATTCGGCTAAATAGCGTTTAAGCATTTTAGCTAATACCTGTTCGTGATGAAAACCCTAAATCTAATTCCTAACCTTAACCATCAACTGTAAATCGTAATCCTTATTCTTCACACTACTTTATAACCTTCATTCACCTTAAATTAGTAGGTGGAGATTCTCAAGATCACTTTAGCATCACTCAAAAGTCCTTCATATATTATAATCTCACCCTAAGTTATACATTTATGTTTACTTTTAAAAACAAAATTAGAACATACTTCAACTTGACGACATAGATTATCATGGTCTTTAAATAATTTCACATGACAATTATGTACACGATTTAAATAGGTAACAACTTGTATGAATCCATTAAAATCAGATTGAATATTTGTATGTATCTATAATAAAGTATAAAAACATATTAAACATTGTCAAAACATTGAATGTGAGCTTGTTTGTTTATTTTTTAACTGAATGATATGAGTCAATTGAAGCTACACCACCATGGAAAACATGGAAGCACTGGACGACCGTTTCGTCCCATTGTGGGACTCCTCACCAGTGCGCATCCACGACCCCGCCTCGGGGGATTCGAACCCAGGACCTATCAGTTGGTTAAGCGCCAGGCGCTGTTGAACTTACTGCAATCTCCACAAAACCCCTTCTGAATGATATGAATTTATGCAAACTGTACTGTTAATAGCTTTTTTGACTTAACTATAAGATGCCTAATATGTTTGTTCGTTTGTTTTTAAATCCGATACTCTTCAAACTTAGTCATATAGCTAAATGGTAATGTTTCTGATTGTAACATTGATTGATTTAGGTTAGATTAACACGAGAGGAATTAGTTCTCTGTAGATTAAAGATACTGTTTGCTGTAAACTATCAACAAGCATAAAACGTGAGTCCAGTTTCTCTTGATAATCTCTTCAAAACAATTTGATATATTAATGTATACATGGATTTCAGTTCTTCATTTAATAAAGTATAAAATCTTTCATCTTTTAAAATAGATCTCAAATCTTATTTCCTTAATATTATTCCTTCTTTGTACTTTGATCCTATCATCTTAATTGATTCTATTTTTTTGCGTTCCCGAAGTGTTGTTCGGTAACAAGCCAGCTATGATCTTGTTTTCTTACTCCTAACAAAAAATTTGAGGATACGACTACAAAAATTGAAAAAAAATAGTGGTTTCATTAAGTGGTATAGAAATATATTTCTGATTGTAACCGCATCCGAATTTGAATCTAAACTGGTGATTGCATGAGGGATTGTGGATGAACACCAGGATGAAACGGACGTCCAGTACTTTCAGGTTTTCAATAGTGGTCTAGTTTAGATTGACTCATGAATTCAATTATTAAAAACAGGTAACCATCACTAAACAAATTATTGCTCTTTATATCCATCTTATTTTATTTTATTTGAACACATAGATATCGGCACAAGGGGGGCACCATATACATTTGCACCACAAAAATCTCATTTGATTTGTGTGAAGACAGTGATACTGCCCGGGTGCCTAAACCGAAGCAGGTAGTTTTCTTAGGGGGCCACACCTGGATCCTTCGACCCGGAGGTCGAAGCATCGTAAGGAGATGCAGTCCCATGGTAGCCGGTGACCAACGACTGGTTCATACACCATTTGTATTCTCAGGATACTGGAGCTCATGCGCACCATTGGTTTAGAATCAGGGTTTCTCAACTCCCCTAAGTGGATCCTTCGTGTCCACCAACCCAGTTAAAGCGCCAGAGTTTCGCCTTTTCATCCTCTCAAGCTCGTAAACAACACCCTCACCACTAAAAGGCAGTGAGTAGAACTTCCCTAGCAGAGGCTATATACGCGTCGCCATTTGAGAGCATTTCGAGAGGAAGAGCGGACTCTCTGAACTCTTGGCTGTACCAGGGTATCCGGGAGGGGCATATCCAACAACAATAATAATAGGTTATATAATCATTAAAACCAATCATTTAACCGGATGATAAGTTACATGAATGCAAAGAGGTGAAAGTATGAAAAATTATTCAACAATGGAGTAGGTGAGTACGAATTTGTAACCAAGACCTCATATATCATTTATCAAACAACATTACATAACTTACTTGAATAAAATCATCCAATTGTTTATTGATTGATATTAATGAATTTTGAACTATTGTTATAAATATTGTAAATAATTTACTTAATTTCTCTGTAATTTCATTATATAATAAATTAAATAATGGATTATAGTCAATTAAAATGAAGCATTGTAAATTATTATTATTATCATTATTGTCATTTAAAAGACTTTCATATTTAACGTGATTTATTAAACGATTGACCAATTGAAATGATGTTTGGAATAAGCGCTAAAAATAAGGTGAATAAAATTTAATAAAAGATCGTTAAAATATGTTGTATGCTGGTTAAACTGGTTCTTATTACGTAAGATTGTTTTTACTAGAGAATTGATAAGGGAAAGATTTGTAGTTCATGTAAATCTTTATCGTGGCATTGTATCCTCTTAGTTAAATTGTTTAGATGAAGAGCTTTCATCATCATTCTGAACAAAATCTTCAGCGTCTGTTTCTAGCTCAGATGACACAACAGTACCAAACATCCTTATTGCCGGTTAAAATAATAGGTATTTACTTGCTTACTTATGCCTGTTACTCCTCGTGGAGGTGCATAGGCCACTTACCAGCACTCTTCACTCAACCCTGTCCTGGGCAATCCTCTCTAGCTCCTTCCAGTTGTTATTCATCCTTTTCATATCTGCTTCTATTTCCCGACGTAATGTATTCTTTGGCCTTCCTCTTTTTCGCTTCCTTTCAGGATTCCAAGTTAAAACTTGCCTCGTGATACAGTTTGGTGATTCCCGAAATGTATGTTCTATCCATTTCCATCGTCTTTTCCTAATTTCCTCTTCATCTGGAAGTTGGTTTGTTCTCTCCCGCAGTATGCTGTTGCTGATGGAGCCCGGCCAATGGATGTTGAGTATCTTGCGAAGACAACTATTTATAATACTTGTACCTTCTTAGTGATGGTTGTGGCAGTTACAGTAGAACTGTCTTGACGTTCGTATTGAAGATTCTGACTTTGATATTGCTTGGAAGTTGTTCTGAGTTGTATATGTTCTTCAATTGTGGGAATTCGGCCCTTGCTTTGCCAATCCTCACCTTTACGTCTGCATCTGAACCTTCTTGTACATCGATGATGCTTCCCAGGTATGTGAAGGATTCTACATCTTCCAGAGTTTCGCCATCAAGTGTGATTGGCTTGGTGTTCTCCGTGTTGTAAAATAATAGATAGAAGCCCAATAATACTTAGAGTTCAGTCAAAATGTTTTTTTTCATGTGTGTTGTAATTTGTACACATTTTAAAACATGAAAAACAGAACATCTAATAATCAGCTGAAATTGTCTCGATTAAATTGTTATTAGAGTAATCAGTATTGGATTAGGTGTATGAGTATGATTATGAAAATTAATGTTCAGTCAATTCACAAGCGAAATTCATAAGGATTTATTTTAAATAAAGGTGCTTTCTTTGAAGCAATAACCATGTATTCACTAGTGATCAAATTTAAACTGAATTCTAAGAGTTCCAAATAAAATTCAAGAGATTCAATAAAGTCCAATGTTATTGAACACGAGACAGTTGTCACTAGTGATCGGGGAATATTCACTACTAGTAGGAAACCCAAGTTCAAAACTTTCTTCCAACTACCTTCAAGCAGATAACGTCAAGACATAGAGGACGTTAAATCAAGTCACTTAAACTGATGATTACATCTCAATCGGACCGGTAGGATGCAATCAACACTAACGCTTAACAAAATTGATGTCTATTATTCAGTAGTGATCAATCGATTCAATTTTATTTATCTAACAGATAATAAAACTCGGTCCAAACAGCTCAAGTGTGCTATCTCAGACTGTAGGAGTGGAGTATATTAGTCCGAATCCTGTAAAGCATAAGTTGCTTCAAGATCGCGAGTGCAAATAGCTTATTAGTATCAACTAGCACGAAACATAAGTCTTACGTTTTCTGCCAACTACCTTCAACCAGTTAACATATCTTTGGATTAATGAAGTTCAAAACGTAAGTCAACAGATGGTACTAAATCTAAGATCTTAAGATTTTAAAGATATAATAATGTCACTAAATCATAGGATGAAAATTCAATAGTTTAAATTGCCCAGTAAAATTGAGTTTACAGTAGAGTCTGATTTTTATTTAATATTTTCTGTCGGTAACTTCTATACTTTTGAATTAATGCAATACAATAGATCTTGGATTTTTCCAATAGTTGAGATCATGAGTCAATTGAAGCCAGACCACCATGGAAAACCTGGGAGCACTGGACGGCTGTTTCACCCTATTGTGGGACTCCTCAGCAGTGCGCATTCACGACTTCGCCTCGCGGGATTCGAACCGAGGACCTAACAACAAAACTCTGCTAAATAAATCCGAACTTTAATAGACATACAATTATTATTAATTTTCGCGGAAAGCATTTGAGCTATTATTCTACAACTGATATCGGTTTGTGGTGAAAATCATCGTCAAACGTATACAACAAATTTTTTAAACAACTGTTAGAATTGAAATGTGTCTTAACATACTACTTGAATGACTCACTTGATGTTTATGAAATTCTGTATGTAAATCTTCATTTCTTAATAGTATACTTAACTCATTTATTGTTTCATCCATATTGATAATCCATTGTAAAGATAGAATTATATCATTCGTCTTTTCATGTATTCTGTCACTCCATGAAGTCATTAAACAGTCATAAAGTTTCATCGCTTCACATCTATAAATCGAATAGTTTATAGTTTAAATTAAAATGTATTGGATTATCTCGTTGTTGATATTTCGACTGAATTTTTATTTGTCTTGGTTGGCGCGTGTCCATCCGCTGCGGATTGTCTCAATATAGCTAATTATGACACAATTTAGTACACAATAGACGGAATGTAACCAGCAATAGAATCCATGACGAGCGTTTCGTCGTATCTTGGGCTCGTCATTTGTACGTACCTGCATTCTAGAGTTCATATCTATCCCGAAACTTAAACCCAGTGCCGTTCGCTTCAATTGCCACCACGTTATTTAATTAGCTGCTGAGTCTAGACAGCCAGTAGTTCATTCCATCTATTCTGGAACAATATTTAGTAGTGATCGTAATAATTATTTGATCTAGGTAGGAGCCATTAAGAATTAGTGTAACTTGAACAGAATTATTGAAAAACAAAGAGCTACTGTAAATTTATTTCATCTTTAATGGTATCCAACCAATAGGTTCATGCGAAATAGAACCTAGATACTTTGAGTAAAACAGCAGACAAGTGGCCAGTAGATGACTGAGCAAAAACTCAATGGGTTATATCTTCAACTTATCAAACCTTTTGATAGATCACATAGTTTATTTTCTACCAGGAAATTTGAAATACTCGGATGACATTTTCCTATACAGTTAAGATACTGACAAAATGAGGAGTCTACTAATCGCTTTAAGTAGCAATACAAGTATGCTTTGGATGCGTTTCTTTTATTCTACATGCAAAATGTTGCCTAAGGATCAGTCCATGACAACAGTGAAATTAATTTTAGGGAGTGAAGTAGTTGAAGGTATCGACTACGTGACTTATTTCTCAATTTTTATCCTACATGGTGGGTTGGTGTCTGACTAAATCTCTTAACAAATTTAGAGTTCTTAAAGGTAAGGAGTTCAGACAAGTTTGCAGAACGAAACGTTGGAATTATTTAAATGTCAATCACTAAGATTAATTCAAATATAATTTTTACATTTAATGAGATTATTCATAAAACAAGACAACCGAATTCAATGACCACAATACTATTCCATGCACTCAACTTCTACTCAAACTTTTTGTACAAAGTTTAATTATGTCAACTAGTTGTTTAAACTTAACTTGGTTAGCACAGGATTTGAACTTTTCATTGGTGAAAAATCAAGAGGATTATGCAACAAACTACTCTTCATATATATTAAAATGAAATGAGATAAACATAATTTGGAATAGCTTGACTCACTGTTGCTCAATAAGAGAATGTAATCCCATCTGAGATGCATTTTCAATGGTAGGGAAGTAATTATGACCACTAATATTAAGATGGGATTGATCCAGATCCATACCAGATAATATCGACTGATTATAGTGAAACTGATGTTCAGGTATAAGGCCTAAAATTAAGATTGTTTGAAATTAAAAAGTAAACTTTCAGGCAATTTTATTCATTTGTTAATGGCATTCCCGAGGATTGGTCTCATCTGTGGCATCACCAAAAAGTAGGAAGCACTGGACAACTGGTTCAAACTAGTACGAGATTAATATCAGAAGGGTCTTTTTGGATATTATAGTAATTTTAATAATTGAGATCATGAGTCAATTGAAGCTAGACCACCATGGAAAACCTGGAAGCCCTGGATTCCTTATCCCTCCATATCCACGAGTCCGTCAGAGATCTAACCCAAAAACTTTAGTCTCACAACGAACATCTAACCATTCGACTTCTTGGTTGGAATCTCGTCGTCGCTTCATATAGCTCATCGGCTGGATTTATGTATCAATGGGACCCTACTCACTTTTCTACTGATTATACTCTCTCCTGGTCATAAAAAATGCACGACTTAATAATCGAATTCATTTGCATCAGTACTATCAAATGTAGACCATATCAATTAAATACAATGATCACAGATTGTGATTATCTCTCAGATGTAAATCATGAGATAGTTAACTGAACTCAGTACAATATTTAATAAATTCATGGATCCAAATTTTATTGTTGTTTGACAGGTGTTATTCTCTTTCCAACTTCTCTCCTTGATAACATACCAACTTACGATAAATAGTGTTTGGGTATCCATGATACATGCCAAAAACATTTTTTTGATGAAGATTCACAGACTCATTATAAGTCCTGGAAAATATACAACTATATCTCCATTTAATTCTTTGTTACTTACATCTTATTTTTCTGTTCCATTTTAACATCCATTTAAGTTGCCTCATATATTTTTTGACATATTTGTTAGTATCAACTTGAAACAATGCATTAATTTTTAGGTTTTTCAACGATTGTTATCTTGTCTAATCTTCGGTGTTGATCAAACTATATTGATCAGATTTTCAGCGCAGCCACCTAAACTAGGTAACTCTACCTAGAGATGTATTTTATTTTTATGTTACTTGATTGGAGACAAATAGAAAGTGGCTGTGGATCTACATTTTTTAATAGTAGTCACTTCTCAGCACGACATGCTAGTAATCTGACTATGACATATTAAGATGTAATTTCTATTAGCGGAAAGGGTAACAATTTCGTTCGACTGAAATGAAGCGTAAGTTTAGAAGCTTTCTTTTGACTGTCCTCAATCAGTGAACAAAAGTGAGTTGTACGAATTACCTTGCTCACAAACACTCCATACAAAACTAATTAAATATATCGTTACAATGAATTTATTTATGTAGTCCACCTTAGAAAGGCACAGTAAACTGATAATTTCATTACATTAGATAGTATTAAAACTGCGGACAAATCAGTTTTCGTACAAATGATACTATTGAAGGAAAGAAAAATAAAGCAAAACTTTTAACCAAAACATTCATGTAAAATGGATATTCATTAAAATTTATAAAGTAACATTAAATCCATAATATTTTTTTAGTCTAATATGCTTATAACATTAAAAAAACCACCATCCAGAAGTGGCTCATATAATCTTGTATGAAGACGAAATGAGCAAAGCCTAACTCATCGTTGACCAAAAGCCAAGATCTATGCTTCACCTAAAACCCGAATACCAAGTAAACAAGTGTAACACATTCCATTTTGTTGAAGAGTTTTTATGTATGATTGGGTATATATACCTTAGGAGGGGCAGTCGTGGTCTCAGTCAGTCAGTAACAACGTAGAAATTCGTACATACGTTCATCAGTTCAAGTTGCCATACCGAATTAGCACACAGATACAATTGTCCATTCAAATCCCATACTGGTAAAGGTAGTAAAAGTATAAGCAGTAAACGGAAAGATTAGGGTTTGCAAATGTTATTCAACGAGTATAATCCAGTGAAATAAATTTGGAAGGAAAAAAAGAAAGGAACATGAAGAATTCAGAAGATCGGTATTTAGGAGAACACAAAGAGTGGATGCACGTGCTCCATTGCAAACGATTTACAGCCATGTCGTTCAGGGTCTCTAACCATAGATTGATATCATCTCGCGGTCCCCAACCAGGTAGTCTACACCTACCAACATGACTCAGTTCACTTGTCAGTGACTTCATGAATTTGTGACATGTTTTGGTCTGGTCGCCACTAGCTTTCTTCCAACCTACTCCTACAACATAAAACATCTCACGTCGGAGCAGTAGGTGGTTGGACCTACGTAACAGGTGTCTAAGCCATCTCAACTGATGGAGTTTCACTACTTCATCAATTGATTTGCCATCCTTACCCAGTACCCGTTTCCTAACAACTGCATTACTTACTCGGTGGTCCCAGAATATACGAGCAATGTTTCAAAGACACATGTGATCAAATACTAGTAACCTACGAATATCCTCTACTCTTACCGACCATGTTTCACTTTTATAATGTCGTGGTCTATTTCTAGGGGTGAGTGGACAAAGTAAATGTAATTCAACGGTCTAATTAGAACATATGAAAGATAAACATGCTCCATCATTTATCTGAGTATTCGTCAAAATTTGGACGAATAACTGAACAGAAACTGGGTCATATATATATATATATATATATATATATATATATATATATATATATATATATATATATATATATATATATATAAACACTTCATTCATTAACCTTTCACAAATTCTGTATAACTTGGTAGATAACAATTAACCATATCACGAATAGACACATTGGTTACTTCTAAACCATTTGGATTCATTCTATTCCATGAAATCATAGTTGTATGTTTTAAATAATTTCTATTCATTAAATTAGAATTTTTATAAAACATTTGAATGATAGAATGAATATCAACTTGATTATCAATGATTTCACAAATATTATCAATTTCTTTCTCTTCATTGAAATAGATTTGAGTAAGTTGATTTTCTAATATGATTTTGTTTAAATGTAATGATTCTTTGAATTGTTCAAATGTTAAATTGAAAATAGTTACCATAGTGACAGATGGTGGACAAAGAAGTAATTGACTTGGTTCTTTAATAACATGATGATTTGAGTATGAATATAAAGTTGGGTTGTTGTTTTTTCAAAAGGAAATAGACAAAATAAGATTAATTAACATAGTTTAACATAATAATAAGAGTTTGTGTTATCTTATTACTGATATTGAGGTATGAAATTTATTTAGTTTTTTGTCAGTAAACATGCATCCTGAAAGGATTAACTCTATATTAACCTCTTTAGTTATATATTTATATTAAGGCTACCTCTACAAATAACGTGTTGATGCTTGGAAGGACAGCTATTGAGTTTCGATATGGAAATCAATAGGTGGGATGCGTTTCGTCTTATTTGGAACTCATCATCATGTCTCATTAGTGTTAATGTTCATTTTGTAACTCAAACCCAATAATTAGTGCTTTAAATATCAACACTTTAATTGACAAGGCAGATAATACGAATCTACCAAAACTTGTAACTAAAGATGGTCCTCAGGGGATGCATGTATGTTAACATAGATTAATCCAAATTGGGTCCTTAGTTTTGAAAACAAAAAATTGCAAACCGTTACTAGTTAATTTGTAAACATTTTGTATTAGATATCTTGAATGAATAATCCTGTACTCGTTACGATACTTAAAGGTTCTTCACACGGTTATGTTGTGTACTTTTAATTACATTAAAGATCGGCCACTTTCAAACCTATATTCTGTAACTAAGAAAACAGTTTTTGGGACGTCTGCGAGTAGTACTCTAGTTCAGTTCTTGACAGCATAACTTAAATTATTTGTATGATATGGTTTGTTTCAAGTTAAAAATCTAACAAACTTATGACCAGTGAAGTTAAATCATGTTAAAATTGCGTAGGCGATGAGAGACAGCGGATAGAAAACCTTCGACATGCATGACATATTAGTTTGCAGTTTTCAGCAGGCTGTCCCCGCAATCTTGATACGATTAGTGCTACCCGATGGGATTTAAAACTGCTCTATCAAGCTTACCATGCTAAGACGTTAGTTACCATTGTCTTATTTGGGCCTTTACTGATCTGCTGACTGATCCCAACCACATAATATCAAAACATAGTGTACACAATGTCAAGTAACTTAGACTAATTGTTACACCATAACTTGATCAATCAGCACTAAGTAACTTGATAAATGTGACATTGATTACTACACAATAATTCGCTAATGTAAATGTTGAGGTTGATATAGTTACTATCCGATTACAATAAACTGATTATCTATCTGTATCAAGAATTAACTAAAAGTGAAAATATAGACCATTGTATTCTAACCTAACGGTATATTTAAAAGTATAATGTACCTTGTTAAACCTAGTGGTATTGAGTTTTATCCCGAGTACGGTTGTATATCTGTTCTCATTTCTAAGAACCTTCAAACTTTTTACATATTCTACCATTTTTCTAGTGGCCTTTCAGCTAAAACATACCAGTTGATGACAAAAAAAATCTATCTTTAGAAATAAAACAAACCTAGACCATTGGAATTAAAGTAAAATTCATTCCCTATTAATGGATAGTTAATGTCAGAAGGGGTTTTGTGGAGATTTTAGTAGTTTCGATAGTTGAAATCATGAGTCGATTGAAGCTAGATCATCATGGAAAACGTGGGAGCACTAGACAGCCGTTTCGTCCTATCTTGGGACTCCTCAGCAGTGTGCATCTACGATCCCACTCACCGCCAGATTCGAATTCAAGACCTATCAGTCTCGCGCGCGAGCGCTTAACCATTAGACCACTGAGACGGCATCCAACGGTGTTAATGTCTAACTTCAATCAATCCACAAAATTGCGCCATCGTACACCATTGTCTTCAGTGAGTTGATATCTCACAACAGACCTGGTTGAACTCCAATGGTAATGGCTTCTCACTAGAACTCCAGGAAATGTCTCTTGAAGTCAGTCACTAGTGAGTAGATGATTATTATCAGAAGGGTTTTTTTTGGAGATTATAATAATTTCAATAGTTGAAATCATAAGTCAATAGTTAAGGTTCATATATTGGATACTTTTAACTTACCCTCAGATTGTTTTAATAAAACAGGATAAATAACTAAACGAGAATTGTTCACAATTATATCTTCTTTAATATTCTCTCTTTGTTTATCTTTCTGTTCTATACTGCTCAACTTTAATTCATTATAAATGTAGTTTTGTATACTTGATTGAAATTTATATAAAAGAGAACTTGCCAGTCGATAACGGATACAATGTAATACATTTGGAAAATTATCCAATTGGTTACGTAATTGTTCTAAATCATTTTTTATTACTAAACCTTTTTTCCATGTTTCAGTCATTGGTATAGTTTGATTGATTTCTCTTTGTTTAAAATGAAGAATACAACAGAAAGAAGTTATTTAAATGTCAATAAAGAATAATTTAAAAGGTGTTTTATAACGGAGAATTCAATTATATATTGTGGTGCGTGCTACTTATATTGATATAAGTAGTATATGATGCGAGTCAGGAATGTAATGTCTGGCATCAGAAGATTGGGAAGATCAAGAAAGGAAGAACGGGAATAGAAAGCAATTAGTATGAAAATGCAAGAACAATGAAGTTCGAGACAATTATTGAACATTTTGCAAATTAAGTATTATAGTATGGTTTTTTTTCTATTTTACCAAGTAACTCTGTAATTTTGTGCTAAGTAATAATTCGATTTTCCTCACCCATGTTCTGTTCACTACAGTACTATTGTAAATCTAGGAATTTTATAGAACATAAGTATTCAATGAGTTTTTGTACATTGAAAGTTGAGATCACAAACAAATCTAAGTTGGACAACCATTGAAGACCTTGAAGTAATGGATAGTTATTTAAATAGCATGAAACTCCTAAGTAATGTTCATTCTTGATGAACTCACAGGGGATCAAACTTAGACCTTTCAGTCTCGTGCGTAAACTCGTAACCTCTAGACCACTAATTAACAACACATTTATGTATAACTCCAAATTCAATCAATCCACAATATTTTCCAGCTATCTTTCATTGTCACTGGTAGATATTTGTCTCACATTGGAGTTCGAGTCAGAAGTCATGACCAGTGGAGCTCAATCATATCAAATTTGAATCAGTTATCTTGAGAAGACAGTGGATAATTTAGCTTTTGATAAACAAACGTCACTTCGTAATACTATTTATAACAAGCAGCTGTCATCATAACAACATTAGTGAGCCTTATTTAATTCAAGTGGACAAAGTAATGAAATTAATAGTATGTAATGATCAACTTACTTAGAGTTCCAATTTAATTCATCTTCTTTATAACGTATTAGTTTAGCGAGAGCATATCTTGCAAATTTTAACGCAATACATATACAGTTTGTTACATGTGATATTAAAATAGTATTGTAACGTATATTTCGGTTAATGTGAGCACAAAATTGTACCATATTCAATGGACTGTACAAAATAAAAAGTCTTAATAAGAAGAACATAAATACTAAGACATAAACGAGAAATCCTAATTATTATGTAGCTACGATGAAAATACTTTTTGACCTGTAGAAAGGAGGTTTTAGAATTATATGCGCAGATAAATAAATAGATACCGGTCATTTAATATGTGTAACAAGTCGAGGAAACTACAACTTATGGATAAACCGATGAAATTAAGGATAACATCTATTTCCTAATTCTAACTTCTAATTCTAAAACCTAACCGTCTTTGAAGCCGAACAAGTAAGTGAATATTCTCATGATCATTGTAGCATCGCTTAAAAGGTCGTCCATCAATTATTGTCTCATCAACAAATCTTACTCCATGATTTCATTTTACATTAGTGCCTACACAAAAAAGAGAGGATGGGGTTGAAGTAGTTGGGCGAAATTTCGGTAGGTGGATACTGGGGATCAACATACAGGGGTTAAAAAACTATGACTCCAGACCAGTGATCCACATTAGACACAAGTTTCTAAATAAACGAATGACTTATGAGTCCACTTTGGTTAAGTCAAACATTCATAGATCCCGTAGGAAACTCATCTCCTTCGGCTAGGTAACATAGAGCAGTAACGCACCCCTCACGTAACAAATGATAATCACTAAAGACTACGATCTATCATATTCAGAATAAAAGTTTATCTTATTATTAAGATAAAATAATCATTCACATAACTTACCACGTGCTATTCGGAAAGAATTTCAAAGTATCCAGAGAATCAAAGAGTCTACAAACAATGAATAAGCAGATGAAGAACTAGTAACATATACAGACTTTAAAAATATGAAAATCAAAAGAGTTATAACTCTTTAATACTAGACACACACAAAAAAATCATGAATAGAAAATATATGAGTTAATCTATTGAACACCGAACTATTTTACCAAACAGAATTCAGTTATTCATATCTATATAGGATTAAAACAAATCAGGAAATGAAAATGTAGTATAGTTACAACAAATAATACTTAACACATTGATTAAGTGGGAACTTTCCACTATTAAAAAGATTATGATAATAAATATATGAAATTTTTCGATTGAGATCATGATCCGATTGACGTTAGACCACCACTGAAAACCTGAGAGCACTGGACAGCTGTTCCGTCCTATTTTGGGACTCCTCAGCAGTGGAGCTAATCCGTGTCGGGTAGAGACAGGTATCTACATCAGAACAATAGAAGATGGTCGCGCAATCGCGTGGATCGGTTGAGGCTAGACATTAACACCGTTGGATGCCGACTCAGTAGTCCGGAGGTTAAGAGTTCACGTGCAAGATTGAAGACCCCGGATTCGAATCTCGCGAGGGTCAGGATCGTGGATGCACACTGCTGAGGAGTCTCACTATAGGACGAAACGGCCGTCCAGTGCTTCCAGGTTTTCAGTGGTGGTCTAACATCAATCGTTTCATGATCTCAATCAAAAGCTTAATAATCTCCACAACTCCATACTGATATCTGAAATTTGTTAGAAATTTGTTAATACGTAAATTATACTCATCATAAATTAATATTCGTCTAAAAGTAACACTGAGTACAGGAAACACCAAATAATTGTCTAATATTAGTTTATTAATAGTTTTCAGTTCTCTATTTCAAGCTTTTTGATGAATCAAACTCAGAACTTGGAATGCGTTACTAATCAATAATTAATTTATAACTCAGTGACCTACTTTATTAGCTTCATTTACTAATAACACACTGAAATTTCATGCAATTAATTCCCTTTGCGAATTTAAATAAAGCCAGAACAAACATTGACGCATAATAATATGAATTCATTATATTTCGCGGTTTCTCATCAGCTGATTACAACCAAATATGTATTAGAATTTTACATTGGGGTAAGGTATAGTGTGGAGCAATTGACACAAGCGAATGTAAAGAATTAGAATGACAATGGTCATCAATAATAACTATATATACATGTGTGCAAGGACAGTTCAGAGATTATTTGGTGTTAGAATCAAGGAAACATTAAGGATGAGTGATGTAATAGTTGAGTAAAGTTCAGAGATAGATAAAATAAATTATGTGATAATTCTAGAAGTAATGAAGGGTTTACATGATTAATTAAAACAAAACTGGTAAGATGGGTTATGTAACAGCTGAATAGGATTTGGAGAGTTTATATAATTTATGAGAATCAAATGAGTGGAAATGTATGAGTGAAGGGGTGGTTTAAAAATGCGGTAATGGAAAAGAAATATAACAAACTAAACATTAACAAAATAAAACTAATGACCAAAAAATTGAATTACTGGGGTAGTAATAGGTTTATTACTGTCTCTTTTTGAATACATAGATCCGATTTAAGTTTTTTATCGCGATCGCTTCTGTAAAACGGAGAAGCCGAACTTCTTTGTCTGTTAATAATTTTAAAAGCATAAAGGATGTCAATGATATGCCCGGTGCCAAGTAAATGCTGAGTTATTACATTGTTGAGAGCCCTTGTCCCTCACAATCTCAATTTATTTAGAACATGCTCAGAAATGAGAACATGTACTCTTCTCTCGGTTCTTCCAATTTATGTGCTTTGGTACGTGCATGTAAATTGGTAAATGCAGTCGGAGCTACTGAGAAAAGAGAACCTGTCGATTTTATTTTGTTTGAGCGAGCAGTTCGTTTCCCATAGCGTCGTCAGTCTTGCTGCTGTGTAGGTCAGTTTCAATGCGGAATTTATTCTGCAATTAATTATTTCAGTGATTTCGTCTCGTTTAAAGCGTAAGTATAAGAAGCAGATTTTCTTCTCCACTCTATCATACTTTACCCGAGGGTTGGTTTTTGCATATTTCTGGATGAAGTTCGACGAATATGCACTTTCACGTAGACAATTTGTGATGAGAGCAATTTCATCTTCCAGGCATTCCTTTGAGCAAATTTTGCGTGCGCAGTCGAAAAGGGTTCGAACAATACCCTTTTTGTAACTCATTGGACAGTAACTGTAGTAATTGAGATAAACTCCACTCCATGTATTTTTGCGGTAATGTGCCATCTGATGTTCGTCTGACTCCAATATCAAGGAAATTGAATTTACCTTTGTACTTCATGTTCCATAGTAAAATCTATATCCTTGTGTGTTTTATTAGACGGATTAAGTAGGTTCATGGAATGCTTATGATTGTTTCAGACGAGAAATGTGTCGTCAGTATATCTACAATAGAGTGTAGTTCCATAGATTATGTGCTTGAGCTTCTTCTGTTCAAGGTTTCCCAGAATCGGACCCAAAGGGCTACCCATGGTTACTCCATCAATTTGGCTGTACAACACATTGTTGAAGTGAAATTGTATGTTTTTGGTACGGAGAAACAGGAGCTGTTTAAATTCATGGATTGGTAAAGGCAGAAGTTTAGGATATTCACATATGATATCTGCCGTTTCTCCCAAGGGGATCTTTGTGAAGAATGATGAGACATCAAACGAGACCATGAATTTATCAGAAGCAATTAGACTATCAAGCTTTTGCACAAATTCAAAACTATCCTTCAGACTGTAGGGCGCTAGTTTCTTAAGGATTGGTTCTAAGCACCTTGTCAGCCAGCGAGCGAGTTTATGGAAGAGTGATCTGGTTATAGATAATATTGGTCTTATCGGGATGTCGAGTTTGTGTGTTTTAGGTAGGCCGTATAAGTATGGTAACTGTGATTCTTTTGGTTTGAGTCCGCTGTATGTATGATTATCTATTAGATTTTTCTTCAAGAATTCTCTCAAATTTTTTAATAGACGCTTCTCAGTCGCATCTGTTAGGTCTTTCTGGGTATTATCGACGATAAATTTAGTGGAATCATTTAAAATGAAAATTACTTTCCCAATGTATTCATCTCTGTTTACAGTGATTACACCGGAACCCTTATCTGGACGAAGTAGCAATATTGTTTCGTCTTTCATAAGTTTTTTTTCAATGCTTGCTGGTGATATTTAGTCAACACCTTAAATTGTGGGACTGGTTTCGTAACGTACTGGTTTGTAATATCCACTAATTTCAAGCAACTTTGTTTTTCGTCATTCATGGGTTTGAATTTCAAATTACCATCTACTGTGAGTGAATCTCATGACATTCTCCGAGTGATGCTTCTCTAATTTTATCCACGGTCATAGATTCATTTGACAAGCAAATTTCAGACCACTTCATTCAACATTCAATTTGGAATCGATCATACTTCGAACGGCCCATGGTAACTGACATTAGTAGTGTTGAGTGAGGCTCCATTTGGACATTGTGTGTAACTACAAAAGTAATCCTTTAGATCAAAGCTCTTGAACTGTCAATTTGTAATCGACCAGTTGCATACTACTAGATTAATCTTAAAAGTTCGAATGATTGTACATTTTCAGTTTGTTTGTATCAAACGGGATTGTTTGAGAATATTCTGTAGTCATTCGGTTGTTAACTATCTTCGAATTCGGTTTGTTGATCGGCTGCTGCTGCAACAAACTTCTCCGTATTTCATGTTCCTGTCCTTCTTAATCGTATTATGCGTTGTGTTTGTTGTGTTGACACTGAAAACTATTCGTGAGTATGAAGTTTGTACAGCACAAATAACAAAGTCAGAAACTGTACACACTATCTAATGCTATATTCTATATAACAATAACTGCATACAAGTTGCGAATGTCCGAGATTTATTTATTGGTCAATAGAGGAAGTCAGCAGGTGACCTATTTGTAGAATGCACACAAATTTGCAAATCTTTCCCAATCTTCGTTTCTCTCTCCCAGACAGTCCATGTCGTCCCATGATATCTTCATTTCCGGTGTTGTCTCTTCCGACTTTGGCGTTTAGATCTCTCATCGGAATGGTGAGGTCCTTTTTAGGCACTTCTCTATGAATGATTGCAGCCGCTCGTAGAATCGGTCTTTAATGTCGTAGTCGCTATCAGCAGACATTATTCCCAATTTCCCTTTTTTATCAAGTGATTATTACCACAAAACCACAGTTTTCTTGCATACATCTGCCTTGCTATTTTAATTATTGATGTTTACTAATTGGGTTATATGAAGTTATTCTCCAAATATCCACCGATAGTTATTAAGATTTTTTAAATGTTTATCAGAAGGGGTTTGTGGAGATTTTAGAAATTCCACAGACTGAAATAATGAGCCGATTGAAGCTAGACCACCATGGAAAACATGGAAGCACAAGACGGCCGTTTCGTCCTAGTATGGGACTCCTCAGCAGTGCGCATCCACGATCCCACACCCCACGAGATTCGAACACAGGACCTATCATTCTCTCGCCAAGAGCTTAACCAACTAGACCATTGAACCGGCATCCAATCATATACACATTTTCCTGTATGTAAAGCAGAAAAATGATATATGAAGTTCCTCTATATGTCTTTAAAATCTACGGCTTCTCGAACGCTAAAAAGGTTGAAAATAATAGTTTAGAGGTCATCAGATTGCTCCTAGTTAGAATTTAGTGCCAGAATTAGGGATTTGGGACTAGGGTAATGAGTCCATTTAAGTTTTATATACAATCTATAAAGGAAGAACCAAATTTTTAAAACTTATTTTTACCGAATGATGACAAAAAAAATCCTTTCAACGGTTTTAAATGTTCTAAGAAACATACTTAAACATCCCTGTCGCTCTCTTAACATGATATGAGGTCAAATTCGTTCATCCTTAAATTTTATGTAAAATCTGAAAATCACTTATGGTGCAAAAATCCCTCTGCGTAACTTAGCACGAATACATGTCCCATAAAAAGACTATCAATAAAATAGGAATTAAGATATATTCAAACACATAATTCAGGCAAAATTATAAAAATGTCGGGTTTCACTTATTTAAAAGGTATGTGGTACTGCTTGTGCGGTGTAGAATGAAAAGCTACTACACTTCACTTTATTCTAAACCAATGTTTAATAACGTTTTATAAAATCTTTAAACATCTAATATAAATATTTTTCATCTATACACTTACTTTTGAACCACCTGGAATAATCGAACATATAAAGGATTTGCAAGCAGACAACTATTTAATAAAATATTACGTATCCGTTTAAATTTTCTTCTTCTCGTAATTTGACGCCAGCTGAAATTCGAAATGTATATGAGATATTATTAACTTCGTGTTAGCACCAGATAAAATCATCACATAATAAATGAATATCATTACTGGACTATTCTGATCAGTCTGAGAGTGGACATTAGGATACTGGGATATTAAGTATATTATATGATTTTATCTTATGCTTGAGACTCTGCAAAGTTGAAGATCTTTAAATGATGGGATATGACGACCCGATTCATGAGAGCGAGATTCGACATGAAAAAAAGAATATAAATAGATCCCTATTTATGTTAGGAACAAGCATCAAAAATGAGCCATAGAAGGGTGGTTGTGTAAGGAAAGAATGTACATAGTTCAGGTCTCAGATCGCTTGATATTTTGGGCCAATAATTAGTTGAATACAGTTTGACAAATTCATCTAACAAAAAATCCGGTACAACGTCAAGCGTACACTTATAATTTTATCTAGTTTGCCAATGAAACCCATATTTTCCACAATTCCAGCCCATAAATGAAGAATCAAGATACCCTTGTAATTCAATGTCATCCTAAAATACTGTATTCACGACGCTCGACTTAAATAAGGAACATTAAACCCGTGGTAGACTTATATTTTCAAGTGTTGTTTGTAAACAAATAAAGTGGATCCCGGTACTTAATGTATGTTTTCCTAGTTAACCTAATCAGTCATAATTTATGCTACGTAAAATCTAAAGCATGAGACTTTTTACCAATTTTAGTGAGTTAAGTGGACTAAAATATGACACTTCTTATCATCTGCAGACTTCAGTGTTCATTTAACTTACGTGAAAAAGGGTTTCCAAGCTGAAAGGTAGCAAAATGTGGGATTTTTCTTTAAAGCTTCGCATAAAACTGCTTCTGAAAACCATTCTGTGAGACTTAAATGCTCCTGTTCAGTTCCAGTCGCGACCAGTATACCGAATGTACTGAATATATAATGTGGTTCGTCATTCTGCAGAGAACAGTATAGATTGTAAGAGTAGATTTTATCTACGTTAACAATAAATTTCTCTTGCAGTACATAGTTCATGAACATAATTTTTCCAGACGACTTAAAGTTAAACCTTTGCATTCAGCCTTAAATTATTAATCTTTATATTTTTGGCTTTTTAACTCCATGCAATACTCTGACATTCACCTGGAAAATCTCTAGATAGCAGGATGATCTCTTGAGAGTTAAAGGTTACTTTTATCAGATCGTTTACAGAAAATAGAGGTGGGAACCGTGACTCTAATTATTTCCATTAGCCCGAATAAAAGTGTATATAAACTTGGACATGTTAATGTTATCTGAAATAAAAATTATATGCCTTTTCATGCTTGAGATCTCTAGGTTTCTTCGTCGAGACTCTTTCCTCAATATTATTGTAAACTGCTCATTATGCTGAATAAAGCTTTTAGAATCCGATTGTTTAGTGATTCTAGTGTTGAACTATCGTATCTTCCAACCATAAGATTACTTTCCGTTGTTTTGTTTCACAAATTTAGGAAACATCTCAGTGATAACACTTGCGAATTTCGTCATCCCTGTTTTATTTGAACTTAACGTCATGTTAGTAGACGATAATTGTTGTTATAAAGAACCTTTATTTATTCTCTATATTCGATTGATTTATCCATTAAAGGTATTATTTGGCTCGTCTCAAAAGTTTTATGAAGTTTTTTTAGTGACTGTTGCATAAAAGTGACTAGAAAAAGAACCATTTAGCATTTTGTAGAATTGATTGGATTCGAGGCCAAGTTGTAGATCATTAAGAAATGAAGGAATTACAATAATCCAGAGGAATACTACCTTTTAGCAACAAATTGTTTCCTTAAAAAAATAAAGACGTGAGAAAGTTAAATAGATTATTTGAATATAAAACTACCGCTGAAATTAGCTCATAGAAGGGTTTTCAAGCCTTTGTTTGTCTTATCATCGCCTTCCTGGATGCTCCCAATTCTTAATTCTTTATTTGCGTATTTGACATTTATATGAGAACAAAATGATACATACCCATAAATATTCCTAGCGTTTTAGATCTGAGTAAAACTATGAATGAAATTCCTATCATACTTTATGATTAGTAATAGCAACAGACTTGACACTGACTTATGATGCACATTACAACCATGCACTTTAACCCAGAAACTGGTCATGAAGTATTTCGTTATTACAATAATCAGTAAACAAATCATATAACATCCCAATATCTCAGTTGAAAGGCTTGAGAATCCAAACAAAGCTTTACCTGAGATGATTTCTTGTGTATCTGTAAGACACAAGTGAAAGCATCTTTCATATCATTATACTTACCAATTCCACATACCAGATTCGAAAAATTGGCAATTAATAAAGTAAATGGATCTAAGAATATGCTCCATCTTTTATCTTAGATATTTTGCCGTTGTAAGCTGGACAATGCAAAGGCGTAAACAGAGGTACAACTGGCATGAATTATAATCCCATAAATTCTAAGAAATCAGTTTTGGATTGCAGTTTAAGTATTTATTTATAATAGTAGGTAAATAATAGGTATCTCGGAAAAACTAGAATCCGCTTGTCTGAAATGATAATTCAAAGGGTATAAACTTCACGATCTATTAAAATTATCTCGACTACATTTATAGATATTCTACTAACTAAAATGATACATTATTACTCCTTAATGATATTTACTAAATTCCAGCACTCAGTTAATCACTGAAAAGACCAGCTGGTGGCATACGTGTAGTCTTTGTTATTCATAGTGCTGATAGGAAGAACAGAAAACCAATACTGTCTCCGTGATTATCGTGGCGGTTGAAACCTTTCCCACATGTACTCCAATAAATCTTTATGGTTGGAGAACCTTCTGAAATGTGCATGATGAGGAGGTCTTTTAAGTAACTTGTTGTACTAAAACCAGTTAGTATGATCCAAGTGATTGGCTTAAGTCCATAAACTGTGACGGACTTCTGTACGCAAAATTAACTTGCATCTAGAATTCATGTTATAACTGCCCTAAAATATTCTAAGAAAAAAATTTGTCCATTTACCCTTGGTCTTAAAATAGGTTCTAGATCATATGGTGATATATTTCTGCTCTCGAGTTTTTTTCTGGTGAAGTACATAAACTCATAAACTCCCATTTTTCTACAGACTGAAAAGTAGACGATTGCATCAAAACCATTATTTGGGCGCATATTCTCAATTTCTTTTGAAGGTGTTTCGGATTTATTACTTGATAAATTCTTTATGTATTCATTAAATGCTCTGTATTTCGAGTTACCGAATGGAATTTTTTGTAAAAGATTTTCCTGTCAGAAGATAATATACAGTTTATTTCAGAAATTTACCAATGAATGATCTTCCTGTCCTAACAAACAAAATAATGAACTTTGATTACTCTTTGTTTTACTACTATCGACAGAAATCTATTATGTGGATCAAAGGAAGTGCATAATTACTGATTTCCCGTCTTGAAAATTACTGACACCGCAGTACCATGAAGGTAAAAGTGGAATAGTGACAGATTCACTATCGTACACCATGTTCGATTCTGTGGAGCATGTAGTTAACACGTACGAAAACATTTCAGAAAGTTCAGCAAAAATAGTTCTTAAACGTAATGTTGAGCTTGACGATCTATCTCCTGACTGGTTATCAAGTGAAATTTGAAGATCCTTCATAGATCGATTGGCAAAATATCTGAACTATAAAAAACTATAAGTTGATGGGGTGGAACCCACAGTTTACCTCAGCCTCATCTTTTACTGATCGTACAAAATCCAAGTTTGTAGTCACAAAAGAGTATAAATCTTCCCACAAATTATTACTTTATTCGTTAATTTATAAAATTACAATGATTATGAAAATTTGAAAATATTACCTATCTCCTGCCAAAACTTGCACAAATAGTGACCTTAGCATAAACTTTTTGTCGAAATCTGATCTAAGGTAGTCTTTGTTCATTTTATTGAGAACTTCAACAATTTCCATCGTTTCCTTTAACAAACATGTGCAGAATTCAAAATAGTGAAATAGCGTAGCCAATAACAATAATACTATAACTGTATATGGTGATTTTAAACAAAACAGTCTGAACAATCATTTTTCGAAAGAAAGAAACACAAAAGTTCTGATTCATCTAACAGAAACTGATATGCATTTTAAAATAAATTTATGGTTAACCAATATGACGTATTACAAAAAAGAGAATGAGCGTTTTACGAACAAATATTTTATTCCTAATGTGTTCTGAATTTCTCACTTTGTTTCCTGAGACCTTATCCAATGATCCTTCCTGACCTCAAAGTCCAGCCAGTTACTTTTGTTTTTGATTTTTATCCGACTTGATTTCAATTGTGGTTTTGCCTCGGCTTAACATTCCGTTTTCGTTTTCGGAATTTTCACGTCGACGCTAGGTTTATTATATCTTAAATTTTTTTCAATATCCGTTTTTATACGTTTCGAATGCATTGGTTCTTATAACGGTCATCAACTTTTGCATGGATCTAACTAGCAACCTATAGTTCACCATGTTGATGTTTAACATATACAAGCGACCTGTGAATGTCAAAAATACAAAGATTGGTTTCACAAAGCATGCATAGATTGGACTTTCGAAAACAAGGAATAAACGTCGATGAGTCATTAACGATCAACGCGGGAAACCATGGGTAACTAGGATGTCTGTCCAATCACATAAGGCTCACTCAGATAAACAGGTCTAGGAAACGCATGCGTTTCAAATCAATAGCAACAACGGCCTGTATACGAAAGCTCCGAGTTTTTTCAAACAGAAAAGATGAGTTTTATGAACTAAGTAACACTGGTAGGGATGTTGGAAACATGAGAGTATCAAACTACAGATCAGGAGCTGGCAATACCCGATATGTCTTTGTTACGCAACAACAGATGAAGTTGGATGGTTGACTGAGCAGCCCTATACTTATTGTCTTGCCTGGTAGCACATCAAATGTACACCTAGGAGTGCATCTATCTTGGTGAATCCTGTATGGTGCTCATTGAGGTTCTCTAAAACCTCGAGATGTGTAGTTAAAGTCATTCTTGAGAGGACCGATGCAGACACCGAATACAGCTATCGTATTCCGGGGGATTAACCAGCCCTATCCCACTCCGAGACACACATTTCCTGATTCTAAGAAACTTCGATCTTCCTGTAGTCAACTCCTCTGAACACACGTACATTGGAGTTGACAGGTCTACTGAAGCTCGACTCTTTAGCATCACTAAAGACTTAGGATCATTCGAAAGTACGAATTTAGCAACTCGTTCGGGAAACAGGCGGACGCCATCACACTTGGGATGCATATTTACAAATTAGGGATTCTTAATTGACAACCTCTTAATCTTTGACCTCTGGGAGAAATTAGTAATGCCATTATAGCTCTAAATCTTACCAGCGAAACTAAGCTAAAATATCCTACTAACAACGGGCGTTAGAATTTCAGACAGTTTCACGAGTCAGCTTTACAGGACAACCTACAGCAGGTGAACTGAGAAATCCATCCTCAATTTGACGTGAATGTTTGCTTGGATTTCCTACAGCACATGATCTTACGTGCTACAAAGCAATCTGTCCCGCAAACGATCCCCGAAAATGTACAGTTATAACGAATTCCACACTTTAAACGCTAAGATTCAAAAGGCACTGCTGGGCGGGATACGAACGAAAGAGTGATGACAGCAGATACAGGCAGTCCAAATAAACAATGCACCAATGCACAAAGGCAAAATGAGGAGATATGTCTCAGCATAAGATAAAGCTAATCGATAAATTTGTCTTTAGTCATCACGTAGCCTCTCTTCGAGAAGCCAAAAGTGAAGTTTTCCAATTGTTCGGTCTTCATGACACAACCAACAGTGACGTTGATGCCGCCCACCTTCTGGCGAAATTGTATTTTCGAACATTTTAAACATTCCGCGCAATATTCTTAGACGAGATCTTAATCTGCAACTCAGCAGGACCTTCAAAAGTGAACCTTAATGCTAAGGTGGCATATCAGAAACTACAGCATCCAAAAAACATCGTATCAAAATTATCCCGCTCTATTGAAAGAATCGGCCTCGATCCCAGAAAAATCAGTAATTGTGATATCTTCACACTCGCTAAGCCAAAGAACATTACCAGAAAATTGGAAGTTAGCTCAACTTACACCAATTTTTAAAGGCGGCCGAAACAGCAAACTATTGAGCTACCGGCGAGTAGCCCTTCAATCAATTCCTGAAAAATTAAGGAGTCCCTGATATGCGATGGTCTATATGACTACTTGTCATCCGTAAGCTTCATTTCATCTCAACAGAATGGTTTCAGAAAGGGTCACTTTCATATAATAAACCCGCTGACTGCAGTGGACAGAGGGACAAGTGGAAGATTGATGTCATATACCCTGACTTATTAAACACTTTTCTATAGAGCTTATCATATTCGTCTCATGAATAAGCCTAAACGGTTAGGCATCAACTTACCGATAATTGACTGGCCTACTTCATATCTAAATAATCGTCTATTTGATGTTAATGTAAACCTCACCTAGGCTACAGATTGTCTTAGTGAATTCCCTCAAGGTTCAGTACTGATGCCTCTCCTTTTCTTAATTTTTATAAATGACCCTTAACGAACATCTCCTGATGTGAAACTCTGGAGACAAGTTTGTAACCAACACAGTAATCTGGCTTTTCAGGAGGAACTGACTCCACCTCAAAGTTGGGAGGATGAGGACGAACTTAGTTTCAACACTTCCAAGTGTAAAATAGCCCATCTGAAATATGTGGCAGACCATGAACACATAATAGATAATTACCCTCTAGAGTTATATCAAGTTGAGAAGCATTTAGGTGTGTTGGTACCCCATGACCCTCAGTTTTACATTTCAGTCTGACTGGCTCTAGCTTTCTTCAGACCTACCTCAACGGCAGCCATTACTGCGCGTTTTTAAACAGACACATGCCAGAACATCTAACAAAGCCAAACTACACACGCTAATCACAATGTAAAGGATTCTTCGTCGTACTAGTGAATATTACATGACTGCAAATAACATATATCAAACGACCTCCTTTCTAGTTTCTTTCAAGTTATCTGAGTCAATAACTGTTGTACTTTGAGTAGTATTATAGTGTAGCGTGGCGTCGAGTTGGGATTAGCTATGAACACCACTACAAAGAAACACGTGCCAAATAAATCAGAAGGCGTAGGTTGAACGTAACCAAAGAAACCCATAAAATCCCCGAGAAGCCAAATATCAGAAGACAATTAATGGACCAAGTCGAGATATATATATGCTGGCGATCTCGTGGTATCGAAAGGATACCGAGATCGTGCCAGGATACAAGCTTGGTTACAGAACGTAACCGAATTCGCGCGAAGTTACAATCAAAGTGTAAGTATAAGAATGAAGCACAAAATAGCTGTCATTAGCACAGTCAAACAAAAGCACATTAAAACAAGCACTGGTACAGTTGGTTATAATAATAATTGTTTTTATTAAACCAGTCGTGTTCTCGTGATAAATGTGAGTCACTACAATAGCATCGGAGAGTAGTTTATTCTGTTGCATGTTTCCCGTTGCTTTCGAATATATTTGTTAATCTAAGAGGTTTGTGAAGATCGCTAGATTTTATAGTTTGTGTCACAGACTGGAATAAGTCAGACCAAAAAGCATTGAACAACTGTTTAGTTCAAGTAAGGGACTTCTCAGCAGTATGCATCCAAGATCCAAAACATAAGATTCAACAATCTCTGCAAACCACTTTTGCTAATATCAGACATGCTCACAAATAACTAAATTCGAAAGGTAATTATGGAAAATCTAATAAGAATCTATGATACTTGGAGTTCAAACATGTTGAATCTGAGACCATTACCTGCCAATGGCATTAGAAAATGGTTAAATACTACCAGAAGTTGAGTACGTTTGAGCAAATAATAAACCAGGAATAACTATATACTAACATTACCGTTTGGCTTCATCATACATGTCCTCCCTTCTCAATCAACTTGTACCATAAAAATTCACACAGATTAAATGATTTATTCAAAGAGTTTTTTGAAACGCATATGCTCGACAAAAATTTATATCATTCTTTCAATTTTTTAATATGTTGAGTGAATGAAACTGAACAAAGGTCAATAGTCAGTTAATTATGTCCATACAAGCAATACATTACTGAACAAAATGAGAAAAACAAGTTTTTTTAAATGAATCCATCTTATTCTGAGTTTCTTGTCCCATGTTTGCAAGTTCCAATAACTAATAATTACAATGACCCATTTGAAGTCACTCAGGTGAGATGGATGAAGTAAGTAATCCCTTAACTAACCGATGAAATTAATTTAGGATCACGCACATGTATCACAATCTAAATACAGTTTACAATGGAAATCGCCAAGTTCTAACTCAATACTTCATAGATATTTTCCCCTACGAAACCAGTAGCATACATATGAAACGTTGAAGGTATTAATGTTCCCTATATGACTGTAAATTGCATCACCCAGTTCCATATACAGTAAAATAAGTTACTTCTAAGCTATTCAAACTGTGAACGACGAAGATAGTACTCCTTAATCTTTAAAGGTTCCTCAACATTTTTCATGGTTTTCATGAGAAAAAGATTTTGATTGGACTATGTGAAAGAGGACACGTGAAATAGATTGATGTTTAAGAAATATTATGAATAGATGTTAGATTCATAGGTTTTTTATCATTTAAAGATCGACGTAATGAAATTATTATTTTCGTAAAACTAAAAACTACTCACAAATTTTAATAGTAACTTAAATGGATATAATAAAATACACATACTTATTCTGATAGGATGTACCCTGGATTTAAATGTCAATAGTCCATACACAAAGTAGTATAATATTTCAGTGTATAATGTTTAATTTCCTGTATGAAACAACTTTCGTCTTCTCAAATAATGTTGCACTTGTGTTGTACATTTATCGAACATATGGATTTCGTGTTTTT